TACTCTGCTCCACGTCATTCATGACCTCTGTGACATGTCAGATTGATGCGGAAAGAGCACAATAAAGCACACCTCTGGTGATCTCAGCGAAGTATCTACCATCTATTTTATTATCTATTTTCAGGAAAATTTCTCTCAGCCTGGACTCGCCGATCGGATTGTACTTCAGGTTGAATTTATCGAATCGGTGGAAGGAATCTTGGTGGGCATGCATATCGAGCGTATTGATGGACAGATCGTATGCGCTCAGCTTAAGCGACTGAAACACTTGTTCCAGCGTCAAGTCTGTCCCATCACGAAAAATAACAACGTCCTAAAGTGGCGAAACGTCTGAGCAGTTGATATAACACAGGTAAATTCATACAAACATGAGGGCTGCGTTTCATCTTGGATTTGATGAACCGCAAGAGGTGCTTCTGGTTCATGCAACTTGCTAGATGGACGTGCGTGTCCACCTTTCGCACATTGTAGAAGTCCCTTGAATCACTTAAATCAGCCCATCACCTTGTATGTACAAGGGAGGAAGCACCTGTGCGGCACACTCTGCAGACGAATACTTCATAAATGTTTGGGATGGATTTCGGTGGTCTCCACGCACCTTCATGTCAGCTAATTCTTGAGATTCGTTTAAGAGACTGTACATCTCGAATTTGCTCGTAAGATACTTGAGCCTACGGTATGCCATGCTTTTCGCCGGACCATCGGAGATAACACCCAGGACATAGTCTAGATCAACGAAGTATTCCCTGATAGTGGGTATATCGAAGAGTGGTTTCTTGGTTCCTGCTGGGAACAGGATTGAATCGAGCTCCTCTGGCAGAAAGGGAGCAGAATTACCATCAGCATTCGTGTATACTTGATACACGCCTTTGTCATCTATTTCAAACACCCACTCATGATTGGTGGGTATGTGGCATTGAGAGAAATCGAATTCGTTGTCCGGTGTGAGGCGACCATCTGCGCTAATGACTGTTTCTTTTGCAGTAAAGTGCCAGTGAGGTGGTGGTGGCGGCGGATATATGACCCAGGGCTCGTGAGGGCTATTCGCGGATGCAGCTAAAGATTGGTTAACATCGGGTTTGACCCCAGAAACATCCGCCAGGCCCTCAGCCACGCCATGAAAGACGCCGTCATGGTCTCTGGGGTTATCCCCCAGCCTCTGTAAAGATTTCGTGATATATTTGTCGCGAAGCTCAAGGCATTTCTGAAAAGACTGGACGATACGTGCAAGCTCTGGGGTCATCATGGCGTCCACTGTAGAGACATATAACCCTGAGGGGCCAGATTAGACACGTCAAATAAAGACGAACTGTGGTGCTGAGCATCCGAAACCTGTTCTTTATCTTCATCGTCAGAGAAAGGTGACGGGTGCAACTCTTCAGTCGTTTGAATTTGAAGGGCTTCACGAATGGAAGACAACTTGAAACTGTTGGATAGTGTACCATCTGCCTGAGGATGCGCGACGTCGGAAGTGCGACGTAGAGCCCATTTTTGTTCCTCCATCTGATTATTCAGTATTATAAGAGTCCGATGCACGTCTGTCCGAAAACACGTTCTCACTTGTTGGAGGCTCTTTTCATCGGTATAACCATAGAATCCATCTCTAGTTTCCGGGATAATCAAGCCAGAGCTCGATTCGACGACAAAATTTGTTGCTGGAGTGAGTGGCAGGGTAGGAGATCCATTTCCACTCATATTTGCAGTCTTTGGTAAGAATATTTGGTTATGGTGGACGTGATGGTTTTACTTAGAGTGCAATGATGACATTCAAAGTTATTTATATTAGATATTATTGTTATCGGGACTTATCCCTTCGATAATAAATATTGTACAACCTCTTCTTGACACCATCGAGCTCAATAATTGCAACGAGGACGAAAACGACGTCTTCAACGACGAACAAGGACAGGCATCATCGTGAGATGGGAAATACTGCATCAAACACCAATCAAAGTTCACGCTCACCTGTCCCGAGCAGAAGAATTGACTCATCTGCGCGCCGACAAGCTCCATCACATTCACCATCACCCAATCCCCATCAACCCCATCGCTCGTTACGGACAAAGAAAAAATCGCTCGAACTTCCTGATCTTGCCTCTCTCTCGCTGACACCAGCAGCATCATATCACAACTCTGGGAATTCTTCCCCCTTATCACCTTACCGTCGACCACTGAGAACAACTTCCCCAATCCCGATTCCGAATCCTGCTTTTAACAATGGAACGATGAATAATGCTTCAAATACAGGCACTTCCCCTCGTGGGCGTCGGCCGGATTTGAAAACCGCAAACAGAGTTACTGATACGGGAAACTACTCCGCAGAACTACTCCTAGATCACCCTCCATCCACGCATATCCCGGTGCATCATAACCCTCGCACACGAGGGAACTTCAGAGGCGCGCCTTTGCAATATAATTCCACTCATTCTTTTCCTGTGCGCGGTCAGTCTGCTCAGCCTCGTATGCAAGAACTCTATGCCGAAAGTGAGATTGAGGCATCTGAGCAACCTGATCCATCTGGCTTCATCCAGGAGACCGTCCATTCAACCATCCCGCTTGCCCTTCACAAAGCGGAGGAGGAGATGGCCAAATCGGCAAATGTTGACACCGACGGGGAGAACGGGCAACTGATGAATCGACCAGATCAATCACATGAGGAACCAAAGGAACCCGTCTCTGTGAAGATTACATGGAATGGGGGTGGGAAAAGCGTTGTCTTGGTTCGTGCTGGAGACGATGATTGGAAAGGTCGTCTGCCTATGGAGCCCGAGTACGTCGTCTCCTTTGTAGCCTTTGCCCTTATGTTAATAGCTTGTCATAGCGATCCATCGAGCGATAAATCATGGTCCGCATGGGTACCGCTCTTGCCTGGTACCCATCATATTCGATTCATCGTTGATGAACAGTGGCGGGTAGCAGATGACTTGCCAACTGCCGTTGATGATGAAGGTAGTCTTGCAAACTACGTTGCTGTTCCTATCTCCGGTTTGACTCCACCCCACGTGTCGTCTGTTGCCCCTGCTACACCGGGGCGCCCTCCACACCCTCATGCGCACTCCTTCTGGTCAACGACAAGCTCTACTCACGGCTCCATTATGGATACAAGCGATTCAAAGGGTACGCTTGCAAAATGGACGGATGATATCCCCGCAGGGCTTATAGCAGCTGCTCGGGAGGAAGAAGCCTACCTAGCGTACACAGCTGGTCCCGAGTACGATCAGACACCTTATCAATATGTCCCTACTCCCAACATTCCACCTGCTCCTGGACTGCCACGGCATCTCGATAAACTGATACTGAATGCGAAACCCGGGCAGTCTCCCGCAGGTAACAGGGGCAGGGAACGTGATCGGGAACGTGAACGTGAAAGGGAGCGCGAAAGCAAACGGCGGCAAGGACGATCCCTTTTGGGAATGACGAGCACTGTTGCTCGTGAACTTCACAAGGAGGAGAGGACTGCAGAACTAGAAGCTCCTGCAATCCCTATCACTACGGCAAGTGGCACGGATGTAACCAGTGCACATCTGGCAGCCCCTGCGCATACTCGGTTGGGTCTTGATGGTCCTGGGCTCAGCGATGACGCTAGCGTTCTTCCTGTTCCATCTCATGTTGTCTTGCATCACTTAAGTACCAGTGCAATTCGCAATGGTGTCTTGGCCGTGGGTAATACCACGCGATATCGCACGAAGGTTTACATTTTCGTATCATAGCATCCATCACGATTACTGACCATGAAACCGCAGTATCTCACGACCATCTATTATAAACCTACATGACGATTTTCCGTTTATCTTGCCTTTCCGGCTGGCACAGTTGCATCTGCAATCAGGAGATCGGCCTGAATGTAGCACAATAATTCGACGATTTTTAGATCCTCGGTCTGCTATCTCGACGGCTCTCGAAGGCCTTGTGTTGAGGTATCATCATCATACGCAATCATTGATCCATTTTCCCTATTTTCTTTTCTTTTCTGAAGCTGGCTCTTTATATCTTCTACTGCTTTTTTGTGGTGACCGCTTGTACGACGTTCTATATTGCTGCACCACGACAGACCAGACATACATGATGGACTAACCTAGCTACGATCTCAACATATTAGAATACCCACCAAAATGTATCTTCCGTATGTCTGGAAAATTGTAAATACAGTTGGATTATCTACTACTGGGATAAAGCAGCTTCCTCGATATGCCTAATTACAGTATATAATAATAAACTAGACGAAATAAACCGCAAATTCAGTCACTTGCCAACTCCGAAGTTGCCCACGAAATTCCTTCGTGAGTACAACGCCATTTCCTTTCTCGCACACTGCTTGCTAGAACGGCTCGCAGAGCACCGCGTCTTAATGCTAGTCGTTGCTTGTTGTGGTACATATAGAAATATAAAAATTCTTTCTCTAAAACTTTCTACTTGTGGGGAGGCGCAGCGCCACCAAACAAAGTGTGATATTATGTAATCAAGTATCGGCGAAAGCCGGAGTTTGAAGATTTGCAGTCGATTGTGCAGCGTTGGGTAGTTGTTCAACGTTCAACGTTCAGCTTCAAACGACACTGCACTGAATCTCTTGTTCATACCGTATAGTCCGATACTCGATACGGCCCCTTTTAATTCACTGCATAGTACACGAACTAGGACATTAAAATGATATTATATCCTGCAGTACTTTTGCCGCAGATGTTGCACTATGCACCAGCCGTCTGAACCTCTCAGGGTATGGATAGTCAACGGTTCGACCATCGTGGCCTCAGTGAAACTAGCTACCCTCGAAATAGTTGCGGATGATGGCACAGTAATAAACTCGAACAGTAATGAGTACCAACACAATCGGCAACTGCAAATTTCAAACTCCGTGCTTTCTCTACCGAGATCGACCACGGCAGAGTCTATTCGGACTTTCACCTTGCTCCGCGGCATGCAACTTGTTAGTGTAAACGCAATTTAGACCCATTAGATCCAGCGAACACACATTGAATATTGAAATAATCATGTGATCGCTCTTATGGCATCCTGTACAAAAATAAACTATTTCATATTACATAATACTCATGACCTTGCTTCCTGGGCAGAGGGGGATAGATATCGGTACCAGCCGCTCAATGCTACGAGAAAAAGAGGCGATTGGATCTGAAAATCGCAGCATAGCATGCATCATGCCTGACCAATTTTCCCAACAGCAACACGCTTTACGCCTCCATACCGTCATCTTGTACTCGCTCTTTCCCATATTGGCAATCACCTTGGTTTCTACTCCCACCACGTTCAAAGTATTGTCCAGTGGGGCGTATTCTCGTCACTTGGTGTGCGGCGGAGCTTACTATCGATGAATCTAAAATCCGTTCCGGATTGCCTCCGATTTCGAAGACTCGGCCACTGGCTTGTTCCTGAAATATCAATGTTTGGCTTGGACAAATCAAAGCGTGTGCGTAGACTATTCCTTGTACGTCGGGACCGGGGGCTGTGGCGTTGCGGCAACATATGTGGTGTATGCTCTCCGAGGAAAAGAGTACGAATAGAGGGCGACAACACACATTATCGTATCGAGAGCCTGAAGATGGCCATATCGTCCTCGCACAAGCCAAGACATTGTATAGCATAAACATCACATCACGGACACAGATACATGCAGAACGCGTACCTGGTCCATGTTGTCGGTGGTGTCCACCATAGGGCTTGGCCCTAGCGGATAATACCGGATGAAAAAATGACAGCACACTGATGGAGCTGCCTGATGTCCTTTTTTGCGTCGTTGTAGTGAGCATATGTTTTCTGACTGTTAGAGCCGAGAGTGCCTTTACTTGTGGGTGCTAGTCATGGCGCAGCTTCGCTTGTCATCGCTCGGCAGCGGCACCATCGGCCAATTGTGACGTGAGCTAAGTGGAAATTAAGCCTTACTCACTATCACAGGATTTTGTCTACAAGAGCACACTTGGTTTCCCGAGACAAAACCAATTACAATATTCCAAAGGTCTCGGTCAAAATCACGTTCACCGTCGGCGGCCGTCGCATCATTGTTGACCCTTCTCTAACCAGACTTCTTGAGCACTGTCGCCTATTTCAGTAAGGAATCGGGCATTGCTTTTGAGATTTGTTTTGTTTTCGACTATGGCTGTAAGTCCATGTGCCTTTGGGTCAATTATCAAAGACACTTACGTGCTGAATGACATGAGCATAGCATCACGGAGTTTCGAAAGTCCATATGTACCTGCTCAAGTTCGATTTACTCAGAACAGTTTAGAGCAAGCAAGCCCGGACAAAAATGAATGTGGATAGCCAAACAATCGGGGTTCGAATGTGGCTGGTGTTGCGGACTCCGAGAGTTGTCCGCTAACCTACGGCTCCGAAGCCTCATCTAATTAGTGCATCCTTGATCTACATAACTGGTCAACCAGCTGCATAGCCTCGAATGACATTTTTGCCCGTTTTCATGATGATCATCTCATCAATGACAATACACGTGTCAGCTGATATTTCTACCAAGTAACTTCCGAGTCGCTGACTCCATTAATGCTTTTTTGCTGTAGTAAAATGCAGGAGTAATTATGCTGGAATTAATGCTTCTCGCCTATGACGTCATATTTCGGTATCTTACCGACTCCGAGCCCGAGTCGGATGCAAATAATTGCTATACAATCACAGGCGGATGGTAAGTCTTGGGAGGGTAGTACTAACACGAAAAACTTTAAACCTGCGCAACGTGCAGCACTGATGTGTAGTTCGTAAAACAGTTGATAGATCTGTCATTAAACCCACCACGGTCCGATTCAAATCTAATCAAATCTTGCACTGCGGTGGGCCACCTGAAAAAATAAGACGTCTGGATCGGGAACCGCGCCATAAGGTTGAAATGAGATTCCTAAGTTCGGACTTTGCTTGATAGACCAAGTTTACGAAACTTGCGTGGCGGGGTAGAGGATGGTATAAAAGCAAGCTTCTAAATCCACCTGTAGACTCACTCAACTGTGCGATTGCGACTATGCACCTCTACCGCGGCACGCAAAGCTACCAGCGTCCTGCGAAGCAAAGCAAAATTGCATCGCAGAGGCAGTATCGGGTCAAAGAGGGCGACGGGTTCCAAGAACTCAAAGACGTGATTCGCTCAGTGACAGGGGAGACTCCCCAGACCAGGCGCGAAACCTTGAAGAAAGGTATGCTTGCTTCAAACGCGTTCTGCTTGCATGACCGCTTATCCCCTTCACAGCTGCACAACTCCTGCAGGATTTGTCGAGAGAACCTGAGGCAATTTCTAGGCATGAGCCGCTCCCGCCCTTGGAATACTCGTCAGTATCACCCTATGAAGCTGACCAAGATCTCACACGACTTATGGTACGCGTTTTCCGCTCGTCGGCGACAGGATCTCATAGATATCCCCAGAACCTCTTGTAATTCCCAACAACGAGACATGGACAAACGCTATTGCGTCAAGGAACAGTAGCCCAATGTCGGACACATCGGTGACGAGCTCAATGCTAGAGTATCAAGGCCACCCTCAGACAGAGATCCACCATGCTGTCGGTGGTGGGGGCAACTGGAGTTTGGTTCAACCAACCCCTTCGCAATTTCGGCACAATTCGTTTCCCGGGCAGTGGAACGACATGTCGCTCATTCACTCGAACATAGATCGAGTCCCATACTACTTAGAAAGGGTAGAAGTAAATTAGGTTTTACGTCGGAATTCGAGGAATCCTTGAATATTTTCAGTACTTGTAGCATCCATGATCTATTACTTTTACGGATTCACTTACCTTGTAGCTTTTAGTCGACATATTTATTAGACCCATATACCCGTGGCATATACCCAACGAGAGGGCGAATGAGAGAAGCAAAACCATTCGATATCCTGGATGCTCCATGACAAAATAGTTCGCATCAGTCACGATATCCAGATGCAAAATTAGTGCGTACTATATCGGTAATCCAAACGCGTCAGCTGAGCGCTGAGATCTTGTCCATATCGGTTTGAGGCACGCCGAAAATACTATGGAACACATAGTAGTGAGAGTTTGTGTGCACGTCCTTACCGAAGGTTTGGTAAAAATGACATAAGGTAAGATCGTAGCTCACTCTAATCTCCAAACGTAACATGATCACCGCGGTGTTCTTGTTGCAACGATCATCTTTCCAAAATGCATCCCGAGAAGTGCGAAATACACGACCGCTGGCGCCAACACATAGCGAAGAAAAAACCGTGTGCATTTGGATGATAGAGCGGGATTATATGATTATGCAAGGGAAATGGGGCGATGTTCAAAGTTAGGGTAACGTAAGATGACTGCAGCCCAGGGCATGACGAACCACGGGCTGTGTTGTTGAGATGTACTGATACCCCTTGCTGTCAACCCACTGCAGGGGTCATTCCATAAGATGGTTGAGTAAACCACACGAAGAGCGGCGGAGATGGGTCGACTAGCAACCAACCGCATTGAAGAGCATCACCTCAGGGCCCTATTACGATGATCGTGCATTAGTGGGAACATATACCAGACGCCTCCAACACCGTGACAACAGGGAACGGAGACTTGTGATCAAAACCTGCGATGACGAGACTTCGTTTGGCCTTGTGTATAGGAAACCATCTTCGAAAGGTCGGACAGCCGCCCATTTGTAGAAGGCGGCCGATCAAACACGATTTTTGATTGTCGACAATCAGAGCGTGAATCTAACAGTGGACGAGACTAGCTGATCCGGAGAGAATGGAAATCGAGCGCGCGCTTGAAGAACCGATCAGTGAAAAAGTTAAAATCACGTGGTGTTACTCAGTGGGTTTTGCCGCTCTGGCGCTGGCAATTGCTGGCGAACTTCAAGTTGCAAGTCTTCTTGGTAAAACTTGACACAACCAGAGGTGTACTACTATAGCATAGTTCTGTTACAATGCATGAGGTACAACAAGGTTTACTCAGGTTAACGCCGCAAACCGATGTATGATGGTGGTCCAAACTTTCAGCTCTGTCATCAGTGGTAGATCAAATCTTCAGAATGAGTCAAACAGAGTTCATTGTGCAGGCGGGCGGCAATTCAATAGGAAACGGAATTCACCGTACATATGCGGGATAGTAAACCAAAATCTTGGCTCTGTCAGTGCATAGAGTAAGTCACGGTAGCAACATCAACTAATTATCTACCTCGGCACCACAACTTGAACATTGTTCGACTTACAGCTTGCAAGTCGCAATCAAAGTAAATGCACTTGACAGGGCATCTCGTCGCTTGCGGGTGTGAAATTGCTTTTTGCCAACGAGGGTACGAATGCCTGCACATAAAGAGAGATGCTGCCGCATCCTACCCTGAGTCACGTGATGATGTCATTTCTATTGAAAATTTTGATGTTCGCTCTGATCTCAAGATTTCAGAGTTATTTACCAAAAATCATGGAGGAACGTTACGTGGCAATGGTATTCTGATGTAAAGGAAGAACTGAGTCGGGTGTACCAGATCCCAGTACTTGGCCTGCGGAAAGATCCAGTTGGCCCCGCATCCTGGTACGAGTATCTTTCTGGCATCGATAGGCATCGCCTGGACGTCCTCGGAGGCCCGTCATCGTCGTTCCGAGATATCATACACTAGTTACAAACCTTAGTAGTTTTATGAGAAGTCGAGGCACAGTATGATCGAAGAACGTTCCAGCAGCTAAAGAACTTTATGTAGTAGTTTAGACGATGTATCAGTTCACACGCTCCTTATAATGGTCAACTTCAAGTTACCTTTGTATTTGTTCGGGCAGAACGTGCCCTACGCATACGCAATCGTTGTGCTGTGTAGAAGAGACCATCATTGTGTTTATGTTTCCTGGAACCTGTGAATGTGGTGGTCATCCCTGATCAAGGCCTGAAGATCAGAAAGTAGGGAATGTCACGGTGAGTTGCTAATTAAAGACTTAGCTGAGCCGGATCAGCCCCAGTGACCCATCGGACATTATATTGCAGGGGTGCCGAGCGCCCAGCTGTCAGGACGTGCGAGAAACTAATGACATCAAAGCGACCTGGGAACTTGCGGTATGTGGAGCGCATGCAATTGAACGCGTGTGCTATGATGCGCGTAGCGCAAACTTTGAATATTTTCTGCATTCCTCGCACTCATTTCGCAACCGCATGGATTCCGCAACGTTTACGTTTGCTATCTGCTACTTGCAGGTGCAGTGCGCCAGGTACTAGTATGTCATAAACACAGGCTCTCTTGTTCTCTTACCATCACGTTCCTTTGGTCACCCAACGCTATTGCAGCCGCTAATAACCCACTCGAAATCTGGTCCTAAACACTATCCAGGCTGTCATGGACAGTACCTCGTACTAAGTGTACGCATCGTGAGCTTCTCGGACCATTCAATTGCTTTCGTGCTGTGCTTGGACAGCTTGTTAACGTTTTCGCGCTATCCTTCGTATTGCAGGGAGCGTATTGTTTTTTGCAGTAGCCATAAGCAACATGGTATAATGAGAGCGACGAATACAACCTCATTTTAAAGCTCGTTCAACTTCAATCAAAGAGCCCGAAACATAACTTGTCTAGGTCATTGTTGCCGTTCGCGAGTGCGAGGATGACGATGTTTGATGGCGGTGGTACCGGCGCAGGCTGCCTGGGTTAAGGCCGGAAATATCGATATTCAATAACTTAGTGACGGCGTGCGTTGACGGCGGTAAAATGTAGAATGAGCTTGGCGGAGGACGACAGTGGTCGCACAATGGCGTGGGCGCCAAAAGCACACTTTCAGTCACCAGAGAAGGACGAGGGCAGCAGCGAAAGCGACAAACGAGGGCAGCGCAAGAGACGCCGAGGTTTTCGTCCTTAAGTTGCGCTACATGTACTTGCCTTATTTTTAGGTATGTATTTCAAATGCAACCCATAATGTTACGTAACAAAACTTAGTTGCACCCCGAGGCCCGACGAGACTTATTGTTACTGGACGCGTCAGCTTGTAACTGCCCGGCTGGGCCCCAACTCGAAGTGTACGACGACTTTATCATGTCTAATACGACAGCCGGCGACCTCGCGAAGCTCACGGTCCCTCAGCTCAAAGTGTTGTGCAAAGAACGCCGCATTGTCGGGTATTCGAAACTCGGGAAAGCTGCTCTGCTCTTAAAATTAAACAATAATGATACTACCCGCGGTGATACTCAGTCTCAAGCTGTCATTCCGATCCAACCATTAACATCGAAAGCAACAGCACTAGAACATATAGGTCACCCAGCCGACCTAGCTCCTGCACTCTCCACTGGAGTTATTGCTCTCAATCATACTCGTAATGCACAAACAGCAAACAAGGACCTTACAGCTACATCCGCAGAAAAATCTGTCCTATGCAAAGCACTGCCGGTGTCTGGTCCGGTGGATCACTCAGCTGCTAACCATTGTGCACCACCGACGGTTGACGCTCCCAACGAGAGTCAGAGCGCGAAACGGCCCCGTGTTTCTGCTATATTCGAGTCCACGAAAAGACAAAAGCCCTCTCTTGTGAATTCTGTATCTGTCTGTGATGCCAACTCCTCTTCAAGTTCCACGAAGTTACGCACAGGTACTGGAACCCTCAAAGCAAGTGCTGGTCTGACTTTTGCCACCGAATCCCTGGGGGCGGTTGGTCGTCTTGCACACAACTCTAGTGCTAGTGCTTCATCGAACGCAGTGCCTATCATCGCTCAGCCTCAAAATATCAACCTCGTTCAGAAAGGTTCTAAAGCAAAACTTCAAGGCCGATTCAAACCTCCCGTTTTCATGACAACTCCAATTATCGCTAGTACATTACCAACCTCCCAGCGAGTCTCCCACAACGACTACCGGGTCGACAAAATTACTTCTACACCCCCAGATACTTTTAGCCTTGAGAGCGCCCCCATTTCAATACCATCCTTAATGAATATCACACTTCCGCCTAAGCTATCCGACAGAAAACGGGTTCAAAGCCTGGCAGTAATCCTCTCTGCACTCACTGATCAAGATCGCCAGACTTGCACCATGGTTTCTCGGGCATTTCGATATGCAGGTAAGATACAATTTGGAAGTTTGGCATGCCTCTAACGATATTCCCATACAGTGTACCTTTCTGCCGCGCATATGCTCACTCAGAAGTATCATGGTCGCCGTCTAAACCAAATAATGAAGCGCCATCCACAAAATACGACGAATATGTGGCCCTACCTGCGTCAGCGTCAGAACGAAGTGGCTTTCTGGAGACATGCGTTCCAAAATTCTTGGGTTGGAAGGTACAACTCTTCGCTTGGAATAGACCCTCTGTCTGCACGTCTCTGGGCGAGCGCAGATGATGAGAAGCAGGTGGTGGTGGCGCTGAGGTATGCTCTTTTTGATTTATCACAGAGTGCGCTCAAGCATTAGGTTTAGATTTATCCTCACAAGACTTTGGTTCACACTCTCCGTCGGAACGAATGAACGAGATCCATCGGCATGGCTAAAACATATTGTGGAAGATGCCCAAGAAGTTGTGAAAGGTGAGATCTGGGCCATCACGATTCGAGATGGAAATTCGTTATCCGAGTTCTACGTACTGGAATCCACTTGCGAAGTCATCGGCCGGGCACTCAATGCTCCTGAACTTGAAGTCTACTCATCTGGTTTGCGCGCCGACTGGTCAACATACATAGCGTCTCACACTGGTATTTCTGCGGGGCCACATAACTTAATCTCAGAAAATCTTCGATGGGCGAATTATGAGGAATACGACCGAGGCATAAGCAGGCACTGGCTACACTGCATCTCTAGTGAAGCCGACGTCGGCTTATCGAAAAAGGTGGTCGCTGAGCGATACGTCCTGGCGTGTGTGGTTGCCAATAGGTGATCTACTGAATGAAATGGCTCACTTCGGAACATATTGACAGTCGGCAAACAGCATTAGTGGCCAGTGGATGTCATCTAACCAGATGGCGCAGGAATTTGCAGGTCTGTCATCTCGAGTAACCCTTGCAGCTATCAAAGGCAAAACTCCGAAGATCAACCTTTACCTACCAGCGTAAGCAGTGCTTCTGTGCTTTCGTTCAGTGCTCTCAAGACTCCTTCATAGCCACCACCATGTCGAGAGCGTTCACTTTACCACACCAAAAGGTGTACCATTGCATCCGGCTCTTGCCGTCATACAGACCCCAGCAAGAGAGTACATCATCTTGAAGGATAATGGAATGCAGGTTGGATGCGAAGAAGACGGCGTTGCAAACGTGTGGATGCACGTCCTCGAATGCGACAAAAACGGTATAGCGGTTTAAAAGTTGTCCGTATGTAGCTTAATACAGCACATTCCCCTGCAACGCGCTCCATCCCTCCTCCTTCTGCAACAATCAGAGCCCTCCTGGTTAGCCTGCACTGCTGAGCCTGCACCTGAGCGCTGAGCATCCAGACGAGCCTGTTGAAGCTATCTTGACGTGCGGTTCGACCCTTCGACATCAGCATGATCGTTTACAATACTGGTATGCCTCTTCGGAAACCTTGTGTCGCCTCACACAGTGCATTGGACCGCGAAATGAGTCCGGAAGAGAGTGGTGGAGCTTGGGGAAGGCTGTATCAAAGAAGGAGCTCAACAATGGAGCCGGAGATGTATCGACAGCCTTCAAACGCAGTAGGAAAGCTCCGTTGCAGCCATGGACCATGGGTGGGTTCAAAAACCCATTTGCAGCACTTGGATCCACGTCAGAACCTCCGGTTGATCATAAGGTGCCAGCAACTCACTTAGTTCCCCTGGAGTCCATCTCTCCTCATCTACCGCAGTCATTTGATGCCATGTTGCTGCAGGATCAACGCTATGATGCATATATGCGTCCTGATATGATGAACATGGAGCCAAAGCTGTCAGAAGGACTCGACCAATCACCTGGATCTGCAGAGATACCCATTGATCCTGCTCTTGAAGCACCACGAGTTAGATGTACCGCCATTGATACGAGGCTATGACTCAGACATCGAGAATGCCACCTGCTGCTATCAATTAATCAATCTCATTTGCATTAGCGAACACTATGATCATCAAAAGTCCATTCAATACCCTGTCTACGCGTCCGACCAGCACCAATCCCTTCGACGTGTTGGCCAGCACATCCATTACACCACAAAACACCAATTCAATTTCACCGACACCAACGAGTTCATCACTCACATTGTCTACAGCTTTCACACTCCAGATGGCTCGCGTTTACCATCTGTAGCTCCACAAGTATCAGCAAGCAATAGACGGGGCACGGGGATTCTCACCGGACCAACTTGAACTCCACCGAGTCAGCGGAAATAATAGCTCCTTGATCATGTACTCTGAATTGCTCAAGCGTTCACTGTCCGTATATTGAACTCATAACAATGGCTCCAAGCTCCATGATACTGACTAGTTACTTCCAACCTCCTTCCCATAAAATCTAACCGTATGTAAGATAGACCAAGCACCATGGTACGGTACGATAACCACGTCCAGTGTGCCATAAAGATAAACCAATAACCATATAGAAGATGCACTGGGCAAGGACGGAATTAACGAATATTCGAAAGGAATGTCGGTGATAGAATGAAGCGAGTGTGATTAACCGTAGAGAGAATAAATTTCCGAAGGAATGTTGGTAACAGAATGAAACGAGTGTCGTTAGCCGTAGAGAGAATAGTCTAGAGAAATGTCAGTAATAGATATGGAATGAGTGTCGTCAGCCGTGGAGAGAAGTTGTGTCAAGAATCAGATTCGACACTAGAGCACGGAAATAAGGAGTAACGTTAGTAGCAGCGACAGATGCGGGGTAAGGGGGACATACATACTCAGACGCTGTCCTAAGTTGTGTTATTGGCAGGAACGATGTATCCAGAAACTGACTTGATCTCTTGAAGACGGAACTATGCTCAGCATGGGCCCTGCTAGCAAGCAATGGTTTGCACCCCTTCTGATGCCGAGTCAAAGAATCGGTCCTCGACGACACTTCTTGCAATAGGGGCATCGATAGGACGCAGCGAAGTGGACCCCTTCGATATGATGGCTCAGGAACATTATCGTCCCTGCGTCCGAGCAACCCTCGAATTGGCAGGGACTCGGAGTAGTTCTCTTCGTTTCAACCCCATGCCAAAACCAGTCTTCGATGCAGATCTTATCCACCTCTATGAACAGGCCACACGGCTGGTCGGTCCAATCGCATGAGCGTACGCAGGTCAACTGGGGCGAGTGGTAGTCAGAGACGTTTCCGGATGCATCGGGGTAGGTATTGTCCTGTTCCATAACCCTAAATCTCCTCGCTCACATGGGATTTCTGTTGGGATCATGAGTCCTGCGGCTACTGATGTCGACAGGCTTTGGGTCGTGAACAGGCATGGTCATGATCATGGCACTAGTATCCGCTAGCGTGTACGGACCAAACTTGCCCGGTCCATAGTCGTCGGAGGCATTCTGGCGTCTGCACTTGCGCATTGACAATTTGATAGTGCAACAAACGAACTCAAATCATTCGAGGTCTGGCGGGTTTTACGCCTACGAGACCTAGGTAGATGCTGTCTCGTCGAGAGTAAAGGAAGCTCGCGCCACGTTTGAGCCCCCACTAGATTCTGTCTGCAATGGAGCATAATGACCTTGGTGTGATATTTGTCACAATGGGGTAATACGCATTGGACGGACCCGCAATGGTGAATCTGAACGATCTACAAGGCAAAGTCGGAAAATGGTTTGTGGCCACATCGATTTTGGTTACATATAGTTGACGCGGGTTTGGGTACGTTTATACAAATTAATGGTCTCGGAATAGGATACGACTCTTTTCTCGTTTCCGCAGTGACTGCTATGTCGATCCCGCCAGCGGTTCAAGCAAACATCATAACAACGAAAGACATGGCGTCAGAAAGTTCTTCGTCTGACTCTAGCTCAAAATCATCCTCCGATAGCGAGTCGGATTCAGACTCGGACTCGGACGATGCTTACTTGCAGTCTCTTTTAGACAACGCAAGAGCAAGCGTCCGAGAGTCAGCCAAGTTGAAAAGAGCACATGTGTTTGGTGATGGAGGAGACATTATCAAATTGGGTGGCGACGAATCAGAAAGGTATTACATGTTATATGCTTCATTATTTTGCTGAGTTTCGCTATAGACCATTGCCGCCATTGGATCCCGGGGAGCTTCCCCCTGCATATTTCGAATTTGTCAAAGATCGACGCGACGCGCCTGCTACTGTACGAGACCCAGACACACAGCGCGCAGAGGCAGCCACCTCTGGAACCATTGCTCCTGCACCCCCTCCAAAACCAACGCTTACCGGCAAAATATCTGTAAGTCTCAGCATGACCGTATCAATTGAAGGACTCACAGACGTGTATTTTTTCAGACGAGAAACCAAACCGCTGGACCAAGTTGGTTTGACCTTCCAGCACCCGCTGAAGCTGATCTCCCTCGATTGCATCGTGAAGTCGAGGCTCTTCGCCTGCGCAATCAACTTGATCCCAAACGCTTCTACCGTAAAGACGACGGCGATGGGAAGGGTATCAAAGGACTCCCAAAACATTTTGCTGTAAGTCTCCAACACGATCTATCGTATCGTAGAGGCTTATTTTTATTAATTAGATTGGTACTATTGTGACTACGAACACGCCATTCGGCACAGCAAGTACAGACAACCTCCCTCGTGCTCATCGCAAGAGGACTTTGGTCGATGAGTTAGTCGATGATGCGGAAGCACGACGATATGCGAAGAGGAAGTTCGAGGACCTGCAGGCGGTGAGGGGCGCGAGAGGAAGGAATACCTTACACCAAAAGAAGGCGTTGCGCAGGCCGAAGTGGTAACTACATTCTCCATGCGCCAGTCATATCTCACAGTAGCGGTACCGAAATTCACATATGGCTCTGACTTATGCTTCAAACCAATATTCCGCGACGACTCGATAAGAGAACAGAGGGGATCGATAGGAACGGCAAAGACACGCACGCCAATCTACTGCCCACTCCCCTTCCCCTCCAGAAGACATGCCATCGAACTGCGATACGCCTCGCCACTCTACCCCAACGCCACCCTCTCCAACCACGTCTCAAACACGTTGTCAAGCACCGTCGCTAAAGGTGCCTACACGTGCACCATGGCTCGAGAGACGAAGGTCTGCAAGAAATGTTTCAGTATGTAAAAAGTTGCGAGCATCATCACCTCATTGCAAGGGAAATCAAGCAAGTACACGTCCTAGTAGCCATGTATCATTATTAGCTATGGCAGGCAAATACGCGAAATGGATGAACGTAACCTCGGAGTTGCATGCAGTCAGACTCAGTGTTCGTCGTCGTGTCCAGAGCAAGAAGTGTTGTGAGAGGATTAGTATGAAATCCCAGCACTACTGTGACGTGAGTGTTATGTGCGACGAATATGGTGCGAATGTCTAGATTCGTGCCAGATGCGTCCCAGACATGTCTAATCTGCAGTGCGAGTAAGTGTCATTCACACAGCAGGGAAACTGACATTTTACCACCTTTTGCTGCCAGTGAAATTACATTCGAATAATCCAAAGTGCTCTGAACGCCCCAGTCAGGTCCAGGTCTACTTTTGATTGAAATTTTGCAAGAGGTAAAACCCCCGATATCTAATTCATGTCGAACGACGAAGACTTGGGAATTAAATGTCATGAACATTGTCGAGGTCACGTGACTAGTCACATGGAACAATAAGCTCGATGTAGCCGGGCGGACCGTGACGGCAGTCGTCATTGTTCTCAGCTTGTGTTTGACGTTCTGTGTACATTAACTAGGATCAAGCGCCCTACGATGATATATAAAAAGAATGAGTTCCAAACCCTTCTTTTTTTCTAATTACTTACCAGCATCCTTGAGTCGTGTCGGCTGCGCCGCAAACCCTTTATTAACCTTCAGGTTTCCATTCACTTTCTAACACTCGTTTCACTCATGGTGTCACCAGCGATGCTCGTGCACTTTCCACTCATTTTTCTTTCTTTTGTCGCTCTTTCCCTAGCTTCTCCCTTGAGGACTGACAGACACATAAACCATTTCAACCACCGATTTTCACGCAATTCTGCTGTGCAGCCTGTACTTCTCCTCAATTCGTCTGCTGGACCATCGTCCAGCGTGACACCTGCAAGCTCTTCTTCTTTTCCGGCAACTATGACAACGACTTCCCAGGCGCCCACTGGTACAAGCTCTCCGTCTGTATCATCAAAATATGTTATTGCACACTTCATGGTCGGAAATTCATACCCCTATACTGTGGATAATTGGCTTGCGGATATCTTTCTTGCGCATTCCAGCGGAATCGACGGCTTTGCTTTGAACGTAGGAGTGGATTCTTGGCAGCCCTCGCAGGTGGCCAATGCGTAAGTCCCTATTATTTTACTGAGTAATGGACTTCTGATTCAGCAAATTTCTAGCTATCAAGCCGCTCTCCAGTCTGGAACTGGTTTCAAGCTCTTCATGTCCTTTGATATGTCGTAAGTTAATTATTCATTTCATCATCTTCAGCAGATCATCATTCGTCCAGTTCTTTGCCTTGTACCACAGCTTCCGACGCTGCCAATCTTCGTACTTATATAACAACCTATGCCAAGCACCCCAATCAGCTGCTTTACAATGGCCGCGTTATGGCCTCAACTTTCTCTGGCGAAACTTGCACTTTCGGACAGGGATCCGTCGCTTCTGGATGGTCTACTCAATTCGTGCAACAGTTGACAGGATCTTCCGCAGTTCATTTTGTGCCATCATTTTTCGTCGATCCATCACAGTTCAATACCTACAGTGGGGTGATTGATGGCATGTTTAATGTAGGTTATTCCAGTATCACATTTTGCATGGATTTAATTGTTCTTAGTGGAATTCCGGATGGCCAATTCAAGTTACAACTTCATATGTATCGTCCATACCTGGTCTGCTTGGAGACATCGCTAGTGGTCTAGCCTCCACCGTCAGCTCTGCATTGTCTAATGTCATCGGGTCAACGACTCCGGATGATACATACATCTCGAGCTTGTCTGCAATGGGCGGCGGTAAAACGTACATGGCAGCTGTGTCTCCGTGGTTTTTCACTCATTATGGCCCGTCAACTTACAACAAAAACGTGGGTCGCTCTTCCGTCGTACATGTTGCGGACGCTGACAAGGCTCCTGTAGTGGATTTATCTCAGCGATGATCACTTGTACGCTACTCGGTGGGAGTCGTTGATCGCGATTCGCGACCAGGTAGATTTCGCACAAATCATTTCTTGGAATGATTTCGGAGAGTCGCATTACATTGGTCCGATAGAGGGCGCCCAACCCATGAGTCAAGCATGGGTTGATGGCAATGATCACACTGGTGCGCATTTACTAGTTTATACAGATGATGCGAATGCTAACTTAGGTCCTTTAGGCTGGCTCAATCTTACGTCTTATTACGCCTCAGCCTTCAAGACAGGATCATACCCCACTCCGGCCAAAGACCAGCTCATAATGTGGTCGCGTCCACATGCTGCCTCGGCTTCTGCGGCAAACGACCCAGTCGGAAAACCAACCAATTACCAGATTGTATGTGCTTTGTTGATATCAATGAGGTGCTTATCTCAACTACGATAAATCTAGACTTCAGACAATGTCTGGGCTGTGGTTCTGGCTACCTCCCCTGCCACAGTCGTACTCTCGACCTCGTCTAGTCATTCACAAACTTTCAACGTCCCGGCCGGCGTTTCTAAGTTAGCTATACCCATACAACCCGGCGGGACTATGTCTGGCACACTAACCCGAGGAGGGCAGACCGTCATTGATCTGCAGGCAACAGACTTCACTTTTGAGGCTAACCCGACAACATATAACTTTAATGTCCTCGTTGTTGCCTCTCCTTAGTCTCATGTTCAGCATTCGCTATTCTCGACAAATTTTCGGCTGTGATTCAAATATACCATCTATAGTATTACATTTTCGAGCTTGAGTGCATTGTATCTATATATCTTCTGCTAGTTATCATGTACGCTGGTGTACGGCATACTTACCTTGCTTGCAAGGTTTCATGATACAATCAATTTGCAGTGCAAGAAATTGTGGACCACTCATGAGTCAGTGTGTATCACTTCAATTTGACTTCGGTACATACTAAATAATTGAATCTCATTTTAGTGAGATGGCTGCAGCAGCTCCCGGACTCATGTTACACACTGTTGCTAGTTATGATTGGGAAGGGGGGAGCGAATGCTTCAGGTAAAGCGTACGCAACAACAACCCTGTGAAGCCTTCTACGGGAGATAGTATGATAAGCAGTCTAAACTCGGAGGGCATATACTCCTGCTAATGGGCCGACCGGAGATCAGAATAAACGGTTGTAAGTGAAGATATTCTTTGCTCTAGATAACAATGATCTCAAGCCTGCTACTAGGACTGCGGTGCACGAAAAAAATCTGCCATACCGCGTTCCAGATATCCCTCAGCCTTGAGCATATAAATACTGTCCTTGTCGAGCCATGTCTTTTAACCGGCCAAAAACTGAATTTCCTGCCCCGTACGATTTCGACGTAAGGGAGGGACATCGGAGTTGTCACAAGTTACCTCAAAATTGCCAAGAATGAAGCATTCTGCTATTGCACGATGACCGTCTGTATTCGCTTGAGTGAAAAGTCTAACCAAGGAAAGAGTTCTACGACCACATGGTGAGAGTTAGCATCGTCAGGGAAACATTAATTACCGTCATAGTGATTCATCTTTGTTTTTTAATGTGTTGGTCTGGACTCGGACGTACGTGGGATTGAGGGTTATACTCTACGGGATACTCGGCTAGCATCTTCTCGTCTTATCATACAATCAATGAAAAAATCAACCGCGTGTGGGATCCTCTTCAGGTGCATTGCAATTTACCTCGCGTAGGCAACGTTTCACCTTCCTCTCGGGGCCTCTTCTCACTTAATACCTTCGCATTCGCAAATGTGGCTACGCACCTCACAGGGAAGTGAAAGTCCCGACTCTAGGTTCTACTATGTAGACTCTGGGGCCAAAGCCTCGGGCAGGTCAGGGGCTTCGGCGGCTGGAGTTTGCTCGATGACAAAGCGTCACGTGTCAACAAGTTCATGCGTGTCAGACGCTTAAAAAGAGGTAGTATGCTATTGTCTGTGTTGGGGATGGCGAGCAATTGTTGTCCACTTGTTTCAACGATGTACTGAAGTTCGGAGGAGGACAAGTATGGTGGGAACTAGAACGAGACTCGTCTCAGCGTGAGTTAGGACAACGCTGAATATAAATACCTAGAACGGGACGAGTCTAGGTACATGTAAGTTAGGCTAGACGTCAATGACCTCAAGTTTGTCAATAGGGCTTGTCAGGAAATTCGGATTGCCATCGAACGTCGCGTATTCCACATCTGCATGAAGCATATAAATCCTCTCCTCGTCGATCCACATGTCCTCCAACTCTGAATCAGCACGATCAAACTTTCTGTCCGAAAATAGGACCTGGACGTAAGGCAGAGATGTTGTCAAGCTCTCTCCAAATCCACCGGCACTAATGTATGTCGTGGACGGCTCTTTCACCACTCGTCCTAGACCCCGACTGTTTGTCACAGCTAGAGGGCTAAAGTCCATTAGATGTAATATAAGCTGCGAGTAGCGCGTGCCGACAGGGAGTGCCTGCAAGACTCGATTTCCGTTAATGTGAATTTTGAAATGAAATGGGTGCCGGAAGATACGAGTATTTGAAGGACCCCAATGTTGCCATGGTATTGGCGTTGCTGCTACCATTTCGTTAAGGTCGAAGAAAATCCTCGTGGAAATGATGAAGACTTGAGTACTGAAAAATAAACCGGAACGAGAAGAAAGCGCAGTAAGGCATATGAGTCGATGTGTAGGGTCCGAGGTGCACATCGTCGCTTGGGCTTGCATATGCGGCTGTGAGTTATACCCAATATCATCTATCGGAGAAAGGTACCGTAGCATCAATGGGATGGGCATCAGGAAACACGCCAGCAATTCCGGCGTCTGGGACATGTTCTCAATTGAATAGAGATTCAAGTTATCGGTTATAACAAGTAATCGATTGTTGCCGAGGAAACAAAAATCAATTAAGGCGCCGGATCGGTTGGGTACTGCACCGCTGAGGATGCTCTAAATTCAGAATCAACTGTCAAGTCTTTCAACTATTTCAAACCAAAGCTCACACTTGATGTTGTCGAATATTTCCAGTCCCAGATCTGCAGCTGCCACACCTTGTCCAACGAAGTCCAATTTTCATCGTCCAAGCGACGCGACAGAGCGATATGCCTCCCAAAACCTTTGAGCTTTGCATTTGTCGTTTCAGAGTGGTTTTCCGAGTCGTCCGACCAAAATAGTCTCTCTCCAGCAGCCTGAGGGTGAACACCATCACCATCTAGGGCTCCAAGGTTAATATAGACTGTCTTGCGATGAATAACATAAGCGACAGCGATCAGGTTTTGTGCTGGGTCCATAAAAACATCAAGGTTGCATGAGTGTGGAACCGAACACAACGTTCCTGGAAGCCAGTTTCGCTGGATTGACTGTTGTGAGGGCTTTGGAAGTATCGGAAAGATCATGGCCGTATCTTCGTGTGTGTTCCACAAGCAGAAATGCCCACCAGCAACAATGTTTTCTCGAGATAGCGGTGCCCTTGTTATGGAGACCGTTTCGAAAGAGTGGATGTCAACCTTGAACCATGCGTGAGCTTTGTCTCTCAAAAGTTGCAGACGCTTAGAAATAGGTATGCTATTGTCCGTGTTGGGGATAGCGAGCAACTGTTGTCCACTTATTTCAACAATGTACTGAAGTTCGGAGGAGGACAAGTACGTCTGGCGAAGAGTTCTACATACCTGCAAGAGGATCGTCAGAATATCTAGAACAACGATAACATGAATGGCGACCCACAGATGTACACCGAAGAATATCTCGGTAAGGAAGGAAGCTCAAAATGCAAAACAAGAGTTCTTCAGCAAGAGACAGGAACCCTGTTTGTGGCTGCATCTCGTTATCCACTATGTACTAACACTTGAAGGCAACTTGCCCGCCCCTGATTACATAACCATTTTATGGTTATTGAAAAAGTCTATACTACAACTTTCACCAAGGGTCCAAGACAGCCTGCCAACGCTTCATGGATGAGCGACACAATTCCAAGGCGCGCCGGTCCACAGCAGGCTCGAGGAAGAAGGGGAAGTTGCGTCGTAAAAGCAACGGTGTCGTCCCTACAGCTGATGTCCCTGATCCCAACGCCGCGATCCTTGAATACAAGTCGCTCGAAGATAAGGAGCGCGACAGAAAAGAGAGGCTCGTGAGAGAGGTCTGCCCGTTACATTCTTGAAGGCTAGGAGACGCTGATACGGGCTGAAGCTTGCAGCACAGTCAGAATCCAAAGTATCGAGACAGAAGCGGAAGAGGCTGGAAAAGTATGTTGTGCGTCAATCTCCCTGCCTTCTGGAAGAGTTGTACAACGGTGCTTGTAGGAAAAAAAGCTAAGAAAAGAAGAGAGACTTGTGATTTTTGAGAAGCTAGCGTATGTGAAGTTTCCGCATTTCATCGTCGCATCTTTACAGAGGTTTGTAGCCAGACACAAGCTCAAACTTCAAGCCTTGATCTTCAATCCTCATCTACTCTTGGTACAGGAGCCACATATACAGCTCGAGAACGCCAGGAAAAGCTAGAAGATAAGGAAGTACGTCATGCCATGGAGGGCCATCCCAATAAACGTCGACGGCGCCATAACGATTTCACTATTCATGAATACGGAGATAGCGAAGACGAATCCGATGCGATGGATGGAATTGGATTCGTTGAGAGAGCTGATCAAACACCAGAGCAACATGATGAACATGAACATGAGGGGCCAGTCACGAAGGAGTTCTTCACGGATCCTCCTATGGCTTCGACAGTCTCGCAGCCAGCTGAATCCACATTTACCGTTGGTGGAGCGCTCAAACGGAATCCTGATGGTTCTGTCGTGGCGCCCCTAGTCGTGAATAAAAAGAATGCAAAGAGTCGAATAGTATGTATGCCCATGCCCTAACCGAGGAACTTTCGAAACTGATTTATTTTCTCGGAAGGCCTCCTTTCCGAGCTGGAAAAGAAGGATGCCACACACTAGGGGTTTCAGAACAGGAATCAGACTCGTCATTTGACAGCTCTGATTCGGCCTATGATACGGATGAAGAACACCACGACGACGATCGAGAAGGGGACATCTCAGCGGTGGGTTCAGACGAGGAAGAAGAGTGTCCTCCACCTGCAAAGAAACGACTTGGATTCAAGGACTGGGCCGTAAAACAGCTCAACACAGCGAAAGGCCACGATGTTACTAAAGGGACCCCATCGTTACTCGAAATTGAGCATCCAGCCGCACCTGCATCTCAAAAACGAAAGTCGATATCGTCACAGCCGAATTTAATGCGCGGTCCCCTGGGTGAAGACCTAAAGCTTCCTTCTACATCTTTTGCCGAATGCATGACGAAAATCTCCTCTAAATCATCTTATAGAAGCATAAAGTCGGTGTCTGTCATTCGTCCCCTTGATATCCAGGAGTCCAGGATGCAGTTGCCTATCATTGCAGAAGAGCAGCCCATCATGGAAACCATAATGCTCAATCCAGTGGTGATCATTTGCGGTGAAACTGGTAGCGGAAAGACTACTCAGGTCCCACAATTTCTCTACGAAGCCGGGTTTGGTGATCCTACTGGAGGTTAGTTTGCCTGTACGAGTATATCTCATGATAACTGATGTTGATGTACGCAGAAAACCCGGGCATGATAGGCGTTACGCAGCCACGGCGAGTTGCGGCAATGTCGATGGCATCTCGAGTGGCTCGTGAACTATCCTTGACCTCCTCCCGCGTATCGTACCAGATCCGATACGACGCCACCGTGTCTCCTTCAACTACGATCAAGTTTATGACCGATGGGGTGCTTTTGCGTGAACTTGCTACCGATTTCTTACTCTCAAAATATTCGGTGATTATCATCGACGAAGCGCATGAGCGTAGTATGAATACCGATATCTTGATCGGCGTCCTTAGTCGAGTAATCAAACTACGCGAACAAATGTGGAAGGATGGTACAGAGGGTACGAGACCACTACGGCTTATAATCATGTCGGCGACCCTACGCGTCGGTGACTTCGCAGAGAATCAGACCCTCTTCTCGTCGCCGCCTCCAGTTGTCAATGTTGATGCTCGTCAACACCCTGTAACAATACACTTCAATCGGCGGACGTCTACTGACTATGTCCGCGAAGCAGTCAAGAAAGCGGCCAAGATTCATGCTCGTTTGCCACCGGGAGGTATCCTCATATTCTTGACAGGGCAAAATGAAATCCAGGGCGTCTGCAAAAAGCTCGAGGCACGATATGGCAGAAAAGCTCTGGAAGCAAGAAAGAAGAGGAGACAAGTTGTCCAAGCTTCTTCTATTTTTGCAGAATCCGTTGCCAGTGAAGCTCCCTGTGCTGTCACTCCGCTTCACGGTGAGGAGTTTTAGGCAATAATCTAATGATTTTATCTCAAAAGGAACTTACAGCCGACGTCGAAGCCGAAGATATCGAGTTTGGCATTCATGAGCAGGAGTTAGCACTCGATGTAGATGGAGACCTTGCGGAGGAAGATCCCGAAGGCCTTGATAGTGATGACGAAGATGGCCTCAACGCTGAACTTGGCATCGATATCGAGGAGTGTGATGGTAACTTTTCGATATTTTAATATTTGACAAGCTCAAGTAACACGAATCTAGTCCCAATGCACGTCGTCCCTTTGTACTCGCTCTTGCCAAGCGAGAAACAAATGCGAGTTTTTGATACACCACCACCAGGCTATCGTTTGGTGGTAGTATCAACAAATGTCGCAGAGACCTCCCTTACGATCCCAAACATACGTTATGTAATCGATTCTGGTCGAGCGAAAGAGGTACGAGCGTTTCTATCGATAGTGAAAAGCACACTCTGACAGTGTATAAAGCGACATTATGATATAGCGAGCGGTATCCAGTCTTATCAGGTCAGCTGGGTCTCCAAGGCCTCCGCCGCCCAACGAGCTGGTCGCGCGGGTCGTACAGGTCCAGGCCACTGCTACAGGCTCTATTCCTCCGCTCTTTACGAGCATTATTTCGAGTCATTTTCACAGCCTGAAATCCTGCGCACACCGATTGAGGGTGTCGTTTTGCAGATGAAAAGCATGAACATCGACGCCGTTGTCAACTTCCCTTTCCCAACCCCTCCAGATAGACAGGTGTTGAAGAAGGCTGAGACGGTCCTCACTCGTCTTGGTGCGCTCAGTAGTACACCTCTCGTATCGCAAGCCGGGGTGTCTATGTCAACGATCGGGGGGCAACTGACGCCTCTAGGGAAGGCAATGAGCCTGTTCCCGCTTTCCCCGCGCTTCTCTCGATTGCTTGTTGGGAGCCAACAACATGGCTGCCTGCCCTATGTAATCTCGATCGTGGCAGCTATGTCGGTCGGGGACCCTTTTCTTCGTGAAGAAGGGTTAGACGTCGACAGCGAGTCCGATAGCGACGATGAAGGACTGGGACACATCAGGAACGCTTCCATTAGAGCGAAGGAGGCGAGGAGAGCCCGTCGGCGGACATTCTTTGAGTCTCAGCAGGTTCGTCTTCCACCTATCTGTCCAAAATTTTACTGAACACTAAAATAGATTCATGGCTCGCTGGGTAATTTTAATAGTGACATTTTCAGGTTACTCTCGCTTGTCGGGGCCTATGAGTATTCTGGAGGCGGTCACGAGTTTTGTAAGGCCCACTTTGTAAGGCCCAAGGTATGTCTAATAGTCATAATATCCAGCTCGCGGCAACATGACGGGAGACTACAGGCCATGGAAGAAATACGCAAACTGCGAGCTCAGCTGAGCAGCATCGCAGAAACAAATTTCCAAAACGCTGAAGTCCGCCTTAACACGAACATCCGACCTCCCAAAGACACTCAGGTAAGCGGTGTCTTGTCATGCATTCTAACTTTGGTGACATCAATTCGTTTAGCTCAAAGCCATCCGTCAACTGCTTGCCGCGGCATTTATTGATCAAGTAGCGGTACGCAAGGATCTTATACAAGAAAACTCGAGTGGAAAGCAGTTTTCGACTACTAAAGGTGTACCGTATGCGGCGGTGGGAGTACCCGGGGATGTTTTCATTCATCCAACGTCTGTGCTTGCAAATCGCCCTCCACCAGACTATCTCGTCTTTTCTGAAGTAGTCCAAACATCACGAACCTGGATCAAAGGTCTGTTTGTTGCCGCTGCAAATCTGATACATGCTGACAAACACGAAGGGCTAACGGTCATAAATCCTGCATGGCTGTCGAGTCTGGGAAAACAGAGTATGTGCACGTTTTCGAAACCTTCCAGAAACAATGCGGGAGTGATGATGTCTATACCGCGGTTTGGGCCAGATCAGTGGGAGCTGCCGCCCGTGAAAGTGTGATTAAGATACAATTGTGTTATTTGATATGTATGCGATGCGGCCCAGAAATCACTACCACGCGCAAGGGCGAAACGGTTGGTTCCGCTAAAATAATTCGCGCTCCCATGTCTGGAGCTCCCGGTACGCAGGAAATTGTAGCTGCATGGTGGATGGGCGAACTGATGGGCTGGCTGCCAGACTGTTGTCGAGGTTCCATAATCGCGTTGTGCCGTTTTCTGATGGCGATTGCGAGGATGCGGCCATTTGGAGATTTGGTTTGCAATGGCATAGACCGTGACGCTGTCAGCCTGAGTGTGCCCATCAAGCAGAGAGATCTACTGTTATCCCATGTCCTGAACGAGTGAGCAATCGTTTGACCCGCCCAGGCAAAACACTGACTCAGACAAGACTCGGAGTCTGTCCTTTGGGAGTGACGACACGTTTCGGATCCGTGTCCTTGTGTCCTAGATTTTTACTGGGTGGTCGTATGATCCAGGAGTCGGTTCATCATACCCACTAGTCGCAAACATGGCCATGTCTGGTAAGTAGATGACTGCCTCCAAGTATTCGTGCCCGAGGGATACCGTTACTCCCTTCTCCACGCCCCACCGCCTCACACTCCTATCCCAGCATCCGCTTACTGCTCGCTGACCATCTCGACTCCAAAACAGACAACACAGTTTCTGCGTCGCCTCTTCTTGGCTATAGTGCTAATCGGACTACTACCTCAGGACCATAAGTGCAGGGTGACAGGAACTCCATGATCACTGAACATATCAGCGATGCAGACGATACCTATATCGACGTACTCCTGCGCGCTGACATCAACGACAATGATTTCCACGTTACGGCTGACAACCCCATGTATTATTGACACCGGGTTTTTTTACTCCAACTCGATTTCACCTCCACCAATGAGCAGTCTTGCGTAACGTCTCTTGTGCCTTCGCAAGACTTGGCCATTCGTACGATGCTCGTAGTCTTTGTTTACCGGGCTGATTGCAGTGTTGTTATCTGCAACTGTATCCACGATGAAAGGATGGCGTGCTATATTCTATATTGTACAATGTATTCATCACATTACTAGTCCAACCTCGGGCTGGATGCAAGCAACGTGGGAACGTATATCATTCTGACATTATCCCGGCAAGGCCTGAAGGTGAATTACTTGTATAATTGAATGGCGATATCCAAGCGATCGCCTATGGTTTCCCAGGCTGATAGAATGATGGCTATGAGCACTGATCACCGAAACTCAAAGAAACATCACCTTGTTCTTCTTTGGTATAAATATGCTACCTTTCTCCTTCTTGAACCGTTTTGGAGGTGGCTGCGTTGTCCTGGTTTCATGTGGTCCAGAAGTGGAAGGTTCACCATTCACACCTTCAGCCAAACGACGCTTCTGACCAACGTCTCTGGGAATCGTCAGGTTTGCAGGAGGATCTTTCATCGACGGTTGCTCCTCAATCGTCTGTGAAGGTTTAGAGGAGGGAGGCCGACGGCTAGACTCAGCAAAGCTTTTGGGAGTGACTAGATCATCTGGTCTAGGCGGCAAAGTCACGACTGGCTGCTTCTTGGGCTTTGATGGTGATGGAAACCGGCGAACCTGCGGGTTCGTGGCTTGGGTGGTAAAAAAGCCAACATCCGCCTGTATCTCATTAAGTTCAGCGAGCGAAGGAGAATGTGAATGTCAGACCTCTGTGAGTAATGATCTTTCGCGAGCGTCCTGTACGATTTTGCGCCAGTTCTCGTCGCTTCGCTCGAGAGTAGGCGCATGACCCAGAATAAAGAGAGATGAACGCGCACGAGTTATAGCGACATTCATTCTCCGAACGTCTAGGCGCCTTTAGCTGCCTGTACGTATACAGATTGAAACATCATACCCGACAGGAAACCGACAGATTGCACTCCGGGACCAGCACGAACGCAAGAAAGGATGATAATATCTTTCTCTTGTCCCTGGAATCCATCAACAGTGTGGAAGTGTACCCTGCCCTTAATATCTCTCCCAAATCGTTGTTCAAAAGCTCGTTGGAGCTCCATGACTTGACCGCGGTACATGGAAACGATGCCAACGCGGAAGTCAAAGTCTATGTCGGAAAATTCCTTACACAAGCGTGCATACAAGGCGAGGGCGACTTGGCTCTCCGTAGCGTTTCTTAGAGAATGACCGTTTGTAGACGTTTCTAGTCCCCGGTTAACGTTGAAGAACCTGTATGTGCCGAATTTAGGATGCAAATGCCATGGCTGCTTGGTTTTGACATCCATATCTGGGCCATCCAAGAGTCGACCCTGGTAGAAGATCCTACTGGGAAGACGGCTAATATCGGGGTGCATGCGGTATTGGATGCTAAAAACAATAAGCGTATAGACTACTAGTGAAAGACGGAAGACATACCTGAGGAGGTGGACGGCATCGGGGCGGTGTTTCTGAAGGCGCACGAAAAGTGATTGATTATACCGGTACTTACAGGCCTTCAATCATGATCAGCACAAATACGGCAGGACTGCTTAAGCTCGGCTTACCTCCTGAGACAAAACTGTGGGAGCAAGTTGTTGTGGATCTAGACAGGGCTCAATGGGATGTCGGGAGCACGAAGGCATATTACTTACCACCAACCATAATGCATCTTTGACAAGGAAACTTGAGTGGAATCAATGAGCTCAACTCAATGGACTGGGCCGCTTCGTCGATGATGACCATTTCGAAATCAAGCTGTTCGAGCGTTTCATGCCCTGCACCTGACAAAGTGCAACAAATAACATCTGCCTCTTGGAGAACCTCCATCCTAACGCGCCTCCGTATAGCATCGAGCGTCCTAGAGTCCGATTTTTGTTGATCTTTCAACCGATCGAACTGCTGCGTCAGCGTCATCCGTCGTGAGTTTAGTTTCTTGATTTCTTCCTCCAGGACCACCATCCGGGCATTGTTGTCGCGAACAGAGGCCAGCTCCTCCAACTTCTGCTGCTTGATCTGCTTGACCTGCTCGATTTCGCCTCGTAACACGTTTATCTCGTTGTGCGCATCCTTGGAAGTGTTATTGGGAGTTTGCCCATTGAGCTTTTGTTCTACCAAGTAGTCAAGAGAAACTTCTTTCACGCTGATATCGATAGCCTTTTCTGTTCCAACTCGGACCACCTTAAGGGAACTGGCTTTCCGTTGAGGGCCTCTGTATCCTTCTTTGAGACGGCCAGCAATTTCGTCGATGGCAGCATTGCTAGGTGCGCAGAGTAGGATTTTCTTCACGGACTCTGAAGAGGTTGCGGTTTTTCCAACATGAATGGACGTCGTTGCACGTGGACGCTTCTGAAGAAAAGCTTCGACGAGACCGCAGATGGTTGATGTTTTTCCAGTTCCGGGAGGTCTGCGGAGATTTTCATTTGAGATGCCGGTCTGATGCCACATAAAACTTACCCTTGGATAAGCGCAAAACCATCTATCTTAAGCGATCCTATTATAGCGCGTGCCTGCGGCTCGTTGACATGGTGTGCGGACATGGTGTGCTGTACCTCGTGTTGCTGAAGGGGTGGCATACCAGACAGTTTCGGAGTTAATATCATTTGAAAGAGATCGTAGTGAGGCAATGCCATAAGAGCTCCATACTCCCGGTGAAGAGTGCTCAAGCTATCGAGCGATAAGCAATTATTGCAACACAGACAGGAAAACGCACCTGAAAGCCTTCTTCAGGCTCCAAACAGTATTGATATGCAGACCTATGTCGCCCATAGTGGAATGTACGAAGCAGCGGAGACCCATCTGCGATCCAAATGGTGTGGTCCTAAAACTCTGAACCTTCATCATGATCGACTTTTTACCCTCGGGATGTCGGAGTAACACGACATCCGTCTCCCCCAGCCGCCAATCTTTCTGGACAGGCTCCGAAATAGTTGCGTCAAAGTCCACGAAATCATCGGTGAAGTGCTTGGAGGTGATTTTACAATCGTACACTCCTTCTACGTTTTCTTTGGCTTGAATAATTTGAGACCAGCATTCTAGGAGTAACAAGGGCTCGAAAACTCGGAGATAGTGCTGATAGTCTTGGAAGGTGTCAGGAACATGAAGCAATGGTGCTTTTTGGGCAACAGTGGGAGGGTTGGGACCATCATGGTCGTAATTCCAAGATAGGAGGGTACGATGCAGTCCGGTGATGTCGGGCTTCAAACGCAATGCTCGACGACGCGCATCTTCTCGACGGTGGAGGCGCTCCATAGTCGCACTCTTGGCTTGGTTTTGAATATCCAGTAACTTTACTTGACGTCTTTCCGTGGGCTTCTTGACTTTTGGTGATCGCTGGAATTTACCCAAGGCGACCAGACCGCCCTGCACGGTTTCAGCCTCAGATCCAGAATCACTGGAATATTCTGATGAAGGGGCAGAGAGGAGTGTTGGTGCTTTACTGACGCTCGTCGACGTACTCGTTGATAACCGCTGGAACTTGGGAAATGCGCCCTTCATAACGTCGGGTTTGAGTTGGTCATTATTAGTGGGTTTCCGACGAACGACATCACTTTGCTTTCGTGCTGCCGCCTGTGCCTTCTGCGGTGGGAGTTCGTGGGGTTTGGTAGGTCGAGCAGGCGGCGCACGAACAACGGAAACGACTTCAACTTCCTTCTCCTCGAATGACGTCAGTGCGTCCTCTAACTGGGCTATTCGACTTGCATCAAGTTTGGTCTTTGAAATGCCGGATTTATCCTTGCGGGAAGCCTCAACGTGCCTGTTCAACTTGGTGAGAGAAGCTTCCGATGGAGGTATATCCGTTGTTCGAAAACATTCGAGAAGCGTCTGAAGCAGCGCAAAGGACTGATGGAGAAGCTCTTCATCAGAAAGCCGCAGCCACCGTGCAAGCTCTGTCAGCACTGGCTGCAGGTCGCTCATCATGTTCTTCCCCATCCGGGAAAGTTTTCGGACCTTCCCTGTTAATAATGAGGACGATTCATCTGTAGCAGTGACGCTAGCAGACTCCATTACTCTCCACTGAGCCAGAAGATCTCTCCCAAATATGAGCGCATCTCGCATCCAGACCGTCATGTCCGGGATTTCAAAGTACTCTGACCAGAGGGGTGTCCGTTTGAATATCACGGTAATGGACCGCGTCATCAAGTTCCACAGACGAGGTATTTGTGCTGCAGGCGCTTCTTTGTCTTTTGACCGCAGGAATGAGCTGTCGTGTAACAGTCCGTCTGGACTGGAGCACAAAACCTCAATGACATCGGTGAGACACTGCACAAGCGATTTGGAAAGGCTGCAGGCCTCCGGTACCTGTGGCGCGTAGTGAATGTATCGTTCCAGGAAGCTGAAGATGCCCTCAAACGAAGAGTCTGAGAGATTGGAAAGAAGGGCACGAAAGCAATCAATCCGAACGTCGACATCAAATGCTTGGCCAACAAGCGTCTTCGCAGCACCTTGGAGGTCTTCAATGGGAGACAGCATCAAAACCATGATATCACGTGCGACTCCAGGTCGACCCAAGACATCAAGAACGAATGACCTCTGATTGTAGTTTGCTAGCTTGGATACTACATCGAGAAATCCGCTTCGAGAAATATCGAGGCATCGATTGATGGCATCAAAAGCTTGGGCATTTGGACTCGAAAGAACGAGTCTGTACGCAGGCTTTGTTCAAGAAGTCGATGTGAGAGAACTGGGCAATAATGGCAATGATGGCGATGACGCCATCTGTGTCATTTGTCTGTAGAGACTCATATGTCTTCTTCCACATTTGTTCTCTAATAGCACAGACGGGGAACACCTTCGTGCGTCCTGCCAAGAACTCGCAGGAGGTTGTGATAGATTTGGAAATTTCATTGGCGTCCTGAGTCAAAGACGTCGTGATGAGCTCACGAGCAGCGCCGCGAACTTCTTTCCACTGAGAACTTGCGTACAAGCGACTAAAAGCCACCGAAATGAAAACCTCTGCATGAATGTCGAGTACACTTGAAACTGCCATGCGACGTGACAACGTCTCGTCAGACTGAGTTTTCCGCACCTGAGCGGCTAGTAACTAGGAACATTCAGTATAACGTCGGATAGGAAGATGAAAACACTAACTCGGACAGCAGAATACATGATCGCTGGACGTGCCTCCTGAAACCGTTCGTGTTGCAATTCCTCACAAAGAAAATCCACGATTCTTGCTAGAACGTCCCTATATATGGCAGAATCGGATATTGTTGCAAGATACTCCCCGAACCACGACAAAAACCATGGTTTTTCGCCTGCCGACTTGAGATCCTGTAGCATATCACTGAAGGAAGGATTGTCCTTGATTGCATCGAAAACGACCTGGGGATACTCTGGACCCTCGCCTTGCCATAACTTATTTCCTAAACGCTTGAGCAAGAAGAGTAGACACTTTAAGATATCAGAAAAATCTAGTTCCACATTTACTGGGCAATCAATCCAACAAACGAAATTAACTCACGTCGCCCAATGTCATGTAGATGGCCTGTCACGATTCTTCGATATCCAATTTCTTCAGATGGTTTTGCAAGAACTTCTGTTGGGAGATGTCGCAGAATGTGGCTGAATCCAGCCCAAAGTTCGCTCGAGTCGGAGGAGAATGAGTTCGATATGACACTGTCCGTTGTCGTTTCTTCGCCTTCGCGAGACAGTGTCAAAGCCCTTGTGACCGCCTGGAGTGCCAATTCATGTCCAGCAACAAACTGGTGTTCTAACATTGGGACTTGGGTGCTCTTGGTGATTTGAGCCTTCGCCCACTGTCTAACGGCAGAGGATTCATCCATTACGAGTACAAACAAACCAGGAGGAGGCGGATCCAGTGGCCAGGTTGAGATGGGCGGGCAGGCACGAATGAGGGGCAAGACCCGAGGGTCGCGAAAGACGCGCATGTTTGAGACCATGTGGTATAACAGAGGTTGAGGCACTTCTTGAGGTGTCCGAGAAGCCAATCTAGAGCTGGACAGGTCTATTCCAGTGCGTACGAGAGTCTCTACGACCACCGATAGTTCCCAGTCATCGAACTTGCTATAGAATGATCTGAGCACATCATCAGAGAATGCGCCAAAATAACTGCGGGATGGTCAGTTGAAAACACGCATTCTAGGTACTGTCTCATTGGGACACTCACGTTGTCCGAGAGCTAGCCTTCACTTCCCCAAACCCTCTGATACACTGACAGCATCCTGAGAGACAAGACTTCAACCTTCTTTTCCAATCATCTACTCTGGGACTGTCGTACGCAAAGAGCCTTAGTAGAAAGGTAGCAGCGCCAATGGTGAGCTGGTTGGCGCGACTGCAAAACCAGTGGTAGGTATTATCAGGTGCGGATGGTGGAATATTCATCAAATATAAGTATAACGGCTGAAGAATATCTTCTGCTCCATCGACCGTGTTCACGGGCGTGTCGCGAACTGAAGTAAGTAACGTCTTGACTTTGGAGAGTTCGACATCGGATGTCATGAACGAAGTTCAGCGTTCAGGTTGGTAGTTGAAGTTTCTGAAGGAAAGCAGCAACCAAAAGCGGTTCGAGTCACGAGCACTACATATGTATTTGCAGCTCAGTAATAAGCCGATATGATCTCAGCCAGACGGTGTCAAGGTCTTCTCAGTACAATAACTCGTGGGCGCCTCATCATCACAATATGGATTCTTGTGATGTAGAACGTCTTAACGAACTCTTGGAGCAGGATGTAGAACTGCGAGAGGTACACATTTAATTTTTATAATAATATGGGAACTCGCTGATCACCGCTGACCTCCAAAACTTCCCCCTTCTAGAAAATCAAGGAGCAAGTGACGGATCTGGATAAGAAGACTCGCAACATGGTCGGGGTTCTCAATAAGATCCATTCGACACCTCCCGAGTCAAGTTCTGCCATTGCTAACTCTTTCGGCTGATTGCCAATGCCTATCTTAGTTCCAGGTCTACTTGATAGTGTGCGCCCAATGTTGCACAGTTGTCAGACCACCAGTGCTGCAATGGCTGCGCTCATCCCCCCTAGCCAGTTCTGGCGATGGAAGGAAATGTGGACCAACTCTTTGCGCACTGCCATCTTTTCAGCTGCCTTGGTCGACTTTCTTGCAACAGGGAAACTCATTTCCCTGCCAGAGGTCTGCCAGATTCTAGGGAGTAAGCATTGTTATCCTATCTGTGGTATGTGCATAGTAACTATTCTGTCCCGGATTCCAGTCAAAGATGAATGGAAGGGCCGATTTGCACTACCCGTCGAAGATTATCTTCACGGTCTGATAAGCCTTGTCAACGAGTTGGTAAGTCAGATCATGTTAATTTGAATGCATTCTGTTGTTGTCTTCTTGCAACAGCCTTCTCCGATAGCTTTGGCGATTTTTTACCCTCACGATACGTTCAACTCACTCATCATTATTCTGTATAGTCCCGTCTCGCTGTAAACGCAGTGACCCTTGGGAACTTTGAAGCACCTATTCAGATATCTATCTTTGTGAAAGATCTATTCGCCGGATTTTCGATGGTTAGTTTCAAGTGTATAACTGGAAATAGCTCCAATGAATTTGATGGTGTCCAGCTGAATCTAAAGAATGACACGCTCCGGCGACGTTTTGATAGTCTGAAATATGATCTCAAGAAAATAGAAGAAGGTGGGCTCACACCGTGTGCGGGCTGTATGCCACAGTCTTTGACTACCTTTTGTTCAGTGGTATACGATGTCTCGCTCCGGAAATTGGCACCTCCTCCACAGGGAGGACATCAAATGTAAAACAATTTTAATGTAACACGTTCGACAATGTTGTGTTCGCAATATCAATATTTGGATACTCCGGTAGACATTGTACTAGTAGATGACTTGACCCTTATCCTACTAAGAGATTCGAAATTAACGTGATGATAGGGTGGCGGGGGCCCTCGGTCATTGTTAGGAGTAGACTCCGCGACAACTGTTTGTATTCAACTCCAAGACCGACATCCACGTTTCCACAGCTTTTCGTTCCACTTCGTACATGAACTCACCTAGAAATACTCGCTAACAGCTATTTTCTGCACCTCATATAGCTAAAGTCAACAAGAATGGATAGAAGGCGTGTACCACCGCGACCTCAGGAAGGTATGTTCTCACGCTCAGTTCATCGCCCTCGAACAACCCGAACGGTGCGGACTGCTCACTTAGCATCAGAGGTAGAATGCTGGTCGCAAGCATCTAAGTCATTGGTATCGTTCTCCAATATTTATGCCAACCCTAGCAGCCTCGAAACTATCGGGCGCGTCAACAGACTAATCTCCGCGTGGCCCACTGATGACGTCCTTCCGGCTGAAGGGTATGATCACTTGAAAACCAATTACAAACGGCTGTCTTCAGCCTTGAAAGATGTTCAACACATTAATGAAGAGGAAATCAAGTACGCTGATTTCTCAGCCTCCCCGTAAAGTATCACATTTTTTTTCCAGGGCTATCGATAATGTTATCGAAAAACTCGACGTTTTAATAGCCCTTCGAAAAGCACCAGAGTTACCCTCACAAGGTAATATTGTGATTTTACCCTAATCTTTAGACTCTTGCTCAGCCAAGCACATTTTATTCAGAGAAGCGAAACAAGCGCCCAAGGCCCCCATCACCTAGTACTGCCACAGCCACGTCAGTTACGCCACCCCTTATGTCTGCCACGCGGCCTATGTCAACACAAGTAACGTCTTCGCGGAGCTCGACAGGCCCTTCTCCTGCTATCCCATTTTCGAGAGAGCCAAAGGCTCGCAGGGAAGCTCTTGCGAAGCAGCTGCCGTTACAAGAAGGGCGAAAGGTTGCGTTCCATCCACCTGCGGGAAAGGCAGCTGACGGTAGCACGGCTGACGCTGATGAAACATGGATCTTGGCTGTTATCACAAAATGTATAAATCAGGATAAGAATCGGTGGGGCTCATTTTTTGGGGGGTGTTCTTCTAAGCCTTATTATTACTAGGTATGAAGTGCAGGACGTTGAACCTCAAGAAGACGGACAGCCCGGACAGTAAGTATTCATTTTCCATTATCATCATCATACGGAATAGATCACTTGATATCAAACACCATCCTCAGATGCTATAACACAACCCTTCGAGCCATTATACCACTACCGGATCCGAACGCCTCTCCAACAAGTGCCGCGCATCTGAATGCGTATCAAGAATTCCCTGCTGGTTCGACTGTCATGGCGCTCTATCCAGACACGAGCTGCTTTTACAGAGCTGAGGTCATATCCCCCCCGAGAGACGTACCAGGACGCGTAAGATAGTCCAACTTTTACCGCGTTTACGTGACTCATTTAATTTAGGGTGTGACCACGAAGACCATTGCATCGTACTACCAGCTCAAGTTTGAAGATGATGACGACCAAGAACATTCTGTTGCTGCACAGTGGGTTGTTGAGTGGCCCAAATCATGACTATATCACATGTCTTGGCATTAAGTATCTCTATTTACCATGATCTCTTGAATTGTCCATGATGTTCCTAGGCGACCAATGGAGATCGGGTTTAGTTTGCAACAATGTGCTGGGGACCCCGGACACTCGTTCATATTTATGTGACCTATGACGCGTTTGCAAGTTCTTACATATACGCCGCAGGAGGTGACTCGTTTTGCTTCAACACCATCATGTCTATCGCTCGACAACTTCTACACGAGATCCGCCCTATCTTTCGGATGCTGGAGGAACCTTTTGGCAGGTCCGCTGTAGGACCCATGTACCAACAGCGGTCTCTTTTTGATGACCCCTTCTTCCCCTCTCCTGCTGCCATACGTCCTCCAGTTGACGTAACAGAGGAAGGAGACAAATACATTATAGAAGCTGACCTTCCTGGTGTTAAAAAGGAGAACGTTGATATCAGGGTAGGTGATGCTGGCCGTAGTGTCACCATCCAAGGTAAAACCTCCTCTCGCCAAACCAATGGAGAATCAGACACTACCGCTGAAACGACTGGCAAGAACTCAGCTGAAGGTTAGTGAATTTCCTTCACACGCCGAACTATGACTGACACATTCTCTCAGGAGCCGTGGCAAAGACAGAGACGGGCACGCAACTTGCGATGGAGCGCCAATATCCGGGCAGCGCGACCTTCATTCGCACCGTCTGGCTGCCTCGTCCCGTTGACAGCTCCAAAGTGTCTGCAAAGCTCCAGGATGGCATCCTCACCATGACCGTCTCAAAGGCTGAGGATCAAGAGAGTATCAAGGTTCCCATCGAGTGATTTTTACAACCACTGATTGGCATCAGTATGGCAGACGTTTATTCTCACCTGCACAATATTGTTCCTACTCCCTATCTCACTTTTTCTTGCTTCCTAATGATCTACCTTCATCACTCAGCTCATACGATCTGGTATTAGTAGCGGTTCGCTTGTATGCTTCGCCTTGGTGTTTGACTTGTATGTACTTGTACTTATAAGCTACAGAGCTTAGTCCTCACTCAGTCTAAGAACTGAACATGACGTTTGTTTCACTCTCGCTGACTCGACTTGCTCTAGCCTTTATACAATGTAGTTTTGGCCAGCCCTCAACTTACTTAATCCTGGCATGTTTTGTGTGCACATAGTACCCGTCGTGCCTTCAGCACGAGAAGCAAAAGGCTAAAAAGGAGCTTCTTGGTTGGCGCGCGATGATCATTGTGAAGGCTCCTTTAGGTGCCTTATGTAATAACCATAAGTTTTGAAATAAATGATATTTTTGAAAAAAGTGCTTGTTACAAGGAACGACTGGTCACTGCTGCCGAGTCTAATACTTCTACGGTTTCAACTTTTAGCAACCAAGGTCCAAGACATCGATATATCAGCGCTATCTTATACTGTTGTTCACTGTCTCATGCATTCAACTCCAACTTACGTGTCGCTCATGACTCTGGGAACACGATGAGGCAAATGTCTAGCCTATCCAATACTCTATTACTCCCTGATTTGTGCGTGGCGGAAGCTCACTATGCAGAGTCGAACAGGCACACCTTGTTCGATGCTCTCCCATCCCTCGATTTGCATTAATTTCAAGATTGCTTGTACTATGTTTTCTCACACGCAACTGAAGACATTTCTGGCGCGGTCAAAATGTTTCCTGGGGAACACAAGGTAAGTATCTAGCATATTCAACACCCTATCAATAATCACCCACCAATTTACGCATGCTAAAAGCTCGCTATTTAGGTCAAACGTGCGTACCCTGCTCGACGCTCTCTCATCCGTCGATTTACATCAACTTCAAGATTGCTGTGCACCATTTTGTCCTCACACGCAGCTGAAGGCATCGCTGGCACGATCAAAATGATTTCTGGATGCCTGGTTCTCGAACGTGGAGTTATGACGACAGATGAGCAGCAAGCGGAATATTTTGCCCTTGTGCACCCTCGAAATAGTAGTATCTCATGTATCAAGATGACTTTTCTTAAGCAAAGAACCTTCCGGTACGTCACTACGTTACCATCGAATGGCGCAAGGAAAGATCCTCGTTGGTATTAACAGTTCGCAGGCTGGGCGCTGATGATTGGACGCACTGTCCATTCTTATCTGACGCTGGTGTAGTTCATTTCCGTCCTACATAATCGTCTCATGGGCGCAAGTAATATATCTGAACAGCACAATAACACATGATTGTTCTTGATCATCAGATCATGAAGAAGGAGCTCACGTTGTAGGCCTGTATCCCATCAACAGCAGTAAGTTATCGTTGTATGATGAACATTGAATATTGAAGCTCCGCATGATCGATGCAACTCACATGAAATCAAGCCGCTAAGCAGTTAGAACACCTTTGACGGATTCCACTGAGTTCTAGGTATTATAAGCGTCCAGTCGGTTGGTACACACTGTGCCAGTGCATTCAAGTTGGGTGTGCACATCTGCTACGTATAACCTTATTTTCAAAGGTACTTTTTTGATGCAATCTTGGAATACTCATCGCCTCACTGACAAATCTTCGGTGCCTTCATATATTTCATACGTTTCTTTTAAATCCAAAATCACCCAATAATAGGGTTTGCTTCGATCAAGGACTTTTGATCATGAAATCGCTTCTCCGTTCTAACTGTTTCATCGATAACAGTTGATGCAATCCATCAAGATTCTTGCTCAAGGAATGGATATCCAGACTAACCGCTATAAAAGCGCTGGATGGTGATGTGTCTGCACTAACTTCATACGCCCCATCCAGATATGACTGTAGTCTCAAATGATCCCGCTTGGCTGCCCTATATCAGTTTTCTGAGTATTAACAGCTATTTTACAGGTCCGTAGAGAGCAAGTGGGATGGAGATGGTGACGTCTCACTATCACTGACTGATTTTGCAGTTGTATCTTCTACCATGGTGCTATATGATTGGGGTGAGCGAAACCATACTTTCCGAGGGCATTATATATATTTATACGGCATCCAAGTATTGACATTCAGACAAGAGGTAAGTTGCAGTTTATCGGCGCAGCCGTCTCACTTATAATGCTTCAACAGTTCGAACTGGTCTGGGTAGGCAAGGTCCTACATCAGAAGCAGACTGGATAATGCAGTTGGCTTGGAGCAGATGCAACACTGGTCCTTCATGACCGTTCTTTATGTTTGTGTACGTTATGTCATCAATGCAGTCGAGATGCTGAGTCGACTTCAACGTATGCTAGGTGCGCTACATCGGAATACTATATTCTGTGTAAGTTAGCAAGGCTAACGAGTTGACATTGTACTGTACTAATAATCCATATCCCACCATTAGGATCATAATATTATGCATGTATCCCCAAATACACTGTGTTCATTTCTTCTAACCGGCGGCATGTAGGTAATGTCCCACACTCGCTGACAGATGTAGTGGGTATTATGCACTGATGGCTGCCATTCTCATTCAATTACTAACTGCACTCCCACACAGAAGTGAGTGACATTCTCAACCGCCCTATTATGTCGAGCATAATGACTGCAATAGCTGTAAGTTCATTTGAAGCATTGAGTCCATTAATGCACATCAGTGAATTTGGTTTTCAGGCCTTATTGTTTGCTTTATATGGGAATGCACGCCTATCGTCGCCAATGCTATTCTGGGAGGTGAGCTCACCTGTGGTACCTTGCTGAGACTGACCTGACTGAAATATTATGCAAGTCATAATGATGATTCGGATACATGCGATGTATGGACGATCCAAAAAGATGCTCGTCTTTCTCGTTCTCGTCTTGCTCGCTTCCACGATCGCCTCCGTCGTTATGGTTGCAATAGCAAGCATCGGTGTTTCAGCGGGTAAGCTTTAGTTATCGATGAAACCTTCAAGCACATGCGACTCATGGACAAATACCAGGGGAAGTCGTCCTTCTTGGCTTCCATATGTGTCTTGCCACATATGATAACGTGAACCAGGTGGATCTGATTTCCGAGAGTATAATATCAACCGCTATATGGGAGATCCTCACCTTCATCCTTGCATTCTGGGTTGTCTTAAAACACTTCCGTGAATTGCGACAATCTCCGACAGGACCGACCATTGGGGACTGTTTTATGGTGTTGACCAAAAGTCACGCGTTTTACTTTGTAATGTGAGTTTGGTTATTTAGATGTTATTATCTTGTTTCGCTGAAGTTTTGCATGTGCTAGCTTTGCCGTTGTAGCTTGCTTCAACATAGGCTCAACATCTACAAATATCATAGTGCGCCAACCTACAACTAAGCATCTGTGTCTGTCCGCTCATCATCATTTCTACAGTTCGCACAGTCTGTAGGAGGTGATGTTTATATAGGTACTCTTCAAGTTGCCCAGGCATTGCAGATGTTTGTGCTGGGACCGCGTCTGATCCTCAGCATTCGCAAATATCACGCCAAGCTTGTGGCCAGGTCCGACGAGGGAATAGGCATGACGACCATTCGTTTCCAGGCTGGTGGCGATGTGTCAACTAGCGGAGATGTTTAACACGGGTATCCAAATGATCAACCCCGGTTGTTTTGTGGTGGTATTTATGTGGTGATTTGGAGGATTGGATTAGGATGCTGTATTACTATTAGAATTATCTGCCCAGCTATGAACGAAACGTCTCGTGATCTATATGTTCTCTTTTGCGCACACCTCAAGTTCACGTTTCTGAATGTTTTATTTAATAATAAGCAATTTCCTATAAATAACGTTTCATGCGCATGTCATTTGTCAGTACAGACAAAGACAATAAACTTCGTGAAGGTTGACGTTCGAGTCTTAAAATTAGGGCAGAAAGAATAAAGGCTACTCTCGATTTAGGGGCAAGCGAGACCACGTGACTTCGCGCCACGCGAGGGTGAGGCTGTGCCATCGTCCCCCTTCTATGCAAGAGAAGATACCACTATACCTTTCAGTCAAACAATAAGGCGTAAGGGCAACGACGCAGGCGGCAGGCCCCCATGACCCACTTCAAAAACCTGAATGAAATTAAATCTTCGGACGAGTACCGTGTCTGAGGATCCTAATTTCATGGAATCTACTCTTGTGCAGCACAACTTGTACCAGTGATTATCAAGCTTTCTGCGTGGTCGTTGAGGTAAATCGATCGGTGGTCGGGTGAGAGCGCTTGAGAAAGAAAATGTAAGTTATAGCCAAGCCTCGTAAGTTGTGTGATGCCCACATGTTGGACACATGCAAAGTGTTCTTCCTCCGCTCTGCACCCGAAGCGGTCAGCTACAACAATACTGCGTGACCTGGGTCCACTCCGAACCAAATTTCACCAGGTCTCCCGGTGATGGCAGCATACTACGCCACTCCTTCAAGTTCCATAGTCGCCCACACCTCTGCCTTGCAACCTTATGGGCAATGCTCTGAGCTGAGCGTTCCAAACCCAAACGTTAGCGTCTATGATCTACCAACGGACTCCGAAAATGAAGCAGAGGTGGATGAACTGGAGTCCGACACAGATCCCGAAGACGAGCTCGCCGCAAGCGCCTCCGCTAACCAGAAGAAGAGCGGACGACGGCTTGGGGAACGTGTCCCCGGGACAACTCTACTCCCTCCTTCCAGAGTAGAGAACATAGTTCAACCGGATAGTACGTTGAACAAAATATGTTAATCAGCGCTCGCGCTAAGGAACTTTTCAGCCAGCATTACTATGTCGAAGGAGGCGCTGTTCATTTTGTCGGTTGCAACAGTGAGGGAACCTGTTTGGCGGTTTTGCAGTGCATCTGAATGTTGCGTTTTCACTTGCAGGAGGAATTCATAAAACGAATGGCCCAAGCTGGCCACAGACAGGCGGCAGCAAAACGTCGAGGGACTGTAAATTACTCAGATTTGGGTGAGTGAAAGTGTCTTTTCTGACTTTTGACTATAACTGTCCGTCAGCGTGTTCCACTCAACAATATCAAGAGTTCATGTTCTTGCAAGGTTTGTACGTCATTAGTCTGTCTCGTATTGTCTAACACAATCGTTCCAGACACCATACCTGAGCCGATATCCTTAGCAGAGGCACTTGACAGACGGGCAATGAAGGAAAAGGAAGACTTGGAGGCCAATCCAGCGATGTCCACCACCCACCGACAGTCACCTCCTTTCATAGCAGTATCTGCACCCTACTTAAATGGGAAGCCAAAAGCCAAGCCAAGACCGTCAGTCGCTAATGGCAGAGAAACGTCAAGTGCAAGTGCAAATGGAAGTTCTAAGAGAGAGCATAGACGAAATGAGGACGGGATGGATGGTGTTGTGTCAAGAAGCCGGAGCACGAGAGTTGCGCATGAGGATCGTTATGCCGGGCCAGAAGAGCGCGCGTCAAGTGATGTGGGCAATGAAACAGGTGTACATCAGGCGGCTCTATCACCGAGGCATTCAACCTCAGGCCTCCAGGACACAGGACGGTCACCTCGCGAGTTTGCACCCAACTGGCCTGGTCATTACACTGGCCCCGCAAGTGGCTTTCTGCAGGATGCACATGGAGGGTTTAATCGAGGAATCGCTAGTCAGAATCCTGGGCGTACTATTTACTCACAGCAATCACGTCCAGAAAATGGATCGTATCAGTAGCATGTGCTGAATTGTTCCTATTGGCTATTCGACGCAAGTACTTAGACTTATCCGCGTTACTGTAACCTTATCTTATCTTCAATGAACTATTTGGCACAGCCATTCGTATCTTGACTTGAACCTTACCCCAAGGCTATCAGATCAATGACACACACTTTAGCAAGCCTCCCAATCATCGACATCGCACCTTACCTCGAGACTGAGCGTGATCTGGTGAAATGCCAGTCCACATCAGACGCACTACACAATGCCTGTGTCAAGTACGGGTTCTTCTATCTAGACATTTCGCAATTCATAGATCCCTCAGAACCTGAGGAATTGACCCAACTAGCCCGAGAGTTCTTCGCACTGCCACAAGAAGAGAAGGATAAGATTGGTCTGGAGCACCAGGATAATGCTAGAGGTATGTCACAGTTTAAGCGGTCTTCGAACCAGAAATATTGAGCTTCTTATCTAGGATACCAAAGACTCAAGCAGAATGTGACCAACGGCAAGGCGGATAATCACGAAGGAATCGATTTGTACAAGCCTGTTGAGAAGCCAGACAAATCAAAGCCACTGTGGGGAGAGAATCAATGGCCTGATATCCCTGGATTCGAGCATAAATACGAGCAATGGATTGCGAAGATGAAGAAGCTTGGCCTCATTGTTATGGAAGCGTACGTTCTTGCTAAATCCATGGTATTTTCTTCCCTATATGCACACTCGTAGGATGTCTGTTGGACTCAAGATGACAACAGAAGAATGGATGGAGTTGCGAGCTCAAGTAGATGATAGCTTCTGGGTAATGCGAATAATCGGTGAGCATTATTTGGCTAAAGTTCGTAAACGTTGGCCCTACTTAGCTACATGAAAGGCTATCCTCCACTTCCAACTGATGACGATGGTTTCTCCTGTGGAGCACACAAGTGAGATACTATTGGTGTTTCGATATCTAGATATGCTGATGCACATGCATCGACAGAGACTATGGCTGCCTAACGTGAGCTACGAATGAAAGCTCAACAAACATGTCCCTGACGTCGATTCCTAAGCTTCCTATACGCCGATCCTACTAGAAGTGCTCTACAAGTGTTCTTGCGACAATCAGGCACGACAGCATCAGATTTGGACGGCCTGCCAGCAGAGCATGGTACAGAAGAAGGGATGTGGATAAACGCAGATCCTGTTCCCAATTGCGTCGTTTGCAATATCGGCGAGAGTATGTTGCTGGTATTTCAAGCGTCCTCACTGGCTAATGTCAATCACTCAGTGTGGGAGATCTGGACAAATGGATTGTACAAAAGCACGTTGCACAGAGTAGTTCACAGAGGATCAAATTATCGGTAGGTGTTGCGCAGCTCTTTGTTGAGTTATTTCTAATTGATTTGTGTAGTGTCTCGTGCGAACCTCCCATTCTCTGCGATATATTTGTTTACTGATACACCGACAGAATACCGTTCTTCTTTGAGCCCAACTTCACCGCGAATATCGCCCCTCTTCCAGCAGCTCTGCGTCTTGTGCCTTCTCAAGACAAAGAATCATCAAACGAAGGACAGAGCTACAAATCCGTTGTATATGGCGATTTTTTACTCAGGAAAGTTGATAACAATTTTGCATTAGATGGTAAAGGGAAGTATGATTAGTGATGATCATTTTCGTAAGTAAGTGTTGATACAGGAGTTGTTTGTCTCGCCCTCGAATTTTATCACGTCTCAGTGCCTGTAAACTATGAGATCTGAGGCTCCGTATGCAGCTGCTATGTATGAGTCGCCAGCATACTTAATTAAATTGCCGTGCTTGCCCGACGGAATCATTTCAGGAGGCATATCCGTCACTGTAATCCTCGTAATCAATGAAATCACCATCATAATCCTCCTCTGTGTCAGTGAAGTATTCTTCATCGCTTTCGTATTCATCCCAGTTCACATCGGCCACCACCTCTCGCAACAACTGCACGTCCCGGGCGAATATACCCGAGGTTGAAGTGATCGTAAGGTGCTCTAACCCTCGACCTTCGTTGACGCGATCCATGAGCACGTCGAGGAAGTCAGAAGGCCGCATCCAGTTGAAGACGGAGGAGTCGAACTCCAGGTCGTGAAAGACAAGATGGGAGAGTGCTGGGGAGAAAATGGGCCCCTGCTGTGAGCGCCCGCCTACGGACCGCGACACACTATGCTTCCGTGAACGCAGGGATTTGAGAAGTTCTTCGAGAGCTTGGTTTGGGCCTCGCAAGTACATGTATGCAAGATTACGAGCACCGCCACGGGTAAGAATATCAGCCCAGAAGCCATCCCAACAAGCGAAGAAAAAGTCGCAGTACATAGCCTCGATACTCCCAAGAGGAATGAGCCTCCCCAAGTCGCTAAGGATGGTTCTCCTCATCTCAATGGGAAAGTCAAAGTCAAGAATGACAGGGCACTCCGCCGACAAATCCGCATCATGACAAGGCATTTCCCTCGCCCACGAAAGAGGGTTTCGGACAGTGCTATAATGCAAACGAATGCAACTATTAGGGGAAGATAGTTGCATTGAACGAGGGACTTGTCGAAAGTCATTTGGAGTGTCTTTGAAACAACTTTCCAAGGCACGAGAGATGATGGGGAGGCTCAAATTCCATTCTTTGTTCGGATCTCCTGAGGATGCTCGGCATACTAGTCGAACTTCCGATGTTGGCGATTCAATGCAAGTTAGCACGTTGGCCACTTCCAATATTTTTGCCGTCAAACGCAATTGTTTCAAGTGGAGGAGTTGAACATTCATGGTATGAGATGTGTGGGGTAGCGACACCGTATGGGGGGAAAGAGTCGGGAGAGCATCTTCTAATGTAAGGGTATGCAGAGCAGGCATACGACGGAGCGCAGAGACCAACTCGTCTAGTGTCGGAAGGCGTTCTAATGATACTTTTTTGATGTGAAGGACAGTGAGTCCTGTGAGGACGGAAGATGCCCATGACAGATCACAGTGCTTTATTTGGAGCTTGCAAAGGTTGGGTGCGGAGAAAGAATTCGGGATTACTATCCGTGATGTTTGTTTATCCCCTACGTCTAAAGCAAGCGATTTTAGTCTGGGAGCGGAGCATGATGATAGCTTGTCAATAAATTCCATGATACAACGGTGTCCCGCAGTATCACCGTGCAAGAACAGAAGAGAGACCACTTGCAAACGCTCTATGTGCATCAACGCCTTTTGAATGGCGTCTATACGATATCGCCGACCGATTTTCAGGTTCAATGGAGCCATTTTGGACCTCGTGAGCATTTCATCAGTAGCTGTTGAGGAGTTGAGAAACGGGGTGGCCCATAGCTCCGGTGTCCCGAGAGCAACCCCGCGCCAATGGCGACAAATGTGTCCGACAATGAGCCATGAAAGAACATCAGGGTTGTCAGGTTCATGAAGACACTGCGTCTGCTGAGCATGATGAACGAAAATTGCGCTAAGGAGCTCTGGAGGGAGAGAGGATATGGGTGAGAGACTGTTGCGGCACGTCCGAAGAGCTCGCGTTCTCTCTTCAAGGGCAACAATTTCATCGTCAATCTCTATTTGAGCTCTCGAGGCTAGCACAGGATTGTCTGGAGTTACTTTTGGACAGCAAAGCGTCATGTTGCAGGCGAAAGGACTGGAATGGTCACCAGTTTTGAAATGTTAACCAAAATCTTCAAAGTTTCAACTGGCACGTACCACCACGTACCGATGGTGCTGAACCACTGGGTGGTTGATTAACTGTTTTTCTTTCTTGGGTCAAGGGCTCGGGGACGGCTGTGGGTAAGTGCCAATTTTGAATTATCCTAGGGTGACTTGAATGAATGAATTTATATTTGATGCTCACATAATGAATTATATTTGGCCATCTACGCTCACATTAGTAAGCTCAATGAATGGCGGAGTCACGTGCAATCAGTAGACGTCAATGTATACTTTGACTCGATCATTCCATCTTCTGATTCCTCATCGATTGTCAACGCAATTAATCGCGCGACCTCATCCATTGGCGCGAGAAATGTCTTACGAATCTTCTGTCTCCAAACTTCCTCCTCATTGAAGGATCTTGTCGTGACTTCGCAAGTAGATGTCGGAAAGACTGAAGCCGACAAGGCTGAAGTAGCGCAGTGGATTGAGAAGCTTGCGGAAGAAAAGGTTGCTCTTCAAGTAAGCCGTATAAAGGAATTGACCTAAATTACCTGATGAGCCAGTATTGTTGCAGGATCTTGAGACCCAACTTGTCCCTCGTACATATATTGTGAGCAACTATCTTACTGCAGCAGATGTTGCCCTATATGGAGCACTGCACCCAATCTTTGTTCGTGACCATTACAGTATCTATTTTTTTACAAAACTTATGCCCATAATTCCAGACGCAGCTACAACCTGGTTACGACTACCCTGCAGTCACGCGTTACTTTGACCACATTCAAACACGACCATCTGTACTGGCTGCTGCAAGTGCACTTTCTCCACCATTTTCTCTTGTTTCTTTTGACTTCTCGTCTGCCCCTCCAATTGAGAGGAAAGTGGATGCGCCAAAGAAGAAAGAGAAGGCTGCAGCTGTGGCGGAGCAGGCCGAACGGACACCTGTAGCGGTATCAAAAGAGGACAAATCACCCGAAGATAAACCCAAGGAAAAGAAAGAAAAGAAGAAGGATGCGGCCGCTGCTGAAAGCGGAGGCAAGAGAAAAAGAGAAAGCTTCTGCTCCTGCTGGCAGCAAGGCTGTTGCTGAAGATGCCGGTGAACCTGTGCCTTCAATGATTGATATGCGGATCGGTCACATTGTTGATGGTGAGCTGGTCCCTGCTCTAGGAATTTAAAATGCTCATCGACAATTTTGACAGTTAAAAAGCACCCTGAGGCTGACAGTTTATATATCGAGGTAAGCTATTTCCCTATAGTAAATATTGATTATAATGAATGTATGTTTCATCAGCAAATTGACCTTGGTGAGGAGACTGGTCCACGAACGGTTGTTTCTGGTCTCGTGAACTACATACCTATTGAAGAAATGCGGGATAAGTACCTGGTTTGCATCGTGAGTCACCGTTATGACGACATAAACAGATGGTTGACCTTCCACGTAGTGTAACTTGAAACCCGCGAATATGCGTGGAGTGAAGAGCTTTGCGATGGTCCTAGCTGTAGGTTCATTGTATAATGGTGTATCTCATCTGACATCGGCCAGGCAACATCAAAAGATGGGAAGGACGGTGGCGTTGAGCTTATCCAACCTCCGCCAGGTTGCAAGCCAGGTGACCGGGTGTACTTTGAGGGCCCCGATTACGAAAGTGCGAAAATGTTCCTAGGTCTCCGCTCTGTGTGCTCAGACTGCTTTATTTCAGACGCCCAGCCATTGGCTCAAATGAACCCCAAGAAAAAGATATTTGAGACAATTCAACCAGGTGCGGAGACTACTTTTCTCCAGAATCTTGAATGTTAATAGATCGGGTGTCTTAGGATTCACGACGCTAGATACGAAGGAGGCAGCGTGGATCAACCCGGTAACCAAATCAGTTCACAGGATCCGTACCAAGGACGGTATTTGTGTTGCTCCGAACTTCGTTGGAGCATCGTTATCATAGATAACACAGGTGTAGAGACGTAGCCGAATAACCTCATGCAAGGTCTATCAAATACATTCTACATATTATAAGGACGGGGCGATTCATCAAACATGAAACAATGCAGGGACAAAGCGACGAAGAATATGGTCGTGACTCAGATAGAATAAGATGAAGTAACCGCCTTGCTCGAGTTGCTGGTCATATTTAGGTCAGCCGGGATAATCAGTATGGCGAGAATAAGACTTACTTCTCGAATTCAGTAGCGATCGGCGTGCAGCCAACGCATCATGCTCGAGCCAGACGTCAACATCGCGATCATGGCGAGCATAAGCGATATAAAGAGCAGACAATAGGGAACGGGTGACGTGTAGTCGAAATATGACACAGGAGAACCCGTGCTGACGAAAACACCGCTTATAGCGAGGAGACACTCGCCTTTATGAGAGCATATCAACGTCGGCCGTCGGCTTCAGTCCGCGACGGGCGCGGAGTTGGATAGCTTACCGCGGTGAAAGTGCAGGCCAGGATAGAGCACGACCTGTTCCTAACGGTTTCGAAGGCTTGCTCGGACTGCACCGACTTCCGATGATCATCAATATCTGGGCATCCGAGCGCCAAAAAAAACAGAGTACCCTCGTTAAGAGGGACGTGCGACGAAGGGCTTCTGGGAGGGATTGTTCCTCCGCAGGTGCTCTGTCGTCAGCAGTCACATATGACTGGAAAGGTCGGCGTAATTGAGGCATACGGCAAGGATTGTCAAGTTTTGAAAACGCACCTGAGTGGAATAGAATGAGGCCATCGGGTGAGACAGAAGAGCAAAGAGAGACCGATGCTCATACTGAGAACTGGCACAGGGAGATGCTGTTAAAAGAAGGTTAGAAAGGTGGAAAATGGACGGGGACACCATTGTCACGGACCCGGGAAATCGGTCTACGTCACATCACTAAAATTCTGATCCAAGGATCGTGGTCCTTGTGGATGTGTTTTTAAGACTTGCCATCGGCGTGCTCAATTCTTGAGTTGTCAAGAGTTGTCAAGTCCCACCGTGCCTTAGAGCCAAACAATTTCGGGTAGGCTCCATTTGGGCACCGCAGCCACCGCGCTTATTCTGCGTGTTCTCATGTCGTCACACAACACAGTTGGCTCGTTATGCAGCGAAAACGGGAGCTTCGTGAGCTCTTAACTGTCCTTTCTGATTCATCTTCTATGTTGGGCATCTTACAACGCACTCACCTCGAACTTGAGCACTTCGTTTTCGCCGATGACGGATCCGAAATAAAACATGTCCGGTAAGCGTCAAGTCGGAAGGTATCCGATGAACCTAGTAGGTGCCACTGGTTCTAACTAGGTAAAGTTCGTCCTAGCCCACGGATCCGAAATATAACATGTCCGGTAAGGTATCCGATGAACCCAGGTGGTTCTTACGATACTGCATTTTAGTTCGTGGCAAATAAAGACCCTCGCGATTTTGACTAGAGGGTCCATAGCACCCAAATACCCACTGTCGTTTCCAACCATGCAACGCACACTCATCTTCACCACACTCGTTACATTGGCTACTATTGCTGTGTCACATCCGACACCAAAATTAGTCAAAGCACGTACTTGTGAGAGGGCTCGTGCCATTCTTGCTGATGAGAGTCACGCTGACTCGGAGATGCCATGCAGCTCTGGCTAAGCCCCAGAAGCTTAATCCTAGCACAATTGATTATGATTATAACCTCACTGAACTAATTACACTTGATAAACCTGACTCAGTCGACTTTGGAGATACACTCGTGTCGCCTCGTCGTTCCCTCGATTCTGATGCACGCGGCGAAGCCGACCACAGCGACAACATTAACAATGACATTCACAAGAGAAGCTCCCGCGACTCTAAGTCCTCCGTCTCTCATTCAACCAATGAAAGGGACAATGGCGACAACAACGGCTACAACATCGGCAACAACAACATCGGCGACAACAACATCGGCGGCGACGACAACGACAACGGTGACAACAACAACGGCTACAACAACGGTAACAACAACACTGGCGACTACAACAACGGCGACAATGGCGACAACAACGGCGACAACAGCGACAACAGCAACAACGGCTACAACACGGGCAACAACAACATCGGCGACGACCACAACGGTGTAGACGAAGGCCAGGAGGCTGGGGGCGATGATGACAGGAGGCGCAAGGACGTTGGATCCCACCATGTTCACGAGAGAAGTAAGTCATTACAGGCCTGCTGGATCACTATGTATAACACCTGTCACCAGAGGTTTTTTACCGTCTCAAGGACGAGAAGCGCTACAACTAGGCAACATATCCGAGAGAGGTACTGGTTTTTTTCCTCTTGTATTACTACTCTGAAGTCTTATTGCTGTTTTGTTCAGCTTTTGAATTAGGAAAGGGTTGCGAGAAGGCGAATTGAGTTTCATACATCATATAGCTACAGTATCAGGATGCAGCCTGGCTCGCACGAGAGTAGATAATTGAGTACGGACTCAACCGACACAGCAGGTCCATTCCAGCTCTATATATACTTTGGGCCTTCGTCTTCCTTTTGCATGTTACCCCACTGCCCCGAGTGGCAGACTGCTCATAAGTACCCTCAAAACCACCATAAATCGCTTCTATATTTAGTGATTAAGTACGCCTCGCCGATCAAAAAAGCACTACCCTTCTCCAGTTGAGGACCGCAGTATCATACATTATACAGGAACGTTGACTCACCTCAGGTGCCGTGTACACCTTCAATTTGACATAGTAACCCGCGACCCCTTTCCTTCGCGGCCTCTTTGCGCCGTTCCCTTTCAGATTTGCAAGTATAGACGATTGATGTTATTCTGGTACCTCTATGCGGTGCGGTTGAACGCATCTTGATTAAGCTCTCTCCATGCAGAACACAAGATACAGGGTGCGTATATTTGTAGCTAAATCACATTATGTGCTGATGATACAGACGAACGGCACGAATGGCTGTCGATCAGCTCGGATGTCACTTCTACATCAAGAACGAGGGCTATTTACTAACTATCGTGTCCGACCTATTACGAATCTACGAATCGTATTTGAAAAATGTCCTGTTTAATGTTCTTCAGAAAAAACGGAGGCATAGACTAAAAATATCAATCAACGGGAGGGAGAGGGAAATTCTGTTGAGGAATGCTATTGTATATCGGACAGAGCTGCTTCGAAGCATCTAATGCTGATCGTCAGACCCGCTCTAGTTTATAGTGCTCAGTGCTTACTATTGAGAGGCTGCGAAGCCGCCACATCTTCAGGAGCCTCTGCGAATACTATAGCCAGTCCGCTACGGATCCAATGATTAATTCGAGTCCAGGCTCAGTGAAAGGAGCAACTCACGCGGATAGATGCCATTCGATATGGCTTCACACAGACAAAAAGTCATTACGAGTTAAAAAGACATGAACATAACACTTACCAATGCAACAGCCAAGGCCCAGGGTTGTCGGTGATGAACCGGATAGTCACACGATCACCAGTGTTGCCAGTGGTCACTGTATCACGCATGACGGGGTCGACGTAGTTATAAGCGGTACTTCCAGCACTTCTGATAACAGCGAAACTATGCTACAAACCAAATTATCATTAGTCCATCGAGTGTATGTAGATGACATGCCAAGACGTACCCCATGAAGATGGAATGGATGCTGTAAAGACATATCAGTCAAGGACATACATGTTGTTTTGAAATGGACTCACAGGACCCCCAGGGGAATTATCAGGATTGAACGTAAGTTCGATAACCTTATTCCGTGGCAGAGTGTATACGGAGCCGTTGGGCGCAAGATCCGCAGCCGTCATAGCACCGCTCAGTAACTGTAATAGGACAGGGACACTAGGGGAAGTATACTGGATGTTATTGATGAGGAAGTTGAAATTGGACAGGTTTTTCCCAAGAACAAGGTCAAGTTTGACGTCCGGTTCCTGCAGTAAACGAGGCGAAGGCGGAGTTAGGGAGTGTAGGCTAGTCTCATTCAGAGCATCCCAGTCCGAGTTTGTCATATTCTGGGGGTCTGCGTCGGGAGCGCCTGCATATCGAAAGATAGCCGTGGCATTTGTGCCTGCATCGGGATCGGCATGCACCCAATAGTTGTCCACCGGCTGGTTTGTCTCGAGAATGAAGGAGTATCGTTGCGCAGCGTAGATCTGGATAGAGTCCACTACGAGCGGCTCGACGTATTGGCCATCGACTTCGATGATTGTGAGATTATGGCTGTCGATCGAGAAAATGTAGTTGGGCTTGCACGCCATGTTCAGCAAGCGGAAACGATATCGCTTTCCTGGCTGAACGTTGATGACGGCGAGAGGCACATCTGGGCCTCCATCATAACGCCCGACACCGTTGATAAGCACCGAGTCGGCAATTACTTGTCTTTGTACTAGAGGTGATGGCAAGTTATACCTACAAAGCAAGCCGGATCAATAATAGAAAAAGATGTATAAGCCTTTCTTTTCTTACCAGTCCATTAATGTGATGATGCTAGACTCTTTACTCAAATGTGAGAAACGCAATCTTGTTTTGTCGAACGCACTCACCATCATCAATATCGTACAATGAACTGTATGGGTCGTTTGGATTGTAGATGATCAGCGGACCTCGTAGACCATCGCAGTATTGGACCTGAATTTAAATCAGTTTCCGACACCATGAATAAAAATCGAAGCACGTACTCCATAATGAGAGTGGTACCAGTACGTTCCCACTTGGTCGGTAGCATTGAAGTCATACAAAAAAGAGTGTCCCGGAGCGATCGGACATTGCGTGACAAATGACACGCCGTCCATTTGGTTGCTATGATGCTGGAATAGTCCATGCCAATGCTGTTTGCGATCGACATCATTGTGAGCTCCTACATGCATTTATCGGCTGGTACTTACGATACTGGTACCCGTTAGCATCGAATCGTTAGTCAATTGATTCGTGACGTTGATCTTGAACGTATCCCCCTAAATACACATGAGGTCAACCAAGAGTTTGCGCATGCAGAGCAGACGCTACCTTCTGAGCCACGATAGTGGGCCCGGGATGAGTGCCACCGGCAAGAACCCCCCTGCAATGAAGTCAGTAATCAAATAGGTCGAAAGGTAAGCAAACACTGACGATCTGGTGAACCCGTCTGGGGATACAATACCATTTGCAATGACGAGGTCAGAAACTGGGCCAATAGTCACGGCACGACCCTGGAGGCATGCCAGAAGGCATATGAATACATAGAGTTGGAACATGACTCGATACTCCAGTCAATAGGAGGAGGATAATGAGCGAAATACGTTGCATCCTTCAGCTTAAGTAGTGATCCTGGTATCGCCCTCTGGACCAGAGAGTTGGTCTACATGTCTTCCGATTCGTGGATCGAAATAATCGGCTGAGGCAGTAATTCCCCGTACTGGTATCACCATCTGGACCAGAGAGTAGATCTGCATAACTTCCGATTCGTGGATCGAAATAATCGACTACGAGGCGGTAATCCCCTGTACTGGTACATCCAGTAGATTCCCACCTATAGGTCTCCACCGATCAACTCGAATGCATTACGGACTTTGTAGAATGGAAAATTTGATTACCTGTCAAAGGCACTATCCGTTAGCGATACGAGCTCTTCGAAGCTGGGTAGTCCCAAAGGGACTTGGCGACTGACCGGAGTACCTGAATGCGCTTTCATGTCTTCCGCACGTTTTGTGGATGTCATTGGCCGGGGGCGTTGCAACGGATCATCTGAACAAGCCTTGATGATTCGAGACGCAACTAGGCTGTCATGTCAATTACACCTACCGCCTTCAGGCCTATTTTGGGCATGCAGGACACGACGGACCGCCTTGTATAATGCAATAGGATCCAATCATTAGCCAAGCGATACCGGTAGTAGAACATTTACATTTACATCAAGCCTCGGCAGAGTTGACAAAATACCCACGACGACAGATCTTCAAGATTTGGCCCCAGGCGCTGTAGCGATAAATTTGACGGTTGCCGAGTTCAAGACTGGTATGGAGATGGATCTGTTTATAAGCCGAAGATCTTTGGTGCCGCAGCCACGTTGCATGGTAGTTGCCCAGTAAGTAATATCAGATTTGAGTGAGTTCTGTAAGTAAAAGTTGGCTTACAGCAATTTTCAAGAGCGTGAGTAGCTGCTGCCCCCCGCGCTAGATCACCTGTTACTGTGTAGAATGAACACCGTACAAACTGATGAGTCGAATCTAATTATACCTCCGCAGCTTAAAAACATACTGCAATCCAACAATATGTTATTGTTGTAATTTGATTCGTTAGACCGCATTGCGGCGACGTCTTGAGCTATCAAGTGCCTGTATAGGCACATGAACATTGTCCATCCAAGGTTATTGAATGATGATGGCTGCTAAGCTCAGGTGACAGATTTGCGACCTTCTGGACCGCTATCAGCTGGTGTTGCTGTGATTCCGCAGGTGCAGTTGATTTGAAAACGGAGGCTATTATGTCATCGGTATAAATATAGAACCACGATGTTATAGTTGGTTGTAGACGTAATGCAACCTGAGTCATAAGTGCCTCGTCGGATCAATATTTGGAAGCAGGGGACTAAGTGATCGTCCACACTCGAGTAGGAATATCTTGCAAGCTATCTGGCTGGCCCCTGAGCGGACATGATGTTGGGTGAACACTATAGGCAAATAGTTGAGAGCAAAGTACCAGAAAGGAATCGGCACCATTGACATGTGTGCACTGGAGTCAGCTGAGTCCGTGGCATACGATGAGTTAGCTGTGTACTGGATTGTTGAGGATAAAGGTACATTGTATGTTGGACAAATAGTGAGGCAATTAACGTACCATACCTACTAGTAGGGAGGGCGAAGATCCCGTAGTGCACAGTACTTGAGTCCAAGAGGAACGTCTACTAGGGAGGAAAAATAGCCAACTGGACTGCCTACTGGGTCGAACCGGTGTTCATACTTATTATGGAGCTTTTGCAAATTATACAGGTTAGCCGTATGGGCGCGCCCGTATTCCGAAATCGGGAATTCGAAGGGTGGTCGTGTCCTGAAATAAAACGTGAACAGGGGTTGTCGTGCAGCCATGAGTTGTCAATAATACGCGTCAACTGTATATCAAATACTGTGAGGAAATAACTTACTGCGACTTGACTGCGACGGGCTGAAGTTCACAAGCTCTTTGAAAGCTGTGCTTCCCAGGGACGACAGACATAGGAACTCGGCCAGAGAAGCCACGCGTGCAAGCTGGCGGTGAGAGATATTACTACGAACATCAAAATGGCAAGCACGTGGCGTTTGGTGGACGTAATCTGGGACACGACTCGAGACCGGAGAGCTGGTTGTCAATTACTCGTAGCAGCCGGCACCAAATATTGTGCAGATCAGTGCTGTCTGTGAAGTCAGAAAGACCGGTCAGCTTAGATTCGCACGCAACGAGCTATTTGCATAATGGTAGGCGGTAATTTCCAAACAAAGTGTGCGAAATGTAGTCCTACAAAGAATGATTTTTATCTCAACAACGAAGCAAGTTATTGACATGGTCCAAGCGACAAAACTGATCAGAAAAATCGAACGCAGATGACCAGCGAAAAAACTAAGCGATTCGGTGAAGTTGGTGGTCACCTGCTCTCAGAGCCAACAATCTACAACAACACTTTTCCTAGTGTCGAACGTCTTCCTCACCCCACTATGAAAGGTCACAAATCGTCGCAAGAACTATGCAAAATTATCATCTGAATGCTACTCCTCCTCGACACATCCGAAATACACTGGTGCAAGCAAATCGACAATAGAAAAGATGGCGCAATGCTATAAGTTGACTGAAAAGCCGTATATCAGCCACTCGAGCAAGGCGGCTACTTCGTCTTGTCCTATCTGTTGTCGATGGTCACGGCTATATTCTTCGTCGCTTTTTCCCTGCGTTGTTTCATGTTTGGTGAGTTGTTCCATCAATCGAGGCTTTCTCTGGTCCCTCATGCATTCCACCCAGCGATGTTGATAGTAGGCTTTGCTTCTCAAAGCATGATCTGCCGCGCCGTGACGGCGCTTTGGCTAGCTATATACGCTGTCAACGTTGGGACAATATTGATGGAAGCTATGTGGAGGTATGCGACAAGCCTCAATCACGCTGGATAATATCAGTAGTTTCCACTTTACTCCTTGTTTCACCCGCGGTTTGTATATGTTGTATATAACCTCCCTGATGTGGCAGGAATCTTGAGAATATGATGTCACCGATGCCCTCCGTCATGACATTACACGACTACAAGCTATTTGCTGGTCCGGAATGAAGACCGGAGATAACCAGGTAGCCTAGTATAATTATATCCTCAGATTATTTCACTCCGTGTTATGTTTCTCCGAGTACGACGATGAATCGCTCTGCCAATCGATATTCGGAACGGGTCCTGTGAACCAATGTCTCGCCGAGAATATCCATGATCCTCCAGCAAATATAAAGACGGCCATGACGATCACTATCGAGTAATCTACATCTTGTGATAAGTCAAGATCTTGTAATTATAAAGAACACTCACTCATGGTTTGCACGTTTGCTGTCTGTGTATACGGAAAGAGCAGCATGACGACCATGAATGCTACCCAGGAAATACCTATCCAGCCGATCGGAAAAGACCACCAACCGAGATTGAATGGGCCGGGCTGTAGCTTGTCCTTTCCCCAGGTAACACGACAGTAGATAGGCGTCACGTATGAGATATATAAACCTATTACAGACGCCCTTCAAAGCAACGGTATTAGCATAATGACTTGAGAAGATCGCTCGACGTACGAGGCCAATGAATTAAATGCTGCTGTAGAGAATACTAATGTCCCACAAATGGCAGAGAGCACCATCGCAAACCATACAGCATTAACCGGACTCCCCGTCGTGCGATTGATGCGTTTCCACCATCGCGAGCCAGGCAGAGCGTTGTCCCGAGAAAACGCGAAAATGACACGTGAGGCATCGACAGCTTGTGAGCATCCGCAAAGGTACTGTCCGGGAGTCAGTTATCCAAGCATGATCTTGGTCGTAAACGCACTTTCCTGCAACACTATGATAGAGCACCAAAGGGTCAGGGCGCCTTTCTTCCCCATGACATTCAAAAACACTTGGCCAAGAGGAAGCGCTAATTTTGACTGCAAGATGTCTGGAACCGAGTTGGTAGCATAAGAAGCACCGATGTAATAAAGCCAGCCCAGGATCTCAGTTCCGAGGACCCCAACCAAAATTGCAATAGGTGCTGCACGTGCAGCTCCTGCGGTTTCCTCAGCGATATGCGCAGCGGAGTCATCTGGATAGACATGGTGAGGTATGTGCTTCTCGAAGTATACTAGGCTACTCACAGCCTGTTAATGCCCACATTGGTGATGTAAAAGCGAGAATGAAAGCCCAGACATCTGAACAATGTCAGTCGCAGAAACGTATTTGTAGACATGGCACGCTTACTATTGCTCCATCCGGTATTGTTCTCAAACTTTGTCCACGCATCTACCGACGAGGCTCTCTGATCGCCGGAGCAAACGAGTAAGGAAATAGTTGCCCCAATCGATGTAGTTACTGCGTAGTACGCTGTGAGCCCAAACCAACTTAGCGCCTACTCTTTCGACTCACGGATGAGCACCATAGTCACAACTGTCGTTCGGGCGAGAATACGAGTCCCGGCTGAGCAGAAAATCGCTTGTGTGAGGTGGATAGCCTGGATTGGATGTTTCATTAGCAAGAGAGAGAAATGGTGGATTTGTCACGAGACCATCAGTATGCCAAATGTTGCACCCGACCCCAAGACCACTGCGCCGTCCGTGCTCATTGCTATTGCTGTAGTGATGAGTTCCGTGCTACAAGGCATGCATGAATTTGTCATTCATGAAAGCCGAAATGTACACAAACCAACTGAAATCGATGGAGCAAATCAACGTTACTTGCCCTGTGATGTTACTCCATCCGGTTATCCAGGACGCAAGAGCGGACCGTTCCTTCGAAGCCATTTTAGCTGAGAAATAGTACAGCCCAGCGCTTGTTCTACCGTAGGAGGTCGTTCATTACATAGACATGATTCGATGGTGATCAGAAAGACTTACGGCATGGAGGAAGCCAGCTCTGCCATCGAGGCAGCAACACACAGGACGAATGCGCACGCTATGGGCCATGCCCATACCATGGCAAAATGGCCTCCTAAGGATAGCAATCAAATTCCTGCTTTGGTACATGCCCCCGAGTATTACTGACCTGAAAGCAAAGGATAGGAATATCCGGTAGTGACTCCACAAGATGCAGCCATGATAGCCATCGAGAATGAGATCGTCTCTAGCAGCTGGGTCACAAAGTCAGGTCTGCGCAAGCAAAAAAGAAATCCTGATACCGAAAATTCTCGTTTAAATTGGCTCTTGTAGCCAAGTTTCTGGAGGATAATATTATCTTCTCGGTGAACGGGGGAGATGCCATCCTGACTATTGAGACTGATAGACTCAGTGACAATGCCGGGATCATTATACTTGGCCATTTTATCTGAAGGAGAAAACGTGGAGTGCGGGGTTGAAGTGGATTCTGCCGAATATATAGCCATCTCAAATGAAGCTGAGAGCGTACCGCCGTCATTGCAATGGCTGCAATTGGAGATAAGAGGACCAAAATTCCTGGGATAGACCAGGATAAACTGTGCTCTTATCTCGTTGCGTGTGATCCAAGCCAAACACAGGCTGTCATCTTCTGGCGTGTCACAGCGTGCTACGTGTGTTGCCTAAACTCGATAGGACAACTTGCAGAGCTTGGGAATCATGCACATGCACATGTGTATACCCAGATAAGGAAGTCGATTATATAGGTCCCGTGGCGTCGAAACTTAAATTATGTAAAAGACAAGTTGCAACCAGAAGTCATGATACCACGCCAGGCGGCGTTGAGCAACACTCTACGACACTTCAGCTCATCCGCTCGTGCATGTGTGCACATATCTCATATCGGAAAAACACCCATCCCAATTCCACCTAATGTCACTATCACCCAATCTCAAACTTCGCTCCAAGTAAAGGGACCTCTTGGCTCAACGTCCGTCCCACTGGAATCATACATGAAGCTCGCGTATCCGCAAGAAAATGTGCTGACAATAGCCGTAGAAGATGCAGAGGTAAAGAAGCAGCGGTCAATGTGGGGTCTTACGCGGACGCTCATAAATAACGCGGTCGTCGGAATGACGGAGGGCTTCACTGTTCCCATATATCTTGTTGGTGTTGGATACAGAGCTGCGTTGGAGGACGACCCGAGAGGAACGACAAATGGTGGCAATGGCCAGAGGCTCAACATGAAGCTGGGACATTCTCATAACGTCTACGTGCCAATTCCTGCCCATATCAAGGCAGACGTGCCTTCTCCGACGAAGATCACACTCTTTTGCACGGACAAGCACTTGCTTGGTCTTTTTGCTGCAAGGATACGGAAATGGCGTCCACCTGAACCATACAAAGGCAAGGTGAGCATATTTCAACCATAAATTACAGGGAAAGAGACTGATGCATGCTTAGGGTGTTTTCATTGGTAATGAACAAATTCGTATCAAGTCCGTCAAAAAGAAGTAGTTTGGACTCTGGCACCTACTTTTGCTTTCTTAGACTTGACTTGTGCTCATACTTATCATTGCATGCATACGATAGAGATCGTATTCCTAATGAAAACATTAAAGACCACGTAGATAGCTAGTCCTTGCAATATCGGTCTGAAATTGACTTGCTATTTGAACTTTGAATAATAGCATGCGAACTGTCACGTGATACGAGCTCCTCGTACTTCGCCTGCGTAGCCCTCTGTCACGTCCAAGTACTTGGTTTGCGCAGATTCTTTTTTTTCGCTCATCCAGTGACCGCCTATATACAACATTTCTTTGAAATGCCAGCAGAACTCTGCCCGCCATATGCGCCATTTTTCGGCTTTGCAGGTGTCGCTTCAGCTGTAAGTCATTGCAGTCGGAGTGCCGTGTTCAGTTCATCATAACAGTCCTCCATAGATGATTTTCAGCAGTACGCCATGACTCTGAGCTCTCAAATGTTATCTCATACACTCAAATACAGCGCTTGGTGCTGCCTTCGGAACGGCAAAGGCTGGAATTGCTATTGCAGGCCTGGGGACGTTCAAACCTGAACTGATTATGAAGGCGAGTGCAGCCCTCTAACAGGTTTCTTTTAATTCACGTTGCAGAATATAGTCTCTTGTGCCTGTGGTAATGGCAGGAATCATTGCGGTGTATGGACTAGTGGTATCGGTTCTCATCGCAGGAAATTGTCAGTATATAATCCTGGCATGACATTTGCGTGAATTGACCGGTTCGTAGTGAACCCATCGAAAGACTATCCCCTGGCTGCAGGCTTCATTCATCTGGGAGCGGGCATTTCCTGTGGAATGACTGGCATTGCTGCGGGCTATGCTATTGGCCTCGTCGGAGATTCGGTGGGCCTTTTGAACTACTATGAATGTATGCATGAATCTCACTACTGGTTGCAGTGCGTGCGGGCATATGTTCACGAGCAACGAATATTTGTGTCTATGATCCTCATCCTGATCTTTGCGGAGGTCCTGGGGCTTTACGGGTGAGTATTTATATGTACTTGCTCATACTTGCTGATCTTGCGTGCATTTCAGCCTCATCGTTGCATTGTTGATGAACACGAGGGTCACTGGTCTCGTGGGCGTTTGTGATTAATCACTCATGCTTCATTACATACATTTTGTTCCCTACATAAATACAGGCTCCGAATAAAAGCACAGACAAACTATGTCGGTGAATGATCATTTTTCAGTCTCTGGATCTACTGCGAGATGAAGATGCTGAACGAATTGAAGATGAATCTCGCCGCTTTGGTCGCTTCCTGCTGCGATCTCTGGAAATCGAACGTGAGGCATCTGAACTTGACGTAGAGCTGGCAGATGATTTAGAGCTAGACCCTGAATCTGAATCTGATTCCGAGTCCGAGTCCGAAGTGTCTGAGGAGGACCTCGAAGACCTGTTCAAAATGACAATCAGCCCACGCAGACACAATAAGTGAATTATAAACAACCTTCTCGCTTTCTTGCGAGCTCTACCGTCTTCCTCCTTGGATTTCCCTTTGGATTCCTCCAGTACCAGTCGTTCCTGCTCCTTTGACTCTAAAATTCGGTTTGCCGTTCCACTCCTAAGTAACAGAACAGGGCATCAGCCAAATCCAATCGTATAAGTCAGGTCGTCGGTCACCGTACTTTGTTCTAAATTCCTCCGGCACTTCGACTGAAGGCTTTCCCTCTGCCTTCAGCTTCGCAAGTAACTTTGGATTTTCAAGTAATTCTGTCCGCGAGGGACGAGATACGTATGGACGCGTGGACTTGCATTCGAATATGAAATGTCCTGCATGATTTCGTTTGGTCCAAGTTGCCCTTCTGCAACAACATCCAAATGAGAACACGCACCTGTACCGAGGCACTTCTGACAAACGGTTGCAGAGTTCGCTCTTGGGTTGTTGTTTGACCGACGGTGAGGCGCGAATTTCGACATTGTGATAAGGGAAATAGGTGCTTAGATTTCGCTTTGGTCTGATTTCTACGTGTGCTGAAATAAAGCTACACGTGGGTGTGATGGGCTAATCTAGGTGAGATCGAGTGTTGAGAGGAAAATGAAGTGTCTTATTACTATGTAGCACTAGGCGTCTGCTTACGTATTCACTATTTACAAGCTGGCTTTACAGTTCATTCACATACTGTCGCTGTATTCATGTAGGTGTGTTGCTATCCTGAAGGCACGATTACGGTCCCCGGATAGTATGGTGTTCTCGACCTTGCCAATATTCCGGACCAACTCCTGCATAGCAATAGTGCTCTCGCTCGCCCGGAGGACTACTACTTCAAAGTATCTTGTCGCTGCCTCCACCTGCAATCATAGCATTCTAGCTGCTGCTGGCATTTAACCAGATGAGCATGCTTTGGAATTTGCCCTGAACATTCACATTACAACTTGAAGAGATATCTATACACTATGTTCGCTGTTGTGCTTTTCTTCTCTTCTCTCCCAGAATATGGCGCCGACAACCTCACTCTCGACAGTGCGGTGGATAGTTGAGTGACCGTAAGCGAACGCATGGGTAAATAAGGACCTGGATATCCGTTGAATAGGTCGTATGGGGAACTGCTTGCGATTGGGCACCGGCGTAAACCCTCCCATCTCAGTCCGAAACTTTTTCTATGGCTCCAAAGCACAAGCCACAGTGTAACAATCCCGAGAACTTGAAAAGAGCAGGCGAAGGCTATGATGGTGTGCATATGAAGGCATCGGAACGTTTATCTTTTGAGTCATCGTAGTTGTCGTCAAGTTTGCATCAATAGCCTGGGACTTCGGTTGCTTTGTCGATGCGGCGATGTGAAGACGACTCGGGGGCTTCTCTCTGGTACTTATATACCACTTGTCTCCGAGTCTATACCTCATCTGTGGCATACTCCGGTCATACAATGACAGTAATGTCACTCACGCCAGAAGAGAAGGAGACGTTGGAGGTGTTCCGCAAACAAGTATTTGATGAAGAAATCATTCGAGAAGGGGACTCTGTTGGGACGGATGACGCAACCTTACTGTAAGCCTTTTCCCCGCTCTCGGCATATGTAGCATCGCTGCCCTGACTCAACTAACACCGTATCATGATGTGCACATTACAGTCGGTTTCTTCGCGCACGCAAGTTCAATTTGACTGAATCAAAGAAAATGTTGCAGAATTGCCAACAGTGGCGGAAAACCGTCGGAGGTGATGGGATAGACGCGTTATATGCCAGACTAGATCCTTATGATGTACGTCCTTCCTTCTTTCCCTCTAAATTGTAGTTGTGAAGAAAACTTTCCGTTATCCTATAGTACCCTGAGCGGGAAGAAATATTCAAGTCCTGGTCTATGTATTTCCATAAGGTGAGTTCTCCACTAGAACTTTTGCTGAGAATTCTAATGACAGCAATCATGATGGCCATCTTAGACAGACAAGGTGTGCTTGATGCTGTTCTTGACCTATGATTATCGGTACATTCTTACCTTGCAGAAAGGCCGACCGGTGAACATCCAGTTCTTTGGCGGGCTAAACCTTCCGAAGTTGTACAAGCATGTCACGCCGGAGAGGCACTGGGAGGCTATTGTTGTAAACGCCGATTCCCTTACCCGTGAAGTACTTCCAGCTGCATCGCGTGCTGCAGGGAAGCATATTCACCAATCGATCGTAATTGTGGACCTCAAAGGGTTTGGGTTCGTCGTTGGCGCTTTCCAGCTGCCAATAAGCTGATGTTCGTCCAGGTTATCACAGTTTTGGCAAGTGAAGTCATTGGCACAAGCTTCATTCCAGATATCACAGGATTATTTTCCCGAGACGTGCGTCCTATAAGGTCATTTTAGTCCTATTGATTCACTGATGGTCTTAGAATGGGTCAACTTTTAATAATCAACGCGCCATCCTCGTTTACCTTTATTTGGGGAATCATCAAGCCCTGGCTGGCAAAAGAGACTGTAGAGAAGGTCGACATTCTCGGTTCGAACTATAGAGAGGTTCTACTTGATGTGATAGATGCCGAGAATCTACCAGAAATACTGGGAGGCACGTGCACTTGTAAGAGTGAAGGAGGATGCGACCTTAGCGGTGCAGGACCAGTGGATGGTTGAGAGGAATGAAAGGAAAAGGAACGGGAGTACTGAGGACTCTGGATCCGGAGAAAAGACAGGAGAACGTCGCAGTGGTCGAACACAACGGTCCAATTACCCATCCCATAGACGACAAGTAGAAGCATACATGTGTATCATATATACATGTCGATAGGGGAGGGCATGAACATTATATATGATTTGTACATGTGACATAGATCGAACAGCAGTTTCCTTGTAGCAGATGCTTCGCAGTCTTGACGGATCCTCAATATGAACCTGCGTGAATGCGAACGAAATGCTTCCGCCAGTCGCGAGGCCCTAGACAGCTTGGCAGCCGGAAGCCAAAAACGCCGATTCACACTGACCACTCACCAGCTAAGACACCAGATGTAACGCGAGGTCAGGACAACTCCACAAATCAGAGGACCGAGAAGAGCCAAAAGTACACATGCCTAAGAGTGATCCAATGCCTGTATCAACACATTGACGCCCCTGCAACGACGAGTCCAATTGTGAAAGCTCTATGTTAGTGGAAGAGATGCGATACCACGGCGATTGAAGGAACGTTCGTAAGGCCTATTGCAATCCCGGCTGCACGAGTATCATGCAAAGTACGCTGGAGTCCTAAGGGTTGTCTGCTCGGCCATCTTGAGACAGTTGCACTCTGTGTGACTTGCTCCCGCGGATCCGGTGACCCGCACGGAAGAACTCGACCGACTTGGAAGTTTGGTTCAAAAATAACTCCAAAATGGGAGAGCGACCGCTATTGCCGGCGTGGCTGCTGGTGCCTTCGAGTTGAAGGATTATAGTGAGAATAGCCACACGCAAGTCGATGTGATACACTCTCATACCACACCCCGGCAACACTGGCAGGTTATTTCTCGTCCACTAATAGCTGATTTTAGCTATAACATCGACAGTAAGGAACGGCTGCATGCCCTTTTATGGTCTGTCTAGGGAGCAGTATGACACAGCGATGTTAATGTTTGGCCATACGATATCCTCCGCAGCCTGTAAACATTTGAGAACTAAAGTCCAATGAAATATTCGAGGTCACCGAGTTTTTCAATAGTACATACTACCACTGGCAGTAACGGGCACATATGATGAGGACACTCGCGAGGATCGACTTAGCCAGTAAGCCATGACAATACAGTACACAAGAAGGGCATGATGTTTCATGCATCGACATGAAGCTTGTCCAAAAGCGCAGATAATATTGGGTTTCCGCCCAGTCTCTCAACTTCTCCCCTGGCTTGTTGCTCCAACTTATGAAGCACTGCTAGGGTGTAATCAAACGACTTGGTGGTGGTTCTGAGATACTCGATAGCGCGATGCTTGAGGGTAGGAGTCTCGGGACGTTTGTGTAGGACATCTGACAATATCATTGAAATCAAATGAGGTGGTAGTCGACATATTTGAACTCACCCATGATCAGTTGGTTTTCAGGCTGTTCGAAGATGCTGTGAATAACAGGGAAAGAGAATTTTCCTTCAGATAAATCTTCTGCAAACCCCTTTGTGCCTGTGTACTGAGAGAATATTCGGTTCATGTCTCCAAAAAATTAGATTGGAGACCAACCTCGTCGCTCTGGAGATTCATGTAGTCATCGCGGATTTGGTAATAAATCCCAATGAGATTGGACAAAGGGACATAGTCACTAGGACGGGAGTCGTTCAATCTGCGAAAAATCAAGACTCCATTTGAGACTCACACATTCGTGTTCGTCGTAGCACATGCCATCATGAGTTTGGCAGCAGCCCTCAGATGACTGCCTGTTTCTGAGTAGCCATGTTCAAAATGGTTTCTTATAGACAATGACGACGACCTACTGTCTTTTACCATCTGCACATACTCATCTTCTGTGGGACAGCGGAGGGTATCACGCCAGAGGATGTCCAATCCCTGTCCATGGTGGGATGATATGAGCTCGGCTATCCTCGTCTTTATGTCAGGACTGTCTATGAAACAATGGTGACACAGATGGCATACCATTCATTACAAGGTCCAGGTCGCGAACGGAAATGAGGCGTTCGGGTTTCTCGGCGGTGGAACTGTCGTCCCTGAGCCCACTGTCTGGACCTGCACTAGAATCACAAGCGCGACGCTGCACTTTGGGCCTCAGAGAGGACAACTCTTGATATGCTAGGAAGTAGACGTAATTGGCGGCATTGATGGTACGGGGAATGCCATATACTTTATGCGCGACTGGAAGCTATCAATAACCCCTTCACGGATATCGCTAATAGCAGACATGCCTATAATCCCACGTCTCAGCTGAGAGCCGTCTTCGATGTCATCTACCCTGTAGATATAAAAATTAGTCAGTGTTGGAATTAGTTCGATAACTCTTGGAAAGACGTACAAGAGACCGGCATTATGGAAAAGACCGACAACACGGATGATGACCGCAAGCTTGTCTTTAGGAACATTAAGCCAGAGGTTGAAGGCTTGGACAATCATTTCTGTGGTCTTTTTCCCCGTGTTGGCAGTGATGTATGTGTAGGGCTCGAGCAAAACCTAGCAGAGTAAACCTGAGCCATGCGTCAAACTCAAGATCTGTAAAGATACTTGCGGATTCCTGAGCTTCGGTCCATGTGCTTGACGGTGGTGCACGCAGGCTTGAGAGGAAGCTATCATATCTTTCGATGTTGGCATGCATTATGCTATTAGGACAGATCACTACTGTACCGGTGTGTATGGAGGCAACCGGCTGGGTCAGCGTGACACCTGCACTCATGCAACCCGAGCTCCGTGATGTGTTACCTCACCTACAATAGGCAACTTCTCATTGTTGGCACACAACTATGAGAAACAAGAAGGACAATATTCATATACTCCTGCCGCGTTGCAACAGTGCGAGGTAAGGAAGTAGACGAGTCAACTTTCTACTTTGTTTCTGGCCAGTAAGAATACATCTTACCGTCAACTGAGGGCGAATGGCGGTAAGTACGACAGCCACTGAATCCGTGGAGCGACCGATTAATTACCAAAACCTAGATGCGGCTGGAACCCGGATGGTCGAACGCTGCTTATAAGTTATGACTCGAACGGTTCAATTTGGAGTGTCATGTACCGAACACCACAGAAGACAGTTTAATAATGATGATGGACCTCAGTGCTAATAGTGACCTTGGCAAGGTCTGTGGGAAGTTTCCTTATGGAGTACCTCCTATTGAACCACAGCCAGATACACATCTCTCACTTGCGCTTTGACAACCATGTCATCTGAAACTCCTTTCCAAATCGACGTCCCCGACGAGAAATTAACCACCCTCCGTGCTAAACTTGAACTCGCTATTTTCCCGAATGAACTGGACGATGCCGGGTGGAAGTATGGTGCACCTCTGGCGGATATCAAGCGGCTCACAGAGAGGTGGAAAAACGGGTACGACTGGCGCAAATATGAAAAAGAAATCAACGAGCAGCTGCCGATGTTTACACGCGATATTGACGTGGATGGTTTCGGCGCGCTGAATATTCATTATGTTCACAAGAAGAGCGAAACCGTTGACGCTATTCCGCTGTTGTTTTGTCACGGATGTAGGTCAATTTGCATGCTCACAGACCAACATATTTTGACCTTAACTAGGGCCTGGAAGCTTCCTGGAAGTCGGGAAGATTTTGCCCCTCCTGACTGCATCGGCCCCTGAACATCCTAGTTTTCATGTTGTGGCGCTTAGTTTGCCCGGTTTTGGCTTTTCGGAGGCTCCCCGCAAACAAGGCTTTGGTATTGATCAGTATGCTGAGGTGACTACTATTCATTACAACAAATTCTAATCTCTCTACATATTGACTGTGTACCCAGGTTGCTCACAAACTCATGGTCGCTCTCGGGTACAAGGAGTATGGTACGTTACTGAGTAATTCCTCAAGTGGATCAACGAATCTATTCATTTCTCCTACAGTTACTCATGGAGGTGACTGGGGTGGCCTTGTGAGTCGTATGTTACAAGTAGACCTGACTTATCGTTAATATATCCTCAGATTACTAGGAGAATGGCTTCTGTGTATGGTGGGAGGCATCACAAGGCATGGCACACTAACTTTCCAATGTAGGCCATTTTCTCGCTCCGCACACACCTCGACTCATTCTCGTCTATGTAGTGCCAAACCACCGAGCTGGAGATCGCCCCTGTCTTTCTTGTCTTTCTTGCTAACCCCATGGTCTATGGAGGAAAAAGCGGGCATCGAACGTACCACGTGGTTCCATACCAAAGGACAAGGCTACTCCAGCGAACAGAGCACCCAGCCGCAGACACTCGGTTACGGTCTCACTGATAGCCCTGTTGGCCTGCTTGCTTGGATCTACGAGAAACTGGTCCTTTGGACCGACAATTACAATTGGTCCGATGATGAAGGTAGCAGCAATATTGCTTTTCTGGATATCGCTCAACTGTTTCAAATAGTGCTGACATGGATCTCATTGTACTGGTTCTCCCGCGACGGACCCGCAGCCTCCCTTCGCATTTACTTTGAATTGCGTGCCGATTGCGAGGATATAGGCCAAAATCCTACTATTCCTATGGGAGCATCGTTTTTCCCGAAGGAAATCATAGTTTTGCCCGCAGCGTGCGTTTCTATCAATCAACTTTGCTGAAGCTAATATGAGTTTGTAGGTGGCTGCGCAAGTCGAACAACGTTGTTTTTGAGTCCCATCATAAGACAGGAGGCCATTTTGCTGCCACTGAACACCCGGAAGTGCTTGTTCAAGATATCCGGAAGATGTTTGCGAAGGGGGGCCCTGCGTTCGCAATTGTCCCCGGAAGAACTGGATATGCTTGAACAACTAGCATTCCTCGCGTTTGGAATGAATATCGAGTGAAAGTGTACAAACAGGCAATGTAATTTCGATATCATGTATACTATGACACAATCAGTATGGTTTGCTCGCGACTCTTCATCATCAGCCGTCGAATTTGCCACCTTGCCAGTCCCGTCGTCTAAAAACAAGTAAACTTCCCCTGGTAATGAATTCATTGCGAAGGTCACGATTTTATGTACATCATGACTAGCGGAGTAGGGGACCCCTAGGGAGAGGAAGTTAGGTGGCAGAGGGCGGCAGCGTTTGGAGCGGAGTTATCAGAATCAGATGGTTTCGGGAGCAGTAGAGCCAGGGTTGTACCGTAAGTCCAGCGTGCGCATCAGCAGAGCCCATTCCACTAGGTGTCTCCTAGAACCGTCGTATTGTTGTTCCACCTACCGTGCGGGATAGTCCATCTGGATTGGATCATGATGGAAGCTCTGGCACATTGATGAAGAACGCAAACACAGAGGTGCGTGTCCCATGACATTGTAGCCACTCTCTGTGCTCGCCTAAGTAATATGGTCGTTCCCATTGTTGTGCCTATCAGATGTTAATTTCACTAGTAAAATCACGCAAGACAGACCTCTGACAGCATGGTTTCATACAATGCCAAGAGTCTATCTCGTGCTGCTCGAACCTTGAGGACAAAGTTTAATATCGGTCCAGGAACGACGAACTCTCGAATGTGGAACTCACCGCACGGGCCTGAGGTCCCGAGTACCGTTGCCCAGACGTATCAGGTTGTTTTTGGAATTTTCAATTTTAGTGTGAGATACTTTTACGCTGTTTTACCGTCATGTGACGTCCGGATTCGGCCAGATTTCTGGAACCCTTCTGCTTTTGGGGGCGGGCAAGTCTTTGTGTGCCGCTTTGCATTCTTTCTCATTGCCGGCCAATGCAATCTACGTTTTGAGTTCCTTTCGACGAACGATTTGCCAAACAAATCAAATTATCTTGTCGAGTCCCGCCAGCTGCGTGTGAATCCATGACAAACAAACAAATCTATGAGGAGGACAGTGCTAGTGCTAAGAGACAGAACTTTGAAGCTAGTTTGTGTGCATGTGTGTGTGTGGGGGTGGTGAAATGTCTGTGAGTCTTAAATGGTTGTGCTACGGATCAGTGTGTGTGTGTGTGTGTGTGTGGATGGATGAGGCTTCCTCTATCAACTCAGGAAGACTGAATGCAGGTTGTGATTGTTAGTGCTGCCGTGGTCTGGTTCGGTCTGGTTCACAGAGGGTCGAGCAAGAACCAAGAACTGGACCTAGGTTTGGTTCTACCAGACTTGATGAACCTCGAACTGGACCTTGGTGAATGGTTCAGAATGGTCAGGTCCAGTCATTTTCAGGTTCGAACATGAACTGAACCAAATTTATTTACAATGAGCAAAAAAAAACATAGGTAGGACTTGTTGTGGTGCCACGGTCAATGGTCTCAATATCAAGAAGTAGGAGGGCATGAAAGATGGGGCGTGGCATGAGAGAACAGGTGGGAGAGAGTTAGCACAAGAGAACGGGCACAAGAGGACAGGTATGAGAGAGCAAGCATGAGAAAATGGGCACAAGATAATTGAAGATGAAGTCACTCACCTAACACCTCAAACTCAGTGGTTTTGGTTGCCTTTGTCTTTGTCGGCGCATTGATTTTAGGGGTGGAGGCAGTGATTTCGTGGGAGTGGGATGATGGGCTTGCAGGAGGAGTTGCACAATGAGATGTGTGGTCTGATTCGTCTGTTTGAACAGTGCATATCATGACTTACCTTGTCAATGGGCCTCTGCATTTGATAGAAACAAGTAAATCTTGAAGCTTGAGAATCCCTGAGGCTGAAGTGGATCATCAAAGGAAGTGTCAAAGCACGCTTCAACAATGTGGCAAGCTTCTTTTGGTTCGCAGTTCGGAACAGTTCGGGACCGGTCCGAACCAAAGTTGAACTGTTCGCCCAATGCCAGAACCAAGAACCATATTATGGTCCAGTTCTGGCTGACACCTGGACCGTGGACCAAACCACAGGAGAACCAGACCAAAAAGTCCGGTTCGAACCATGGTTCAGGACTGGACCACAGCAGCACTAGTTATTGTCAGTGTGAGGCAGATGCTACAGGAAAGATGCATACTAGTAGTGTGGACAGAGGATAACTTGACAAGCACCACAAATTTGGTGAGAAGTGAATACAGCACTATAGAGCCTGTACACATGTAGGCAGACACTCATATGTTGATCATTAACTAAAATCCAAAGTTGTTTAGAATTTGTTACAGTGTCACAGGCCTGTCACAACCATACACACATCAATTTCACCTGGCCCAAGAGCTGACACACTTAAACACCTATCTCTACTTGTAGGTTTCTTAGATGGGGTCACACGGCTGAGATGAGAGCTAGAACAAATATGTAATCTCAGTATCTGGGAGGAAGAATCCAGGTGCTATAAGTACCTAGAACAAATATGTACTAAGTCTTTGTTAGTAGCTGGTATGTTATATGAAGGTAATAGCACTTACATCTCAGTATCCGGGAGGAAGACTGAGATGCCTAATTCTATGAGAGACTGTTTTTATGTGCGGGTAGAGCAGGAATGAATGCAAATTAATCTGAGACCTTTTGACATGATGTTCGGCCAATGATGAGCAAATGTCTGAGAAACGATGTGCTTGCACCTAATCTGACGTGTCTGACGTGCCTCTCAACACTACTCTCGTGCTGTCTGTCTCACTTTATGATCATCCTTTGGAGCTGAAAAACATGCTGTCGAAGGCCTGTTTGCAGTACAGTACAGCAGGAAAGACTTACAACAGTCTTTATCTTGGTTTCACCCGCTAGGATTTGTTGAATGGCTTGTTGTTGTCCAAATCGTCCAAGTTGAAGAAGACCGAGAGAGCTGATGGCGAGGCATGAGATGTCAAATAGAGAGTGCAAGCACAAGGGGAGAAAGGGCAGGCACAAGGGAGAGCTGACATCGGGCCTGAAGCTGCACATGTATCAAGTTTCATTCTAATATGTATAAAGTCTAGCACCCGTGCAGACGAGCATCTCAGTTCTGTTTCCAGAGACTGAGACGTGAGTACCTATACCATACCTTATCGTAAACATATGCTGACACAACGTAGTCTTACCTATCAGGTACACATTTCATTAATAAAGAGTTCTGTTTCCAGAGACTGAGACTCTTACCTATCAGACTCCTTGTGACCCTCTCGCTTGTTATAAATGCCTTTATGGCATGTATAATATCTGTCCTCGAAGTTCTTGTCTTCACTATTATTGACCTGAATCCTTGGAACGACAGATGACTTAATAGTAGATCTAAACTAATGTTTGGTTAGAAAGAATGCAAAGTGGCATGCAAAGACTTGCCCGCCCAAAAGCAGAAGGGTTCCAGAAATCCGGCCGAATCCGGACGTCACGTGACGGTAAAACGGCGTAAAAGTATCTCACACTAAAATTGAAAATTCCAAAAACAACCTGATACGTCTGGGCAACGGTACCCGAGTCGCTTATAGCGAGAAAATGATGAGTCAATATCAAGTCTCTGACCCTGCATAGATGCGAACAATTGAGGTGACGAGAACAACTATCACCTGGCCAATCTGATCTAGTACCGTGAATCATGTGAAGCTAAAGGAACCGGAAATTCGAATTATCACATGGGTATTACGCGAGACGGGATACACGATTTCATACCAACATTCTGGATGACACTACCTATCGTACACTTCCACTCAATATTCAGTCCGAATCATTCAAGTAGCACACGAATGTTGGTTGTTCAAGCATATCCACTTTTTCCAGGGACAACTGCGAACGCGGGACCCCCCTTCGCGAACATCTTTCGCACATCTTCAGTAAGCTCTTCCGGCCGTTCATAGGCAGCAAAATGGCCTCCTGACTTATGATGGGACTCGATCACAACATTATTCAACCTGCGCAGCCACCTACGATCTCATGTCAGTTTCGTGGCAGCCAAGCTGATTGATAAAACGCACGCCGAGGGTAAGAGCAGGAGCTCCTTTGGGAAATATGACGCTCCCATAGGAATAGTGGGGTAACTAGTACGACCCAAGTTGTAGAAATCGCCATACACCTCGGAGTAAATGCGATGGGCAGCACCGGGACCAGCACGGGAGAACCAGTATATGGAAATCCACGTCAGAGCTGTTTCAAAAGCAGGTGAGTATTGTATTGGGGAGTGTGACTGACTGCTGCCACCTTCGTCATCAGTCCATTTGTAGTCGTCGGTCCAGATGACCAATTTCTCGTAAAACCAACCAAGCAGTGCAACAGGGCTGTCCGTAAAACCGTAAGCGAGTGTCTGTGGGAAGGTGCTCTGCTCAACAAAGTAGCCGGATGATTTGTCGCGATACCACGCAGTGCGCTCAAGTCCTGCCTTTTCCTCTGCAGAATAAGGGGTTAGCAGGTACGACAAGAAAGACAGGGGCGATTTCCAGGTCGGCGGGTCGGCCCTAGTTAAACATGAGATAAATTGATGGGCGAGCAGTGACCGAGAAAAGGACATACATCGGAAAGTTGGTGTGCCATGCCTTGACATGCTTTCCACCATACTTAGCAGCCATTCTCCGAGTGATCTGAGAGTATATTAGCGATTAATTACATCTATTTGTGAAATGTCGCTCACGAGGAAACCCCAGTCGCCTCCCTCGGTCACTGCCAGAAAATGAGCAAATTCACTGTAGAAGATAATGACAATGGCGACGTGCCATACTCGTTGTACCCGAGAGCAATCATGAGTTTATGGGTTACCTAGATACCTTAGTCAACATTTTAGGAGCTTAGGATGTGCGATGAACAATGGATACCTCAGCATATTGATCAAGACCAAAGCCTGGTCTGTGAGCACCCTCCGAAAAGCCAAAACCAGGCAAGCTAAGCGCCACAACATGGAAGCTAGGATGTTTAGGAGACGACGCAGTCAAGAGGGGTAACATTCCCCTGATTTCTATGAAACTTCCAGGCCCTGGCTAATGTCAGGAACATGTCGGTAAGCGTGGATAAGACCTACATCCATGACAAAACAACAGCGGAATGGCGTCAACAGTTTCGCTCTTCTTGTGAACATAGTGAATGTTCAACGCGCCGAAACCATCCACGTCGATGTCGCGGGTGAACATCGGCAGCTCTTGGTTTAATTCCTTTTCATATTTGCGCCAATCGTACCCGTTTTTCCACCTCTCCACGAGCCGCTTCATATCTGCCAAAGGTGCGCCGTGCCTCCAGCCGATGTCCTGAAGTTCATCCGGGAAAGTGGCGAGCTCAAGTTTAGCACGAAGGATCCCGAGTTTCTCGTCTGGGATGTTGATTTGAAAGGGGGTTTCGGATGGCATGGTGGTCGAAGTGCGAGTGAGGGAGTTACTAGTACATCCTGGTGCATCCTGTGGTTTAATAGCTGCACAAAGAAGAGCTAACCTTTTGTTTCGTCCGCTGGGAAACGTCTATCGGAGACTTATCTCTTGTATCGTCATTTTAAAATAATAATGCGGTAATCTTATCTTTGACAGTACTTCCATAAGACACCGTGCACCTTGGGCTTTCCTTTTTATCGATATAAGGGCCTTCAGCCAGGACATATGAGATTAGGACATGACTGGGTGTCGTGACGGGATTTTTTGTATACGATGTTGGAGAAGTTGGCGCATAAGCGAGAGGCTCGGCATCAGTGAACCCGTGAGGAAAGTAGATAGCAATAAATAACAATATATAGTACATAATCGCAAGAACTAGCATAATTTTGCTATCGACAATCACATTGTTATGTTTGACCTTATAGAGGAAAGACGCGTCCCTGATTATCGTATAAAATGTTATGAAATGCCATAACGAAAGGGAGGTTCACAACTCCGAAGCATCAAATAATTGACGTGAAAATATAATGCTTTACAATGCTTTATCTAATTGCAAAATTTACATGATATCTGCGAGAATGATACTACCTGGAGTAAGTTAGACAGAACTACCAAAAGCGCCAGCATGACAGATTGCCTACAACAACCTGTCATTTTGTCACCAGTACCAAATTATTCTCATCCTCAGCACTCGTTTTGTGAAGCAAATTAATTTTATTTATATTTAAATACTACATATGTAGTTACAGGACAAAAAGAAAACAGGAAAAGATAGCGGAGAGATGAATGAAAGGAGGGACCAAGGTCAGCAAGGAACCACGAAAAAAGGCCAGCAAGGAGCCACGAGGAAAGGAAAGGAAAGGACCACCATGAACGGCCAGAGGAAGGAACCATGAGGGAAGGACAGACCACCACGAACGGCCAGGAAGGAACCACGAGGAAAGGAAGGGCCATGAGGAAAGGAAGGGCCACCACGAACGGCCAGGAAGGAACCATGAGGAAAGGCCAGGGAGGAACCACCACGAACAGCCAGGGAGGAACCACCACGAACGGCCAGGCAGGAACCACCACGAACGGCCAAGGAGGTACCACAAGGAAAAGGCCAGGGAGGGACCACCACAAATGGGAGGAATGAAGATGCTGAGTCGAGAGGTGGTGGTAGTAGCGGTGAAAGAAGGATTGAAAGGAACTTGCGTGTAAATTTCCGTCCTGCGCAAACAATGACAAATCAATTTCAACCACTTGCGCTGGTCACATGATTTGAGGTTGTCCGAAAATTCTAAGGTAAAATTTGAGGCTGAGGTGATAGTCACGTGCATGATTTTGGATGACATTGTAATTCACGCAATATTTGAACCGATCTATATAGTTTTGTAAGTCAAAAATAAATGAGGTAATATGATGTTGCTCAACAAACGGTACCTAATTACACTATCATACCTCGCTGATTGAAGCTCTCATAAGAATATAAATTAGGTTACAAGTGCTAACGGTTCTTTCCACGATAAAGTCTTATATCACTTGGTAGTTTAAAACATAAATGAGGGAACATGGCATGAGTCAACAAATATAACTTAACCATGCTATTGCATATTGATTGCTGCAACGGCGCAATGTTGTAATCTTGTTGCGAACTCCTCATGGTAAAATGAATTTTCAGAGATTCATGGCTATGTACCGATAACTAATATTTATTGCTGTATACATAGGTATATTCAGCCGTAGCAAAATGATATCATCTTATACTTCCCACGGCTACAAAATCAAGGACTCATGAATTCACTGATGCGGAAGCGGTATAAATTTCGTGCGCAAACACGTCCGAGTATGAGTCGGGAGCTGTGCGAAAGAGAGCGCAGGTGACCCCTGCTGTGTGCCGACGATATCAGAGGCTGATGTGCGGGGAGGAAGCCTGTGGGAACGTCAGTGTTCAATACAAACCAGTGATAGTAACAAGATAGTCAGTGAGGACCCCATCCCCACAATAGTATGCATACAGGCTTCTGAGTATCGATACTGTGTCAGGGCTAAAGCAGCTTCTCGGTCAGTAATAAGTATATACATACAGTCTTCCCTGTATCAAGACTCATGCTAGGGCTGCAAAGCAGCTTCTCAGGTATCACCAGCTATCCTATTCAGAATGTACCTTGATTCATATGATACTTCTGCGCTTCCTGAATCCTGACGGCCAAGTGTTCCTTAGCCATCCTATTTGGGGACCTTCTTCTCCTGTCCAGACATATCGCATGCCTTTGGTTCCCTAAATCCAATTATTCCCGAACGAGTCACCGTTAGGTATACCTCCCCTGCTTCTCGCCGTGTATCAATACAGTGGCATGTGCTGTTGGTGATCCAAACTTCAAGGGCCTCAATTGGATGGCAAGGCTGCGGCCTGCTCCGGATGCAAGATGAGCGAATGTGTCTCAGGTTGAAGATCATATACTTACAACGAAACAACAGGACAAAAACCGTGAGACTTAGCTGCAGAATATCTTTGGGACGTACGGCTCAAACGTGGGTCAAGCTGAAACTCTCTACAGATGAAAAGGATAAACTAGCTCACAAATTCTAGTAATGTATAGCACCCCTAGCGCTGGTCATATAATGACAGATTGCTGGCAAGTACAGCTTTACATACAGTACGCAGACAGCCTGATGTTGGTGTTGATATGTATCACGTCAAGAGCATGACCACAACAATGCAGTGCATTGAAAAGATCAAGATATCGAACCTAGCTGGTAAGAAATGAAACGCATTTAGACACCACATGGAGGAATATCTCAGTCATTGCACCTAGTTATTATACTCATCTCGTCTGCGTTGAAAATTGCCTCTCAAGGGCTGTGGTGTTTATCCTCGCCCAGTGCACTAGAAACGGTAGTACTGGGTTGGCGATCAACGAATAGATATTATGCCCTACCCCAGAGCAGCTAATTGGCTAGATCCGCTATTGCTCGCGAGATATATTGTGATGAACGTTCAAGGATAGTAGCCTAAAGAAGATGTAAAGGTTCATCGAGTTTCATCAGCTACCAGAGAACTTGGTCTAAACACTTTTATTAGCACCGCGTGTAGTAAAAGCTTCGAACGGGACAAGGCTGTGAGACGGGAGGGTTGGTTGTAATCAGCAACAATGATTTGACAGAAGCCGCCAAATCAGCACAGTGCGGGTGGCATAGCAAACATATGAGCCTGGGCCTGATTATCATACATTGGTGTGAACAATGATTAATATTGACACTGTAGACTCGAGAATCTGTGGAGGAGCACTTCCATGCACACAATATCGCTGATAACAACAGGGCCTGGAGCAAAAAAAAAACAGAGGTCCGGACTCCAGAAGCCACGAACTTGACAAAGATGTGAAAATCACGTACTCACCGGGCCCCACGAGTCGCTTATAGCGAGGAAATGAAATGATAAGCCAACAGTCTTTTATTTACCCCACATGCGGAGTTGCGAACAATTGAGGTGACGAGAACAAGGGTCACCTGGCCAATCTGATCTACCTCACGTCGCACGAGGATGATTGTCGATGTCAAAGAGTTGTGTCGAACTGAACTCCGAACTCGTGATCATTCACGCATATCCGTAAAAGGCAATAGGACTTCGTACACCGCCAGAAATGTTTAGAGGACTTACGAACGCTCGCTCACCTAGGCAAGGCCATCCTATCGATGTTACCCTTCCAGATGCCCAGTTCATGAGAAAATACAGCCATGACTTCATCTATCGCCGCCCATACTATGATTCCTTTGATCCTGCGAACTCAGATGCGGACCGGTCGAGCCTATCATCATGATAGTCACAATGGTAAAAAAAAATGTTGTGCTGTCGTCTCTAGTTTTCACACTTTGGCCATTTTCGAAAGGATTGCTTGGGATTGCCATTGGACAAATGCTTCGGAGAGTCGCTTAGTACACGACTCCCCGAACTTCCCTTTTGGAGAACTTCCTTTCAATGACCACATAGGACTACTGTACGTGCAGTAGCTCCCTAGTTAGCTCAGTGCGTGGATGAAACAGTAATATTTACTCACCATATGTATCACAGATCTTTCCCGCTATAGAAGGATTTTCTTTTGCAATACCGGGACCTGCCAGTGGTCGCTCGATTGTAGACAGGCCTGCGCGCCTTCACTCATTCACTCATTGATGGCATCAACGAGGACTCGGATACTTACCGTCAACACCCCTCCCTGGCTCAAACATCGAAGACACAATCCACTTCCTATTCCAGCCTACAATACAGTACGATGCGAATGCGTGCCTCGATCGTGCTATTCACTCACGGGTCACTAGTCACTGCTCAATGTCTCTGTCGACGATTTCATCTTGAAAAAGTTGACGGTGATTATAGTGCATATTTGCATTTATGATCTGTGGCTATACCACGAGATTCATGCCATTATCCGACTTATGTTCACCTTTCACCCTAGATACTCCATGTACGATATATCACAAGCGACTACCTTCATTATTGTAGCTGCGAGAGTCAGAACTCACTGTTTTTCGGGTTCTCGACTGATGCTCGGACGTATTGGCGCATGGGCAACTCTGCACCGTTATATCGCTTGTGCCAACTTCCCTGACATCATATACAAAAAATTCCCGTCACAACGCGCAGACATGTCCTAATTTCATATGTCCTGGCTGAAATTATTATCCAAAAGAGCTCCTGGTCTTCCCCTCAGCGTGCGTTCAGTCGATTAGCTTTGCTGCCACGAAGCTAACATGAAATTGCAGGTAGTTCCGCAGGGTAACAACATTGTAATCGAGTTCCATCATAAGACAGGAGGCCATTTTGTTGCCTCTGAACGGCCAGAAGAGCTTGTTGAAGATGTGCTGAAGATGTCTGCGAAGGGGGATCCCGCGTTCGCAATTGTCCCTGGAAAAAGTGGATATGCTTGAACAACCAACATTCGTATGCTACTCAAATGACTCGGACTGAATATTAGGTGAAAGTGTACGAATAGGTGGTGTCATTTAGAATATCGGTATGAAATCATGCATCCTGTCCCTCGCATCTTGCGCAATACACTCTGCTATCCATGTGATGTTTCGGATTTCCTGTTCCTTCAGCTTCACATAACTGTAGAACACGCCATACTGGAACTGCTGCAGAAAAGCCAGCTTGTTAAGGTGTACCTCCATGCGGAAGAAACGATCCTCCAACTGTGCAGCTACTCCAAAGTCCCCAAGATCGTTGCTCTGGCCTGATGCTGAGTTGTCGAAAAATGAACGATATTCGCCAACGTTATCGCACACTTGACGAACTTGGTCTATGTCATCCGCTTTGGCGAGAGCATTGTTACCTGCGGGAAACAATCGCCCAATGGCAGGAAAAAGTTTGGCGCGCTGCTCCTTGGTGAGCTCTGTGTCAAAGGAATTGATGGTGATGTTTATCGTTCGTCTGTCAGCTTCGAAGGCGAGAATGTTGTGCATGACATCTACAGTTGTCGAACCAATAGTGGAGACATAGTTGTAGAAATCCTCGAGATACGCTTTGTAGACGGTATTCCTGATAATCTCGATGTTCATGTCATCAAGATCAGCAGCAGAGAGGCAATCGCGGAAGTAGGGCGCTGATCATGGTATTTAGTATCTGGGGTCGGGGTCGTACCAGGACAAATACCTAGAGGCGTTTCCACCAATACACTCTGGTAGAGCTCTTCTACGTTGGTTGCCACACATAATGCGGGCATGGTATCGAATATGCCTAGTGGATGACATCGTTCGAGAAGTTCATGCGTATCCCTCTCGTGGAGCGTGCCCGTTATGAGTAGGACGACATTGTCAATCATGTACCCATACCTGCAAACTATGAGCGCAAGAACATATAATTGATCATTACATACGTGATGTAATCCAAAAACTTGCTCAGAGGCTCAACAGAATTGCTGCGAAGAAAGTTGAAGTGATCCACGAGAGTCTGTGTTGCCTTGTCGGCTATAGTTGAGGTGGACAGCGGGGATGGCTCGTTCGCGAGGAAGTTTCCATAGTCAGTCGCGGACAGCTGCGTTTTGAAATCTATGTCAAGCGCGCGTGAGCAAGGATTGGCTTATTTCTCCCTTCCTGACCTTCCAATGTCTCGCACTGAGTCAAGCTGGCATAGTGAGATTGAGTGAGTATGCCAGATTTGTAGCCTCGGACGATTCCCTCTAGAAATCCGTTGTTCACCTAGAAGGTGCGCTTCCATTAGCTTTAGAGGACGTGTCGATAGTGTATACCCACGTTGAAAAAGAGACCCTCCATGATGACCCGCTCGTGACGAACTTAGTACTGCGCGACTTGGCACAGGCCAATACTTGAGACGTAAGAGGAAGGTAATTTCCACGATCGTTGGTCTGGCGGGGTAGCTATTTTGACGCGCACCAGAAGTGTTCCTATTCATCCCAAATCAGATTGTGCAAATTCATAACTATTCCTTCATTGTTTTGTTCATCATAGGGACATATCACTAGCTACACCAGTCAATGTCTATTTTCTTTTCATCCCTCTATGGACCCTCTGCAAAGCACGTCGACACGTTTAACGGCGCACATTCTTCAGCCCTCTTCATCGGGAGCGAAGGAGCTACAACTTCGGATAACTCGTTTGCAGATTCCGAAGATATAGCATCAGAGTTATCGCTAAAGAACCACGCTGTCAATCACACAAGTTAGAGACCTAATGAACAGGGCAGGTGATATTCTCCTCGCTTCAAGTTCATGTAGAAGGACTGGCACTTCAGGTACCCTGGTGCGGCACATATTTTGTGCTGTGCCGCATGCAGAGACCAAATAGCTCCTGTGAGTCGAGGGAGGGATGGAGCATTTGAGGCAGAGTGCGCAGTGACACAATATTAATCCTATATGTAACAGGAGCCGTTGCGATGTGCGGAACATCTATGTTTTAATGTCTGAGAGGCGAGCAAAGAGTCACGGATTCCAGGATTACTCACTTAAAGCATGTGAAGGCTGCGACAGTTGAAGTGGTAAGGCATGTGGTAGCTGTCACGCGGCGTGGGTGAGGTTTCGCGCGGCCGAGCCGCAGCATGTGCTATGCTGGATGCGCAGCATGCAAGTGGGCCTTGAAGCTTGAAGTTTGACACTGGCATAGGTAAGTATGGAGCTTGATATTAGTACAGAGACTGCGATTGTCGATACAAGATGGGGTCGAGCCTGCCGCTAGACAGTGAGATAATACTTCACATTGCGTCTGAAAGACAACATTAGATCAATGATCATACATACAACGCAAACACGAGATGGACACTACATAGTACGAACAAAGAGGACAACTTGAAGCACTGTAAACCTGGTGAGAAGTAGATCCAGCACTCAGGCTGGTTATGTTGATATATATGAACGAGCGTAAGTGCTTGATTTGTGACAGTGCCGCGTTACAGGCGTGTCGCCGTGACGACCATATCACCTGACCCAAATTGTCTATGTATACTCTCAGGTACCACAGCCGTGTCCGAATCATGGTGGTGAGACTGACCAGAGTTCGTGGAAATGAGCTATGCTATGATATCTTTATTCCCTTAACACAGCTTTTCCAATACGCCATCTTGCCCATCAGTTGCGTATGTTGCTGCAACGTATAAGTTCGTGTAGGTGCAAAATGCTATCCTGTGCTCACCAGTCACGCTCTTACTATGTCTGTATCGGAAAAGAACTACGTGGTTGAGGAGGACCAGCCTGAGATTTCCGTAGAGGATCACAGACTTTTGCGCAAGGTCGACCGCAGACTTCTGCCTGTTTTCACTCTGCTTTACCTCCTTAGTTTCCTGGATAGGTTTGTTATCTATCTGACTCTAGCTGCCACATCGTGAGCTCATGATGTTTCAAAGGTCAAACATCGGGAATGCGAAGTAAGCAAAGCTAATATGTACTTGAGTCTTGCACTACTGACGATTCACATAACATGTAGACTCGATGGAATGACAACTGTGCGGTGATTTACGCTTTTTGTGATTTGAACCCTGGGCCTGACATGTGATGTTCGTTCTACATCATAGGATCTCGGTGTATCTGCTGCTAGTTATAACACCGCTTTGGCCATATATTTTGTCGGTTATATTGTTTTCGAGATCCCTGCCAATGTATGTGCCGCAAATTTCAATTCACTTCTTCAGCTAACCTCATTTCCCTTAGATAATGTGATACCAATTTTCATCAATGCTGATCTAGAGAGGAATCTAACTTGTTATCGTCGCTGTGCAGACTGAAGAACTGTAATCCACAAGTCTGGCTCCCGTCATTGACTCTTGCCTGGGGTATCGTCTCTATCGGCCAGGGTCTTGTCAAGAACCAAGCCGAATTATTTGGAATCAGATTCTGTATGTTGGCTTGTGTTTGTGGACTCTGGAGATGCTGATGCTCATTGCCTGCCCATCGTCAGTACTTGGTGCCACGGAAGCTGGGCTGTTTCCCGGTGTGATATACGTCTTCTCAGTATATTACCTGAGGTGAGAAGCACAATTCTGGGCTCTTATGCATACCGGGGCTTAACTGCTTTCGTATTGTATAGACGCGAGCGGAGTTGGCGAGTTGCAATTTTCTTCGGTGGTTCGGCATTGGCGGGGGCATTTGGAGGTATGCCAGACATTCTGGAGATGGCTGCAGTTCGATTAAATTTCTGAAGGAATATTTGCGTATTGCATTGGATTGATGAATGGTGTGGGCGGAAAAAGCGGTTGGCAATGGTATGGTCGTGTTCTCATGCATTACCTCATTAACACAACGTCGAAAAGGATATTCATTCTTGAAGGATTACTGACAGCGGTCATTTCCCTTATCGCATATTTCATTGTGCCCACTTGGTCCCACAAGGCCAAATTTGTGTGTGTTCTCCTTCTGTTTTGTCACCCACAAACGTCAACTTTTACAGTTATCTGAAACAGAAAAAACGCGCCTGCTAGATAGATTGCGAGCAGATTCTGATGCGGGGACTGACCAAACTTTCAAATGGTCGTCCGTCGGAGATGCTTTTAGCGATCACTTAGTCTGGGCATATGCATTCCTCTTCCATGGATTCTCTTTTGTACTGTACTCGCTCAGCCTTTTCCTGGTACGTTCGTCATCGAAGGAAATTACGAATAATGCCTGACTGTTTGTTCTAGCCTACAATCATCGCGGGACTCGGGTTCGAGACATGGCAGGCTCAACTGTAAGTGCCTTTGATCTCGAAGTTTGATCCAATGTTGATGTAGATTCACACCAAGGATGACCGTCCCCCCGAATGTACTCGCAAGCTTCTCAATATGGACCACAGTATATTTCTCAAGCAAGTACAATGCAAGAGCGCCGTTTATCATAGGAGCTGCAATTGTATCCATCATTGGTGAGAGCATTTCTGCCACGCACTTCAATTATCTCATGAACCTCAAGGATATATCCTTCTCATCACTTGCACGAAACGTAAGTTGCCTAATTTGACCAGTCGTTTGGCGCAACGCGTGCTCATACATATAACAGCCGGTCTTCAATATTTTGGAGTACACCTCGCAGCGGGTGAGTCGCAGAAAATTATTCGAGGCTTTGTCGCTCATATGTCCTGATTTGATACAGCCGGCGTGTATACAGGCAATTCGCTTCTTCTGAGGTCTGTTTAGGTAACTCCAGTTGCGCTCCATCAGCTCATAACATGTCAAAGTTGGCCTGGGGAGAACGTTTCTGGTCAGGCTAAACGTGCAGTTGCGGTAGCCCTTCAAATCAGCGTCGGCGATATCGGAGCGATTGCAGGCTGTCTGATCTACAGGCCCACACTGGCCAGTCACCTGTACCGCACACCCAATCTTATAGCCATCGGCTATCTCCTGTTCGCAATCGTAATGACCACATATTTGTGGGTCATGATGAGTATGGAGAACAAGAGGCGAGATCGTTTATTGTCAAAGGGCGAATCAAAGGATGAAACCGAGGAAGAGAGAATCAGGTTGGGTGATCGTTCTGTGCGCTACAGATACCGAATTTGAGCAGATTGCTACATGTCATCTGAACATCCATTAAACGACTTTCCAGAAGGAATATAACGTAGTGGGTAGTGTGATGCGATGCGATATTAGTATGTGCGTAACGTGCGGCGAGCACGCGTATAATGATATAAACATAATGGACAGACTAAAAGCTACGTGGTCACACGGCGCCTCTTGTTAGCGCGTGTTGTCCGTTCCCGATATTCATCATCACCATCATCTTCGGTGAAGTAATCATCTTCCGCTGCGTCTGGGCCATAAAGTTGCTTCCGCTTATCTAGGTCAAGTTTCCGTAGAGAGCGAAGATTGACCATCAATGATTTATGAAACTCGCTCTAAATTTGGACGTCTGTCAGACAAGGGCCAGGTCAAGAGAGGGTGAATGACTACCTTTGCAACGCGACGTCTTCCCTCGGGAGGTGCACTCTTCTCAAGACGCTTGCGTTTTTCCTTGTACTATGAAACAAAGGTTGACATTTGAAGAGAAGTTGATTGATTAAAAACGGTACCTTTTTCTGTTCCTCGGCCAGCAACACTGACAGATGCTTGACCCACCGTTGTAGATTTGACTCTACCTTCCGCTTCTTTGCCTGCATTGTCATGAGGACGACAACGGCATTTTCGTCATCATCCTCGACGATAGCTTCATCATCAGAATCTGGGATGACATAAGACATGACAGCGGCCGCAGAGCGCCGCGGTCTCCGTTTAGTGGCGCGTGGAGAAACTTGAACCTTCGACGGACCGGCCTGGGTAGATAAACGAGAGATGGTGGGGCTAGTCTCCTTCGACTTCACTTTCACTTTGCTACACCGCTTCGGTTCCGTTGCTGGTGGTTGCTTCGAAAGATAGTCTTCTTCAGAAAAATAAAACTCGGCGCCGTTCTCAATCTCGTGGTACAAACACCAGTTCTAGTAGGGGTTCAGAAACAATCAGCAAAAATTACACCCTACCATCGATTTATGCTAACCGGTGCTTTTCCAAGGCGTGCAAGTAGCCTGAAATGCTTGAGTGTTACAGGTACATGTTGTGATGTTGAAACATAGTTAGTTGAGGGGGTATTGCATGTGAAAAATACATGAAGAAGCTGTGCTATTGTGTCAGAGGGATCATTCCTCAGGGGAATACCGCACCGACCGTAGTGTTATTGTTGATCACGGCGTGTGTCAGGAACGTAGCAGCCATCGCACTTCGGACCGGATATCGTTCTTTGACCCATCGACCAACTGGAATGAAGTCTGCGATGCATTATGAACATTCGTGGTTGTATATGCACAAGGTTCAATCATTACCTGTTGGGTACCCGAGCTTTCCGGTGGTGTCAGATCCAAAGTAGCTGAAATAGAAAGACCGCCTGCGAGAACGTGTGGGAGCCATTTCGTCCTGTCGAATCATAGAGGACAATGTGTCTTGACCGATGATCCCCTGCAACGTAGTGAGCAAACGTTTCAACGTTGAAAGCAACAGTACACTAACCAATTCTGACGTGTTCCCGGTTTCAGCTTGAACAAGTCCTTCATTCCCAATTTCATCCTCGTCCATCTCGCGACCATTTGTAGCAATTGCATCTCCCGAAGCGTTCGGCTCTGCCGAATGAAGGCCAGCAGCCCCAGAGCTATTCCGTGTGGCTTTCGAGCTGGTGTTGAAATCTCTACATAGTGGGGCTTCATATGTAGCGCATGCCTCTTCGTCGTCATACGATGGAAGATCGTCCAAGTTTATCGCATAACACTGAACCGCATTTTCTTGCAATACCGCATGAAGATATGGATGACAGTCAACGAGTTTCTTGAGCGTCTTCCCCTATTTATTAAAGTCGTCAAAATAATGGCCCACCACAATCTTTAGTCCAAACACTCACCTTACTGCCAATCTTAAGGCACTTCACAGCAACTTCTTGAAGGATGTCTTTGATATCATTCGAACTGAGACTCATCTCGTCCTTCGCGAAGTCAACAAGAGCTGAATGTTTCTCAACAAATGGATTGGTTAAGATGTCCACAATATCCCTCCTCGTCAACGGGAGTAGACCCAGGGGTTCTAATTTGCTCTTCAGTGTACCTGAGGGGTTTGGCTGGACCAGGACATTATCCGACAAACATGCTGTGAGGAGCATGACAATGCGGACTGTTGGATCTGTACTAGGAAAATCGGCATATAGATGTCTGAGAACGTTGATGGTATAGGCGGAAGTGATAGAACGAGTGTTGACAAATAGCTAAAAACCGAGCTCAAGTCAAAGCCACACAAAGTACATTCTGAATTCACCTTGATTAACTCAGCGACGACGGTGCTATGGGTCAGAGAAGTAAGAATGAGAGGTGAATGAACGTCGATCTCAAAAGGTGGTGTACGTACGAGAGATCGAATAGGAGTTCCTTGGTGCGATCGAGGATCTTAAGTGCACGGTAAGCCGACTCATTGCTCTTTGATTCCATGCAGATTTCAGCTGCTACTGTGCGACTCAGGAACATCCTAGCAGGTAAACAGGACCACGAAATGCGAATACGTATCTGAGCATGCAAAAACTATTGTAACAAGACTGCTTGCTCTCACCTAGCATCAAGACGCCGCAGCTCGCGTACATTCCTGAGAATGTCATCGGACCGTTCACCGTTGTTGAGCGCCATCTTCTCAAACATCTTACGGAAGACGAAGTCGCGGTACTATCAAATTCTTTAGTATTAGTGGTGGATGTGTTAAAAGGCAAGATTACCTTGGTGTCCATGTGAAATCCATTGGCTTCAGCATAGGGAAGCAATCTTGGCTCGATAGCGAGAGCAATCGGTAACTGCACCATAAGGGGGTCCTATACGAGGACGCCTTGAGTATACCCAAACTGGTTGTGACGTTCCAGAAACCAACCTTCATGCTGAACGGGATAAACTAAAGCGAATCGTAGGAAACCATACCATTAAGGAAATTGACGCCGCGCACCTTATACTTGCCAAAAATATCTCGCACCGTCTCCCACTTTGTACTCTTCATATCTGGTGGAAGCCTACTCTCCTTTAAAAACACAGCGAAGAAATAACCGTCATCTTCATTCTTTCCCAACGGTACTTCATCGAACAACCCGCAAGCAACCTTCATGAAATGAGCGAAAACGGGAATCGACATGTTGCGAACCCATGCGGTCTTTATGAAATGATTTGCAGACCTAAAATAATGGTGTATGGCGACTTGGACAAGATATCTGGATACATATGCGCCACTACTGATTAGGATCTAGACAAAGGGAGCGCATATAATCAGTTAGGCTCCGTGAAGCGCTGAGACGCAGTGAGAGAAATAAGTGACAAACGTCGATGACTTTGTCGGACATGATCTTCCCTCTTCCTAAAGCCCAAAACATAGCATCCATGCGGCCATAACGGTTGAGAAAGTAGTGGGCTCGAACGTAGGGGTCTTGGGACACATTATGAAAGTGTTTGGAAGTGAGCGTCAAAGCGGTCGGGTCGTCAAGCTCGTAGAAGATCAATTCGATGACTTCATCTATGCAAATCTCAGGTTATGAGTGAGAAAAAGAATGATCAGAAAACATACCACACAGGCGTTGCATGGCGTGTGGTAGAAGGGTTCTTGACTGCGGTAGGCAGAAGCTTGAGCTGCTCAGAAAGAGCACTAGTCGCAAGTTGACTCCGTCCAAGGAACCTAACGACTAGGATTAGGGACTTGACGGGGTTGGCGTTTACGATGATGTGGTTGGGTGTCAAGAGGTGTGCAGCCGGAGAACGCACTTCATCGGACTTCTAAATTCAACCACCACTGCATCTTGAAAGTCAAAAAACCTTGGCCAAAGCGATCACAATGTTCCACCAAATATCGTATCATGAAGTTTAAGCTGTTCAGAGTGAAAAGATGCGTGAAATGGCAACGTTCTACACCGTTACAGGCGCTACATTGTGCTAAGATGCAATGCCGGCATGTCTTTTTAGAAAGTCCTCTTATAGTAACTCCTCCAGACTTGCCACGCTAATCTCCAATCTCGGATCTGCAAGGAGGGGTTAAAGACGTTGAAATTGACCGATTCCAACGTCGATAGAATGGACACAACTGGTATCTAAAAAATTTCGTCAAACATCATAGTAATCCGAAAAAATCCGACGTACAGCAGCGGAAAACACAGGCATGGCGTCCGGTGGGACCCTGCCCCCGGACTCCTTGAACATGTCGCGTGCGGTGAGTAAATGATCATTTGCAACAGTTGCGAGTTCAAACACCGCATCCTCTAGCCCGTGGGACGATTTTCCCTTGCTGAAAATTTCTTGCTGATTGACGTTATGCTTGGCAGTGATCTCCGCGGGTATGACCATAACACCCTTACTAGCATGAAAAGGTAAAGCTCGTATGAGGGTCGTCAATGATTGAGCCACCCCAAGATGCGAGGCTGCGTGCGCAAGCGTGGAGGAGGGGAGTTTCAGCATTTCCAACAGAAGATAGAGGAAAGTTGATGAAGTAGACTCCGCATGGGATGTCATGGACTCCAGAGTAAGGTGTATCTGGTTATGAAGTTCTTGTTCCTTCGAGTGAGACAACTATAAGGGCCATATGTGAACGCATAAACGAATCGCTTACTCTTGCTTCGATTATTCTGTTAAAGTGATATAGAGACAAATGGTTATCCCGTGTTGCTTCATACATCGCAAGAGCAATAGGATGGCGCGGAGGCTTATCCTATCATTAACAGAGACCATCAGGTGATTGCGGTATTCAAAAAGTGCCACCCACATTGTAAATATCTTTCATGGCATCTCTCCAGAACATTAGGCGTGCCTGACCCAAGGTAGTCTGGGACACCGCCTCTCGCACCGTGGCAAGCTCGATCTAAAGCGCGAGTCAAAGACAGTTAAACACCGGTAAAGCGTCACACGTACATAGAATGCTCTGAGTGCTAGATACCCACCTTGAAATCGTTTAGGGTATAGCTGGGACGTCAAATAACCTTCATAATCATGTTTCCGTACCAAGTCTTTGCAGTAGTCGGCTGGATTGGAAATGCCAGCCTCAGAACGCAAAGCTGAACTTGTATGAAGCCGGCGAAAAGAAATCAATCTCTGCAGACAATGAGAACGAAGCGACAGTGGCATCACGATTATGGCTCATGACAAAATGTAGAATGACCGGCAACCAAACTTCAACATTTCATGAGTTACCGGAGTTATAATACTTCCACGCAGACTCAGTGCCAACGTCCAGACTGTCTGCGATGTCATTGAGAAAGTCGGGACTTCAAAAGGAGGTCTTAGCACTCTATAGACGGTAAGTGACAGTCGGGACATAATGCAAACTTTCTTGATGGATCCTCTAGTGCATTACGCATGGTCCGTACCAAACCAGTTTTGACCCAGCCAAAATTTCTCCTCTTCGTGCGCTACAACTTTCACACGCAAGCATCTTCTGTATCACCTCGCAATGTTGCAGCTATAGAGCACCTTATCCGTCGTGGTAGAAGGCAACTGGAGATGTACGAGCAGCCCTCTGTCAGAGACTGTCAGATATCACGAGCCATGAGTGATTGGGAGCAAAGCCGACGCGGATCATGGACAACGTCGCAGTAATATCAAACATCACAGGAGATGGTAGATTCGGTCGAAGCAATATTATGGGTAACTACGAGTATGGTACAAGAGTTTGGGATGCGACTCCCTCGTCGCGTCACACAGTAATGGGTGTACTCGGCCTCTTGGTCCGTCGTGCCTTCAGCCTCTCAGCGCGCGTACGAGGGACGTTTTCTTTATCTTGAGATGGTTGAACGCCAGTTGTGGTGGGCTTCGGCTTGGATGCCAAGGACTGGCGTTTAGCTTCCAATTCAGCAATATACTTCTCGTAAAGTAGTCTCCGCTCGTTAATCACGTATTTTATACGTGCCATTGATTTCCGACACTGTAAAAAGATTCAACGCTTTAGTCCGGCATAAAAATGGCGTGCTCACTTGAACATCCTTTTTAATCCCAGCAAGACTCTCAGGATTGCTGACACCAATTCGTCTCGCCTCCTCTCTCTGGGCCGCAAGGAGGTTTCGTTCTCGCAAGAGAACATACCAAAGCGTATGCAAGTCCTTGAAGCTCTTTCGCCGAAGTTCTGCTGCTTTCCATGACCTCGCTGCGGACAGTAACTGAGCAACCCGCGAGAATACACAGAAAATATTTAACACTCACCGGGATCATCTTGGAATGTGTCTCTTCCTTCAAGACTCACATATACCATCTCCCCGTCGACTTCCTTCTTTCTGAAAAAAGCCCAAAGGCCATGGTTCGGATCTACCTCGACGCCAAGATGGGGTCTGAGGGCAGCACCTTTCGACTTGCGAGTGGATGGTTGGAAGTCAGGCCTTTGAATCATACGCGAAGTATCGATGAGTGGGACTTCATTTGAGTTCCAACGCACCGACTGCAGAAAACGAGCAGCACGCAAAGGGCGAACTGCTTGCAGAATTGTTGTCATCGTTTTGCGTCAAAGAATTACTCGGACAGTCTAATTTGCATACTTACATAGCCACATAATTGGCTTAGTCAGCTTTCTGCGTAATTGCCCTCTTGCCCTTAACTTGCGAGTGTAGTACTAAGTACCGCAGCTTGGGGAGTCCATGATATGTTTCAAGTCCTTTGTTGCTCACTCCCGACGCGAATGTTTTATGCATGAGCAGCGTCATTTCTATCGGAATGCAACCTGCCTGGGCCACTGTCAACGTTTCAACACTTGCGGACCTCTGCTCAATCAGCCGCACTTTCCAGAAGTAGTAGAAACAGCATCTGGACCATGTACAACTGTGGCCTCACGAACGTCGAGCGCGACTGAAGGAAAGCATACTCCCAAACTCGTGAATAATTTTATTGTCCCCGTGCCTGACCGCTGATACCGAACTGTTAAATGCAACGAGCTAGATTCTGGCAGGACCTCAGCTCTCTCGGGAATTACACTCGAAAGTGATTAACCTCCCTTTGCCACATTCAGATACGGCGTCCATCCGTATTGCACAGGGACATCTGGAAATGCATGGACTAACAAAACAAGGCTCATACAGGACCGAACATCACAACAGATTTCCATCGCCCCGTATGCATCTGCGGGCATCTAGGGATCTTCCCACTAAGGATCTACGAATAAAGCGCTGCGAGTCTAACGAGACGCGACAGGTGTGCCGTGCCGCGAGCGGAGTGAAATATGTAACGCAGCACTCAAATCACAACTGCCGGTGAAATGGCAAGGACCAACAGCTTTTTGGATGCAAAGGGCTCGAAGGGAGCCTTTCGTGCCTCAAAAGTTGTTGGTATCGAAGCCAGGAACCGATTTCTCGAGCAAGCGCCGCTGTACTATCCGATTGACATTGCTTAGCATCCGAGGCATAACTTGAGAACGAGAGGTATGATATTCTTTTCGTAGATTCTTGACGAGATCTCTAACTTCAATTATCTCGAGGGCTATTAACGCAGATGCATTTGTGCTTGTACAGAGCCACACGATGAGCTTGCCATCAGAAACGTAATATGAAAGTGTAGACGGTGGTTAATTCGGCATTTGCTGCTGCGAACAAGCCAGAAAGTGCCAAATTAACCATCATCTGAAAGCAAGTTCGAGACGTTTGAGGAAACCCACTTAGGAAACATGAGACTTCCAAATGCTATGTAGTTAGCCGTGCTGACTGTCAACGTGGGCAGGAAAACCACTATGTGACGATTCCCCCAAGTGCGAATGTGCACGACCGAAACGAACGTCAATATTTGATGAGTCAAGACACTCACGCGAGTGACATCAAACTCAAATCACTTCCTGCCATTCATATTGCCATTTATGTGATTCATCGCATTGAGTCCAAAACAACTTGCGCGATAGGGGTAGACGATCGATAGCAGGGTCCATGGTAATTGTGAAGACGTCGGTGAAAGTCCCGATGGGGAGCCTATTTCTGATTGGGAGGCCTTGGTTTTGGACTCATCAAGTTAAATCTGTAACGCTGCTTCTGCAAAGTTGCATATAATCGGACGAACTATGAACAATTTATGGATTAGGTCGGCAGAACAAACGTCAAGCGAACTCATGGACGCTGTAATCATTCATAGAGTTATGCTGCTGAACTCTATATTCAGTCATTAGAATAACGACTTGTGCAAATTGATGAAATCTAGGCCGTCGCTGGTGGAGTAGTGAGACCGAATAGCTTAGTGGGTTATACTATTTCTTGGGCTTCTTGGCTGGAGCGTAGGTTAATAGTGAGCTCCCGAGAAAACACTGTTTCTCACCTCCATATCGACTCCGTCCAGTCATACGATTGACTACTCCTCCGAAATCTAAAGATCCACGGACGACCTTGTAACTAGGATAGAAAAGTTTAAGCGCACATTGAACATGCATATCCGGAGGAGAAACTCACCGGACACCAGGCAAGTCCTGAGCACGTCCACCGCGGACTGTTACCACACTATGCTCCTGCAAGTTATGTCCCTCGCCCTGAATGTATGCCATGATAGTCTTCCCAGTAGTCAACTTGACACGCGCGACTTTCCGCTTCGCCGAGTTGGGTTTCTTGGGCTTCATTATGAAAATTTGGGAGCAGACACCCTTTCTCTGAGGGCAGACCTCGAGTAGTGGTGACTTTGGGTCTTTAGCTTTTTGTGGACGCTTTCGTCGCATAGTCTGATTGAGTGTCATGGACAAGGAAGGCGACGAACTGAAAAGACGCGATTCGAGAAGAGACCTTGTGGCAAGAGGTGTCGCAGAGAGCTGAGTTAGCCTACATGGCTGAGATATTCGACTCCAGGCTCGCAGTGTAGACAACATTTTCGACTTGTTTTCGGCACTAGTTGCAGAAGAAGCTGGAGTGAGCTGACATAATCAGGACTATACCGCGTACACGCCTGCCCTCAACTCTAAATTGGACTCGCGACAAACGCGCTAAGTTACATACTGCTGAAGAATGCCGGTGGCCAGTTCTTCAAGGAGGAAGAGCGCGCGTTCTCGCAGGGAACCTTCTTCAGATAGAATAGAAGAGGACTATCCGTCTCAGCATGCTGGCAACAACGATGATGTCGAAGGTGGAGACGACGAGGAAGAACAGCCGAGGCGCAAGGTGAAGAAGGAAAAGAAGGCTCGAAAGCGCGCTCAAGGAGACTCTGAAGCTGACAACGATCCCCCTGTTGTTGAGGATGATGACGAGGACAATCGCATTGACATCGAAAACTTTCATGACCAGCCCCTAGACAAGAAGGAAGGCACGAAGCTCTCGGGCATTGCGCAGGACTGGGAAATGATCCGGAAACAGATTCACCAGGGTTCATTCGCCCTCGCGAAGGATGTGGCTACTTCGCTTGCAGACGTCTTGGAAGGAGATAACGCAAACCAGGTGAGTTATTACCGGTCACCATTCACTATGGGCTCTTTCTGACCACCCGGACTACTCAGGCTTTGTCGGAGGTTGATGATATCATGAAAACATTGATTGACATTGACCACGAGATGCAATCACATGAGAAGGCTCTTAGCTGGATGCACCAGCAGCTTATGCGTGGCGAGCCAGTAGTGAGTGGGTCCTGATGGAGAATCTGGGGATATTGACGCCTTAAACAGGAGGGTGCCGTAGAGCTCTATGAGAAAGAGGTGAAGAAGAGGATTGATGAATTCAGCGATAGAACGTCTCGGAAGAAGTATGGCTTGAACGATCAATACGTTCAGTTCAAGCAAGGCATTTTTGTACGTTGTCCGTTAATATACGGTTCACTGGCCTCATCAACTCACCCTTTCAAATAGGAGGTCCAAAATCCTGGCGAGAACATACCTCCCATCAATGACTTTATACCACGAGGTTATTGTTTCTGCATCTTGCGTGTAACGGATTCTGACAAAGGTCTTCAGAGGAGGGTGATGAAAGTGATGACGAAGACGATTTAGAGATTGGAGGAGTCACACAAGACTTCAAATGTCCCATCACCTTGACGATGCTGGTAAATCCCCTGAAATCGTAAGTGAATTCATATTGGACTTGTTCTATATAACCCAACTTTTGCAGCTCCACTTGTGGCCACGCCTTCTCTGGAGATGCTATCCGGGAATACATAAATAAAGGCCCTCCTTCTGGGAAGTCGTGCCCTGCCGCAGGTTGCAGTCAAAAGCTTACTATAGCTATGCTGGTTGCCGACAGTAGTCTCGAAAAACGAGCCAAACTTGCTGCAAGAAGGGCTCAGCGGGATGAAGATGACAGTGACGTCGACGATGATGAGGTGATAGAGTAAATTAGCTTCTCTGCAACTAATCTTGGCCTGGCTTTACTTAGCTTATACGGATCAGGGATCCTAATGAAAGGGTTTTCCTGACAAGCATGGCCTACGGCATCATGATATATGAGTGCGATATACAGTCTGTAGTGCGATGTTCAGTCTTCGAAAACAGACATTTCCTCAAGCCCTCCGGCGTCTCTCAGTTTCGATTCCCTTTCTTTGTTTGCCCTAACGAGCTTCTCAATTTCGCACCCTAGTGCCCAACACCACACATCCCTTTCAACCCTGCTTCTCATCCTGAACACAACAACCTTGTGCTTTGCCGAGAGGGAAGGCACGTTGTCCGCAGCTCCGTCCCTACTTTTGCGGTACCAGATAGCAAAGAGCATATCCTCTTCTGGATCATCGGCTTCGAATCCGTCAAAGTAACGACGGGGGACGCTGGGAGTTTCAGGGTGATACTCGCCTGGCTGCAAGGCAAGAGCAGCCAAATACCCTGAACAAACATAAGAATCCATTAGATTGATCTCCTTGCTTTTATGACGGAGAAATGAATTCCGCGAAACATGGTATTGGAGGAGACGTCCAGCGACTAGGAACAACTGCACGAGCCTGCCATTATAGAAAGGCGTAAGTTCGCGACCTGTCATTACGGGCGATCACTGACTTGTACTGTCCCCGGAACCCTTTTCGTATGAATGCACGGCCACTCTTGAGCAAGCTTCTACAGCTGTCCAGCATGCACCAATGATACAATGAGCTCAGTTCAGGCATAAATTCAGCATCTACAACGGGTGCTGTTGAAATCTTCTCCCCATTACAGCACGCATGCTTAGTAACACGCGGAGTGACGGGGGGACGATGGCGTGTAGAGTAAGATATGTTCATCTCATCTCGAGCATCAGTATGATGTCGCTGCGTCCAGTATTCGACAAGTGCGCGTAGTCGGTCGATCCATTCTTGACTCGTTTGGCAAGAATATGCCTAAAAAGAGAATCAAACAAGGAACCAAATTACTCCAAATATTCTTACTTCGAACCGGATCACGCGCCCAGATATCATAACGATTTCGAAGCAGCGTCTGACACGCAGCCGATTCTTATCCTGAGCCTGCGCAAGACCCTCGGCTCCACCGGTGTCAGCCTCGTCAGTAGTTAAAATATCTTGGTTTCCCACAGATCCACCAGCTACAGTAGCCGTGGCATGGGTCCTAGCATCATGATCGATGATTTCGTGGGTCGCCCTGCGGATCTGCCTAATATTCCGCAGGTCAAAAGCTTCAAATGCGGCTGCAATTTGAGATGCCCCTCGTGTGACCTCGGCCTCACGAAAAGCTCGAGTGTATTCCAGTGATTCATTATGGTGTGACGATAGGGCACGAGATAAATGAACGTTCGGAGGGACAGGAGCGTGAGAATTCGAGGGCCAAAGGGTAAAAAGGTGGCCGTTATGCGAAGTAAGGTAAATATGTTGTTTACCTTGACTGCTGGGTTTGATGCGATCGAGATACCCCTCTATACATGGAGGTTCGTGTACCTTTGTCCCATCGGGTAGGTGAATTGTAGCCGGATAGTGTTGTCCAAGCCTAAGCTCAAGGTGCGCTGGTTTGGTTCCCTGAGCAGGATATCAGCTGAATCATATGTCAAGAGTCTCACATCATGTTCACCTGTTGCATCACCAACCCACAGAGGACAGCCCACGGTCTAGGCTGGCCCATCACGTCTTCCTCCTTCCAAACCCAGTCAAGTTTTGCCCCCAAGTTCCATGCTAACTGGAGGGTTGTGCCTGCCGCAATTCTACGTTCTACTACATGATTCCAGTCACAAGATGCAACCTCATGGGAGCCGCAAGATGAAGCCATGGACTTCCGGACAGCATCGGTAATATTTCTCCGGCTGAACATGTGATAAGCCTTGTCAATACTGGCTTCGTCGAAGGCAGGAACATCCAAATCAAAGCGTGTACCGATGGCTGGGCACCTGAGCTCAATAGAAGCGGGTATTTTACCTCCCAGATGTCGCCTGTAATGACTGCTCGATCAAAAGCTGTGTCCTGAGTATTTCGTACTGACCATAACTGCCAGCACCAGTCCATAGCCCTTGTGCGACACTTCGACTTGAAAATGAACACATTAGTCCCTTCTCGTCCGCGGTCAAAAAGAGCTTTGGCTTTCGTATGGTTGTTACGGACTGGCGCGCGCGGACACGAAATACAGAAAGTGAAGTCGGTGAAGGAATAAAGGGTTAAATGTGTTCGTTGAGGTTTGAGGGGTATTATGAATGCGAGATGTTTATGTCCAGTGATGGTCTCTTTCCCAGGCAAAGTCTGATGGGATACACATCATGGCTCAGCAGGTTGGAAAAATAGGCTCACATAGTCTTCGTAGAGCTCAAGCCACTCTCCGCGCCAGACCACCAGAAATTCAGCCCAATCCTCGTATTTAAGATGAGGAGTCGCGCGATTCTGGACTTCATCAAAGTGGCAAGGAAGTGAATCGGATTTTGTGTAGCTAACTCTGACGAGCATTCGGTCTATGGAGATTGAACTGTATATCAATGGACGCCTTCTAATGACACAATTCAAGATACTGACCTCGGAGTACGGTATTTTCCCGCTGTTTTATCTGTGATTGCTCGCGTGAGGTAGTCTCCAAGGCAACTCCTGCGCTAGTTTCATTTACTTCACTTCCACTTCTTGCAAGGACAGCCGCAGGAGATTCGGGGACATCGTTGACATCAGTTGGGAGCTGCAAGTTTGAGGAAGTCTCCTCATTAGCATGAAAAAAGCTTCTTTCCTTCCCCTTCCCTTTGTCCAAGCCAACTGGTGCGAGCTGGGAGTCCGAGCCTGTTGGAGTGGTTACACGACCAACGAAGAATAATGTTTTTCGTTTATTTGCGTTCATATGTGCCGAAGACTTCTTTCCTTTTAATATAGTAGGTCGTTGAGAGCCCTCTGGGGGTGCAACACTAATGTCGTTAGCGGAGGATCCATACTCGGGAGCCATGCCAGTAGTAAAAAGACCTGCGCTAGAAGAGGGCTCGGGACTCGGGGAAGGAGATATGGATGCTTGAGAGTCAAGAACTGCACTAGGAGGAAGCTCTGTCCTAGCTGTGACAAACGTTTGATAGCCGACCGTAGAAGGGGGCTCGGTTGGGGAGGGGACATCAGTTTGAGCCTCGGGACAAGTCTGATCAGCCTGTGGAAGCGATATCGTGGGGCTGTCGAGCATGTTTACACCTAAAACATTTCCGATTTCGAAGCTTCCCCCTACCCAACGTTGCGTGGTAGTGCCAGCGTCCTTTTTGTGACGTCTCAAGGATCCGCCCCATTCGCTTTCTTGCCATCGCTTCCATATATTTTGTCGCTCATCCGTCTCAGCTTCCTGTCCCCAGTCTTCCTTTCTCCCACCTTTGCGAAGAAAACCGCGGTATGCATGGTTTTGGAGGAATGAGGTGGACGAATCGTCGCCCCCATCACTTCTTTCGTCACTTGAATGCAGCCACCTTAGAATTTGATTTGTAACTTTTTTGTTGGACGAATCCAAATCTGTTTGGATGGCATCCTTCAATGCATCTTTCTCTGGCATGGGTCCTATGAAAATCCGGCGTCTTGAATGATCGTAACTAGCGAGGGACTCGCCAGGATGTGCCAATGCGACCTCACGTAAAAGTGGTTCACTTTGATGCACCTGCAAGGAGGCCATGAGCAAAAGGGGGTGGGTGTTAAGTGGCTGAGGCCTAGCGCTCGCTAGACAAGAACCACCCGTGACGGTGTTAGTGGCGCAGGCGCCGCAGGGTTCAAGAAAGTGGCTAACCATCACGTCATCAAACCCTAACCTGGTTTTATGGTTTGTCTGTGAGCGCACATTATCATATACAAGGGGTCACCGGTCACCTTATACCCTGCTAAGCGTCCTTATTTCGTTGCGACCAAACCAACAAGGATAGACGTAAATCTTCTTGTACACTTTCAAACCTTCATGCACGTGTGGGGTTCTGTCGGCTGCATTTTCGCTCCCAATGTATTTCGTTTATCATGGTGTCTAGCTCGGTAGTCTAATTGTTCTCAGAATGTTCAGTGTCTATATCAGTATGTAATGTATGTATCTAAATCGAGTGGGGGTTTAACGCATAACGGATGCAACGGTCCGTGGGCTGGTCCGAGATCCGAGATTGTACTAGCCGGTTACTTCGAGTCGGCTTTACCGTGCTCCAGCATTTGATGCGACTCCTGCACGTACTGTTCGGCTTCCTCCCTCGAGAATCTGTTCAGGCGTCAGATGAAATATCATGAAAGTTGTATAATTTACGTACCCAAGCTTGCGCCCTTTGACAAGCATGTCTGGTTCCCGGATGGCGAAAGGGTTTACGTCAGTCTCGGTATTCAGGTTGGCAAAACTGTGATTCACGAAACGGTGCGTAGATTCATCAGACCGTACAGCGTAAATGACGTCAAGTAGGTTGGCGCTAGGGTCTAGACGCCAATAGTCTTTGGCAATCTCCGGAGCAGGCATATTGCTCCATTCAGGTAGACGCCCAGATTCGATGTCCTTGATACAACGAGTACTGAGTTGGTTAGTGTTGTTGCACTAATACAAATGAAGCTTGTCCTTACTAGGTTAAAACGGCTTCTTCCTCTAAGTATGCAACAAATCGATGACATGTGCGGGGCGATATTATGTAGGATAAGACTGGTAGTGCGAGTTAGCAATGTGTTTGAGATCCCGACCGATTCGATGCCACGTACAAAATAAGTTAAAAAACACGCCCTGCGCCCCTAAAACCAGGCCTCGGAAAAATAATGAAGGTCTTCGCAAGGTCATAAAGGTCCTATACGATAATGCCTAGTCAGCTATGTTCAACTTCACGAAACACAATCCAGTCACATTAGATGCATTCTTTCATTCTCGGCTTCCTCCAGCAAGGTATGTATCCAACCGGAGTCTCGACGCTATCAAATAATTAAGAATGTGATCGTTAGAAAAGAAGTTTAGCTGACCATGAGACGCAGGCTGGTGAGGTGGCGGAGCATCGCCGCCACCATTCCGGGCACTCCGGCAACTGTCTCCAAGAAAAGGATGCGCTAAACAACGGTAATGAAACAACGGAAATAACACTTGATGATGGATATGCTCACACTTAACCACGCCTTCTCATCCAAGATATATCCGCCCTTTCTGAGTTCTTCGAGGGACATCTTGCTATCAGCAGGGATCGGCTTGTGTTTGTAACCAGACACTAGATCAAATCCCCATCTGGCATGTACGTGAATACTTGCACGATACTAGAAAGAACCTTTGACTCTCACCTTGTCAACCTGACAAGATGGTATGCAATTTTGTCCGATATGGTTTTCGCTTCCTTTTGGAGAACCTGCCAGCTCGCGTTTAATATCAAGCGTGATCAGGGAGGAAATGCAGGAAGTACCTCGACTGCTTTGATCTCCTCCTGAGAGTATACAGGATGAAATAGAACCCAATCGCCTCGGACGATAGTGGGTGGTAATGTGCTAACTGCATCAGGAGTAGTCAGACCCTGCTTAGATGCAGCCGAGTCTTCTGCAAAAGGATTACCGGTGCGTCAGTAACGAGAAACAATAATGGATAAATGAGCCTCACTGAGATGGAAGCCCTCTGTTCCTGTGGGCGATTCTTCATTGATTCGTTTCCCTGTCAATGAGTTGTTGTTTGGTTGACCAGTATGAATGAGCGCTCGTGTTGCGAACGTAGTTCCTAATTTAGGGGCTAGGTTCAACCCAGAGTGAAGAATGCCAATGCGGCAGGCAGGACCAGCACTAACAAGGGCAGTCCTCAGGATACTCGACATTGATAATCGACAAGAGGTCCGAGTGTTTGATTGGTAAGAGATATGGTATTATACACACATGGTACGAGGGCGCAAGTCGGTCTCTTATGTTAGTCGCGTTCCCGTATGGCTCCGATTCGCATCCGAGACAGTCCGTGACCCGGCGTTACGTAGACCCAACAACCTGAAAAAGGTCCAATTCCTGTGCTCCTGCTATGCTCCGGGGTTTACTTTATTTTGACACTGCGCACTTGTGGGTCATGAGTTTCTGCTGGAGAAGGGGCGCATCAGAGACGGTAAGCCGTAGATAGCACCATATATAGAAAAGGTTTGCGTTATATTGAAACATAAAGCCATGTATAATGTGAGAAAACTACCGCAATGAACGTAAAGCACCCTAGGGAGACTCACCAGTTGTCTGATCTGAGTCAAGCATTATATTGTCCACTGGCTAGCGCTGAATGTTTTACGTTCGATCGCTATGCAATGGAAGTACAAGAAAATTCGCTTCTTATTCTTATGTCATCATGCCAGATATGGCAGGTGCTCAAGAACAAGACTTGACAAGATAAGTTGGCGGAAAAATCCCATTTACCGTATCAGGTCTGGCGGAACCTGGCGACTTGACCAGGCACTCATGAAAGACGTGCTGGAAAGAATCGGAAATTATCAGGCTATTTACAAGATCTATTAGCATTAGGCATGAGAGACATATATCTCTGAGTCGTGCCTACTAGTACATATCATGATATCCTGTGTTCAGACACAGGTATCACGCCCGACTATCATCTACGTCAAATATTCAACCAATTGGTCACAGTGTGTCCAGCTCGGATCCGACAACTTACGCTTTACCAGGGCCATTACGGAGACCTTGACGTCCTCTCGTGGATGTTTGCTTGTGAACACCGAGGGCCGGTCGTGCTGCCGTTCCCGCACTTGGCGCTTTTCTTACTGTTGTTTATGCTTGCATCCAATCGTCTGGTGCATAATAATATGTCCAACTGCTACAGCCACCATCCAATGTAACCTTTAGATCGCTATCAACATCTAGTACAAGACGAAGATGTTTTCTTTCGTTGGTGGTTTCTGATCTGGTCGCAATGATGAGTCCTTCAAGTTCCCAAAATCTTGTTTCAGCTTTCAGGGTCCCGGAAACCAACGATCCGACATGGCCGTACGCGATAGTATCGGGCCGTTTCAGGCGATTCAGATTTTTCGCGACAGTACTAGTATACATAGACTGACTATATTAAATCGGGCCTACAGAAAATATTGTGACACTATACCTGCAGGCACTCTAACTCAGTACTCGTCGTGCATGCCAGTGTACAGACAGGAATAACATAAGATTACCTTCGGATAAAATATTGATAGAGACACAGCTTTTCAGTATATATGATAGACCGGACTGAGCCTTAACGCCCAAGGACTTCTCATCAATCTTCAAGTCCAGACTCTCCACTGAATTGTAGATTTGCCCCACCGCAGCTCCGCAAATGTCGTAGGCTAGAAACGTGTGGCAGAAACACGAGGAGGATATATTTGATCCACGCAGTCATTTCGAGTCAGAATTTTGTCATGAACATGCACATCATAATGGAAGTTTCATTGATCAGGGGAAGCATACATACCCGTGTCGAATGGAGCTTAGAGGCGTCAGAGCTATTCAGTAGTGTGCCTGATTGGTATCTGTGCTTTGCCCTAGTTTACAGTGGAAATTCGACTTGGCAATGTGAGAAAGTGCCTACATCGGGTTCAAAAGGGCACTGCAAATAGTACTTCTTTGACATGTTGGTCTCATTGTGATCATAAGACGGCAACAAAATGACCCAAACACCAGGCAGGATCCGCTATACTGGCGATCAGGGCTCCACTGTGGGACAGTACCCACAACGCAAAGTGTTGTGGACAGTATAGATGCACCGAAGATGAAGATACCCCATTCTGGAATTACTGGTAACGCGAATAGCATTAATGAAGAAGATGGAAGATCCAACGTGACTTAAACCTGTAGCGTTATCAGAGTAAAGGGTCCACAGGAATCCAATAACACGACTGGCATCCACATCTAGGCTTGGTCAAGCGGGTGAAAGCCGCTGGGAGTTGGTATTGAACGTAGACGACAGGGGGGAAAATGTCAAACAGATGTAGAGTTCAGCGATAAAGTTCATTACCGAGACTTTAGCGGCTAGTGTCAAGGGCACTCCAAGAGAATCGCCCCCTGTCTAGAACACCCCGCCACCAGACGATCGCATCAGAAGATGCTGATAGTTCGCTCCAATGATAAATGGCCGCCCCATAAGGTTCCAATTCCACGATCATTCATGGATAGAAAACACGAGGTGATTCATTTCCGAGGGTGGCGATTGCGTCGCTTTAAAAGGATCCAAAGCTATTTTTCTTTTGAGTTAACGACGCGGAACAAGAGGCATGAACATACTTAATGGTTGTATCCATGGGGAAACATAAACATGCTGGCAATGCAGTGTGACCATGGGAGATCCGAACCTGTGTGTGTAAATCATAATTCAGCAAGCGCTGAGGATAACATAGTTTGAGAGCACGAAAGGGGACCAACGAGGCATCGCTAACTCAGAAGCCTGCAGGAAAACGCGTTGACGGATTGAAAGCACAGGTATAAAGACGTAGTGAGATCTGAGACTAAGCCCACAGGGTATATCAGGCGCAAAAAGGCATATTTCATCTCGAGGAGCCTGGAATGTGAATTGTCACCGAAGTGACCGACGTCATGAGATCTGGTTTTAAGCAAAGAACAAGAAGCAGTAGTAAGTCAGAACTGACTAAAAGTGGTGCACAGCTAAAGTTGTGCACAGCTAAAAGACAAGAGGCGGAGGCGTGGTTGCCTCCCGGATCCGTAAAGTCGGGTTTGCATGGCGATGATGATGGATTATGTTGAGGACCCAAGTTAGGACATTGTGGACGATTTCAACGTGTTTTTGAAAGATAGCTTGCATCTGACGGAGTGTAACAAACGAAGCAGCTGACAAAAACCATAAGAAAACACAAGGCTACCAAGGGGTATCGAAAAAGGAATCAAGGGCTGACAGGTGTTGGACAGGCGTCATGCCAGTTCAAGGCTTGTGGCTTCGATCCAAGTCGAAGTCCTGATCTGCCGGTTCAATTTTCTACTTTCCTTCCGGCTACATAAAAAGGCTTAACCTTTCACCAACGACCCAATCTTTCTTCCTTTTCACTCACAGCGGCTGTTTTTTTTCTAGCAGATGTGTGCTTAAGCATCGATGGAAAACGTAGCGCAGTATAATAATTCACTCGTCTACCCATCATCCAGCACACCTGGCACACGCTCACATGAGGATGATAATCCTGTAAACGCGTCTTCCGCCTGGTTATCTGGGCAGAGGTCTACTTCAAACTCTTCTACGAGTTCCACCCAGCTATCATCCATCTATTCCGCGGTGGATCGTCCTCCAGATCACGGAGATTATGCTTCTACATCCACATCGTATGGGCAAGTGCAGCCCAATGACTCTTATTCCAATTATTCCCAACCATCCAACATGCGTCCCGAAGATGATGGAAATCACTCCGCGACAATCGCTCTCTCTCCTCAAATTTCGGGTAGCATCGGCCCTTCCAGGCTCACGCGCCGGCAGACACGCGCACAGTCCACCCTTCACATTGGTCTCAGAAGAGACAGACCACCTGCACCGTCAAACGCGCAGTCTGATTTACACGGGGCCGACGAGGTACGTCAATTCTCGTGCTTTTCTCATCATCTCACCTGGCTCATCGCCTCCTTTACTAGTCTTCCTACTACATGTCTCCAGGGAGTGCCGTTTCGCGCCCTCAGACGCCTGCAAGCAGTAGCGACCCAAATCGCTACCAACTACCTGACAGAGTGTCTTTCACAATGGGTTCCGGTGGTATACCCTTGCAATCACCTCGGTACCTGAGCACGCCTGTGTCAGCATCACCCTATTCCCCGTTTCCCATGTATCACCAGCATTCACGTTCCGCATCATCCTACTCTACCTCTAATCCACGCTCTGCTTCGCCCGCATTAAGCGTCGCATCTGCACTCACATCTATCTCATCCGCTACCTCCGCCCCCAACTCTCAGACCTTTCCAGCCTTTCCCCTTCCTTCACCTCCAGGCGCCGTCATTCCACGTGCCAAGCAACGAAAGCAACGTCTTTTTAACGTTGACCGTAAGGCCATCTGCATTTACCACCAAGACAACCCCAATGCACGGCAGGAAGATATCGCAGCACGGTATGGTGTTGAGCGGAGCACCATCAGCAAGATCCTGAAAAATAAAACAAAATGGATGAATGTCCCAGAGGATGAAGACATGCGTGTGGCCAAGCATAGGTAATGATCCCCTTTGTCCATTCTTTCGTAAATCTCACTTGTATTCAGGCCTTCAAAATTCCCTGAGGTCGAAGAGGCGCTCGTCGAGTGGCTCCTTCAAATGAAGCAGCAGCAACAAAACACATTACTCTCCGATAACCTCATTCGCACAAAGGCTAAGGAAACTGCTCGCAGTTTGCAGATCCCTGACGAGAGATTCAAAGCTAGTTCAGGATGGGTCGAGAACTTCAAGCATCGCCATAACATTCGCAAGGGTGTCTGGCAAGGTCACGAGAAGATTCTGCGGGCTTCTCGTGGCCTCGCGGGTGCCCAAGAGCACAGGCGCGGCGCCACAGATACAGTCCTTTCGCCCCTTAATCCCGCATTCGAGGGTCGCTCTGAGGTTGCGCATGGCCGCGATTCCGAAGAGCATTCTACGATGGCTGATGGCGACGATGACATGGAGTCAGAGGATGAGCCAGAAGTTCCGCACCCTTTGCAATCACAAAACGACACTGGGCCTTCTTTGTCCCAAGCACCACTGGGACCCACTCTCCCCCTACCACGCATGTGGGCTATACAGACGGATCACCTAACCGCTCCCAATACGCCACTTTCTTCGGTGCCGCCGGGCAATGCTCATGAACCCATATCTCATCAGTCCTTTGTGCACCAACGCCACGAGGAACGGCAGCCAGACTCGGTCGCAGCGGAAATGAATTTGTCCGCACTGTCGAATCCTGTCCAGCAGCACCTTCAAGTGACAGACCCGCAGCAAGGGGTACAACTCACGCACTCAGATCCAAGCTCCCAATATACCGAACCGGCTGTTGTATACCAACCCGCACCGCCTATTACAGCGGGCGAAACTATTGTTAACATCGCAGAAGCCGAGGATTCCATCAACAAAGTCATAGGCTTTGTCGACTCTCGTCCTAATCTCTTGTCTCAGACGCAGCGAGATGCCCTCCACGAGATCAAATGCATACTCTTCCAAATCGGAAGTGGAGTGCCGTTTGACCGTAACTGGAGATAATGTCGGACGTCCCTCGATGGTTCCTTCACTCCGCATGCGTGGATCATCATCCCACATCCACGTGCAATTTTTTTTCTTGCCTTACCTCTCACCAGCGTTCTACATGCATTTAATCATTTTCTCATGCTTTGCATTCACCCGACATTGCACGATCGCATCAACATTTTACATGTCTCTCGTAGGGTCCCATTCGTGTCTGCATTCACACTCGGTGCATACTCGTAGTTGCATGTCATACCTCGCATTTGATACATCTCTCCTGCATCCACTAGCTCTTCTTGGACTCTGCTGTTTTACCTAGCTCATTTGCAATGCAGAGACATTAAGTTGTCTGTGTACTATTGCTTGATCGTTATATTTTGCAATTGTTTATATCTTGCAATTGTTCAAGCATGCTATAGTCATTTATAATATACCGTCGTCCATCAACCTTCTCTGTGGTGCTGCTTGATATCCGGTCACTCAAATGACATGCGAACTGCGTATGTCGATTGGCCACGCGGAGCCTTATCGTCCCGACGGAATACTCGAGGGTCAAATCCGTAAAATCACACCTGATTTATTTTTGGGGTCTGTAAGTACAGCTTGTAAAATATTTGTGGGCAACATACCAGCAACAGCACACGAACTGTCAAGACTTGGAGGTTTTTCCACTCGGAGTCACCTTGGGTGGTTCGCTGCGCAGAATATGGGTAAATACGTATACGGGAACTATCAGACATACGCATCGAGGGTGTTTTTCATGATCGAGAGTTTGCCGGCTGATGCAGCAGATACCATTTGCTGTTCGATGGATTTGTTTATCTTGGCCGTCAGTGACTACATATCCAGTGCAATGGTCAATGAAACTCGTAATTCATTAGAAGACGAAGACTTACCTGCCTCATGGAAGCCTGCCTGACAAGAGCGGTCTTTTTGGGTGGGATGTACCGTTTCCCTTTTTTCGGGTTAGCAGCGGCCTTAGCAGCTTGTCTTGACGATGAAACCTTGCTATGAAGACCCTTTGTTTTGCCCTGGACCATTGATGGTAAGATAAGATGCGCGCTTTCGCGTTAAGTGATGTCAAAGTTATGTGGACTTAAAAGTTACATATCGGGTCGACCGTCCACAAATCACACGACCGGAAAATTCCGGTTAGCTTTCCTCCGCCGCTACCTTGCAGCTCAGTCTGCTATTTCCATCGTCGGCGACAGCTATGCTTTCAGCATCCCATGTTCTACGTGTTCAGCGCGTAGCTGTATCACGCGGGAAGGTCAGTGTACCTCCAAAGTGTTCTTATTGACCTGTAGTGACTGAGTTGACTCTGCAGCGTACTTTGCATGACTTGGTGACGCTTCCTGGCCGTAAACCAATTATTTCGTCCGGGACACCTGGTTACAGCGCAGTGAGCGGCCATGTTGTCACCGTCTTTGGCTGCACTGGATTTCTCGGACGTTATCTCGTCTCGAAACTTGGTAAGCTTAATTTGGATCACCTCAAGGTTTTGGCGTCTACTAACACTCCACTTTACAGCTCGAATGGGTACACAAGTCATCGTGCCTTACCGCGAGGAGGACGAGAAGAGGCACCTCAAACCAATGGGCGACCTTGGCCAGATAGTCTCCATGGTAGCGTCGCATCTGCTTCCATGTCCCAATCGTAACCACCTCAAATTCATTTCAGGAATGGGATATCCGGAATGACGAACAAATTGCTGAGTGTTTAAGGCATTCCGACATTGTTTACAACCTTGTCGGCCGACAATATGAAACAAAGTACATTTTGAATTTAATATACTGTGTCAACCTGCGCACTTACCCCACTCTACTCATCTCAGGAACTTTAAATACTCTGACGTTCATGTTAGCGGAGCGGAGAGGATTGCAAAAATTGCGGCACAAGCAGGAGTACCACGCCTTGTACATGTTTCTCATCTGAATGCTTCCACGTCTTCCCCGTCGCATTTCTACCGGACCAAAGCTGAGGGCGAAGAACGGGTCAGGGATGCGTTCCCCGCTGCCACTATTGTCCGCCCCGGCCAAATGTATGGTTGCGAGGACAAGTTCTTGAATAATATGGCTAGTGGGTTCGAAGTTCCGCTTTATCGTTCATCCGTTGATCAGGCAAATGTGTCAAGGTTGGCCTATCTGGTGGAAGCTCAACCACGGAGAAACTAAAATTCGACCAGTTCACGTAAATCTTGACCCTGTCATGGTCATGATCTTCCTTCTCAAACTGATCGTGGGTTGACAGGTTATGGACGTCGCTCAAGCTTTAACCAATTTGATGACGATCCCCCAAATTCCTGGCACTATTTCCCTTCCTGGACCAAGGACGTTGATGACGGAGTACCTGTTAGACATGGTGTCTTCCTTGACATACACACCGCCGTCGAGTGCACCCGTGCTACCCAAGTCTATTGCGTTGGCCCTTGCCAAGGTTGCTCAGGCACCGTGGTGGCCGCTCATTAGTCCTGATGAGGTCGAGAGGCGCTATATAGATGACGTAGACGTTCCAGGCGATTGGGAAACTGTAGGCGTGACTCCTGACGAGATCGAGAACCATGCGATCACGTACCTACGAAGGTACCGTTCGGCGTACGTATCTGGTCGACTACACATTGCCCGAGGAGCTAAATTTCCCTTTGCCTTAGAGAGAACTTCGTGCGACCGGTGGTTTTCCCTGCGCGGTCCAGCTAGGCGAATGTCATTTCCGACGCTCGCGATTCGTGGACCCGTTGCATCATACCGTAGGATATATAGAGTCATATCGGATCTTCATGGGCGTTGCTTATTGTTCCATACTGGAGCGATGAATGATTTCATGAAAGCGTTGCTAGGATGCGTTAGCTCAAGTGAACCTGTGAACCTATTCTCAGCATAGGCTAAGAAGTCGCTCAAATGCCACCCGACCCAGACGAGAACATACGGGCGTGAACTGCTTAATGAACTGAGTAGAGTTTTATTATAGCATGATCGAATGACACGTGGGTGACAATTCGCTGCAACACACGATGTGGTTTCTGCTGCCGGCGACGCGGATACTGCGGAACGCGAGAGAATTATGTATAAGGTACACGTGTGCATAAAGTATCTGAGTACTTGTAACTGCTGACAAGGTGAAAGAACAGCTTGAAAACAGGCTGGCTTTCGATCAGAAGCCGGGCGGAACGATGCCCTTTTGAGGTGCCTGATTTGAGCCCGGTGGCGGTGGGTAAGCTGATCCTGGCGAAAGCATCTATAAGCATTAAGAATCAGTAAACAAGCCATATCAAGGTGATAGAAGAATATAATAACACTTACCTGCTGAGCACCTTGCTGTTGCGCAATCATTTCGCGTTCCTGCGCTACTATCTTTGCCTCGTCTTCCAAACTCAGCGCAAGGGGGAGCCCTACGAGGAGGGCTGAAGTGGTGACTACCCAGACGATGTTACCAATGACTTTTCCGCTGATCCTGACGAACGATGCAGCACTTGAAAACTTGGTAGAGATGTTGTGTCTGGTAGTTGGGGGGACTATGTCTACCAATGCGCTTATGCGGTCATACAAATTTTCTTCTGCAGAGAGCTCAGAAGAGATTGAAGAGATTGATTCTTGAGAAGAATGACGTGAAGATGAGGATGAGGCATAGGGCGAGTTGCCCGAGGACTGTGGGTCTTTTTCTTCTACGATCTCGACTTTGACCATGGTTTGAGCACAAGACTGAAAACTTGGAGCCGACGTGAGAGTCTGGACTTCGGTGCCGGCAATTCCTTGATCGGAGTTTGTATTTTACTTTGTCATAATCTGTCTTATCCAAAAACGAAGTCTTTCTTGCCGAATCAACAGAATTTGTAACTAAACTCAGTTCCGAAAAAGGAAGATAAATCAATTTGGAATTTCGCTGCCAATATCCCTATTACGGCTGAATTATGACTTATGGTATTATAAGTACACGGATGGCCCAATACAAATCATTCCTCCTTGTCCTCCTGTTATTTCTCTTAATTATATCAGTCTATACCACCCCATCATAATATGCAGAACAGTGACCATGTTCGCAGTGATAACGGTCACTCCTTCTCGCATCCTGGTAAATTCGTTTCGAATCGATCATTAACTCTCAATTCTCACAACATCACACCTCCCCAAGGCCTCATTCTCCCAACTCAATCTGTTCAGAATCAGATCCATGAGTTAGCCAAGACCCTTCCGCCTCCAAGGAAGCAAAACACCGCGTGTGATGCCTGCAGGTTTGCGCAGCATGCTGGTGATCGGCGTCTGCAGACTTATTCACTCCCATCACCACAGGTCCCGAAAGGTTAAATGCAATAGACTCCCTGGTGAAGACAAGGTGGGTAATATTTAAGCAACCCTGCTGACAATTATCTCATTTATTCTTCATTATTTCAGTGCCAGGTGATTACGTTTTCCTTATATGCTTAACTGCAACGTTCTGAAGATAAACATCAGCACTGCTTGTCTAAGAATTATCCTTGCACGTTAGTGTCTTTCTATATTGAATTGTTAAGCCGTGAGCCGACCCGTTATCTAGCCATTTCGTCCAACAAGCGACCAGCGAAAAGAAGCGTAGCGCTGCCGCCCGGAGGCCGAGAAATACATCAACAAGCTCAAGGTTAGCTTTGGGCACTCCTATCTCGTCTCGTATCTCTGATGTTCGATTGTCGATCTTTCCATCTCTTCGTCGCTGCCGTTGCCTTGCCTGCTCGCCACTCAGCACCTCTCCTGTATCTGCTGGGTATGAAGCTATAGTTTTTTTGATTCCTCGTCTAACATTTGCCAACAGTTCATCACCCATTTCTGAGCATAACACGCCCCCCTGGTTCAAAGCCGCATTTGGTCCATGGAATTCAGGGCGCATTCAAAGTTATGGTGGTCTCAGCATGCAATCCACTACTCCAACGCTTCTTCATCACCTGTTTGCTGCGCCGGAAAGGTGGATACTGTATTCTATTCGCGTCGCCTGGCTGACTTATCTAGCCACGTCAGCGATTCCACATTCATGTTCAAATCACGATCATCAGGCTATGCCGCATGGGGAGACATGGCATCCAAACTTGAAGATGAAGCCTTCCGAGCAGAGTACGTTGCGTATGCCCCTTTTCCTCTCACATTACGTAAACGATCGAAATTATCGCGGTGTACGTCAAGTGTTATCGTGTTCCATGATGGTTACTGAGGAGCCTCTTCGAAGTGGCTTTACAGTTCCTTTTCATTTGCCGTATCGATCCATTCCTAATAGGCTGTTACTGATCCGTCCGGTTTTGCTTCTCATGACAGGTTCGCCCTTGACCTAGTTGAAGTTTATTTCCAGATAGTCCATACCCGTCTTCCTCTTCTCAACCCCTTACAGTTTCGCGCGCGCCTAAATCTTCAGGCGACTCAACAAAGGCCAGTGATCGCAAAGCAGGACGAACCATTACACCCTGCCCTTATCGCAACTGTCCTTGCCTGGGGTGCAAAATTCTCTGAACATCCTCTTCTGGTAGCAGATCGCGATAGAAATGGTGGACAAAGCCTACTCGCGAAAGCGCTCATCAACCGCACCCGAGAGCTGGCTGAGTCGTTAAAAGTCCACCGCATACCAAACACAAATCATGTCGTCATCTCGTTGCTGATCGAACCTTTGCAATGTCGTACGTATTTTATTTTGCCGATTTTGCGTTTGCTCATCATTATGCAATAGAGGACCCACGACTTGACAACGGTAATATTGATCTAATTGTTTTCACTCCTGCGGCTGACAGGGAGCAGGCTTCCACGGGTTCTGGCTCACTAGTGGAATACGTAACTTACTTGGATTACAGGTAAGTAGAATGATTGCATCCAAAAGATTCATTCTCAGAAAATCACTTGAAGATCAATCACAAATCCGTGATGGTGCTTATCAAAGATCCCGAGGCGCGCGGTACCATGATTTTCGCTTGGTGGATGGCTTGTCTGTCGGATGCATTCTCCTCTTTTTATTACCGCCGGAAGCCTATGCTGTAAGTTTAACGATATTTTTTCTCCATCGAACACTAATATCCGCCCATGTAGCGATGACGACGACTACGACATTGACTTCTATACTGCTGATCAGAATGCCCAGGAAACCACCGACCCCACGGCTCCATCCCCTAGAGAACAACTGGAGGTGAGATTCAGGGTCGTGTTCTGCGAACGCTCATGATACTCACATCATGCTTAGTTTTTGGTTGGTAAACTCTAACTGGTATCTTTAGATGCGCACTTACGCTTTATCAGGGGTATTATCAAGCCGCACACGCCCTTGCTCGGATCTCACGGACAATTGCTCGCCAACTCTGGAGGCCATCTACAGATCAAGATGGCATCCCCCTTGATTCTGTCCTGTCGTACATCTCGGATCTAAGCAAATGGAGAGATGCTCATTTGTCCAAGGTCGGTGTGCCACCTAACTTGGAGGCTAATTGGGATTTCGTATCTGCGGTCTCTGCATGTGAGTAATCGATATCTTCTCATCGTGTTGAGTCTGCTAAACTAGTCTTCAGGTGCAAGCGATGCTCAGTATCATGTCACTTGGGTAGCCCTTTTCTTTGCGATGGATGAGTTTGGTATCCGCGACGACGCCTTCACGCCAAGTAGTATCAATCAAGTGGAGATTGCAAAACGTAAAGTCATGGAAGAAGCTCTGCAAGCATCCTTACGCATCGCGGCGCTCGTGAGTGACTACAGCTTGGCGAATTACCACCGCTGATTTTTTTCCAAGGCTGGAGTACTTACTTCAAATGGCTATTTGGTACGCTTGTCTTTAAAAGTACCACCATCTCAATTAACTCCGTTCAGAAATTGGACCCTGCGGTCATGCATGTCAGCTGTATCAACGCAGGAAATTTTCTTGCTCGGCTAGGCCGTCCCGAAGTATTTCAGTGCATCAAGGCATTGGAACAATACAGCTATGCTTATGAAGAGACAAAGGCACATGCGAAGGAGATCAGCCACGAGTATGACGCTGCGCTGCAAAAGGGTCCGAATAATTTCCACGAAATGGCTAGCGCTGTCAGCCCATCTTCTCGTGCCTTCCAAGCAGAGATCATGAGCGTCGACGCGCTAACCAATGGCAACGGCAAGCACCATGGAAATACGGTGAGCCCTTTTCTTTAATTCCCGAGGTGATAGGCTTATGCATAGTGCGCTAGTACATGTCGATTTAAAGCGTTATTCTAGGCTTTACACCCTTTATTATTTTCGTTTTTGGAGATCGGTTACTTGCGGTCTCCTAAGCCCTTATACGGATGATTGTTTACTCCCCTCCCAGCCCTTTCTGCATCCATGGACTCACATTTTCGATTATGTAGTTATTCGAGCCTCCCATTTGGTTTCGCCATGTTGTCTAAATAGTACGATGTACTGTAGCAGGATATATTCCAGATAGTGATACCCTTTATCCCAGGCGGACGCTCTTGATAACTTTGGATATACCAGACTGCTCGCCTGTATATTTCGAGGCATCGCCAATACCACCTTTGTAAACAGCACGTTGTGATGACACCCTCTTTTTGGCTTGCTCGTATTTTTGGCGTTTTTTAACACGGGGATTGCGTACACTCTTTGACCTGTGCGGCGTTAGTCCCTTATTTTTCATGATGGCTCGCGTGACCGAGCGCGGGCCAGATGTCTCATCATGTTGATCAGAGACGAGTCTATGAGGATCAGATGAGAAAGTCCCGTGATATATGAAAACTGGGGCTTACCGCTCGGCCGCCCGAACCTCCTCATAGTCCGTCTTTTTCTTGCTCTTCATGTCCGCGGCTTGTCGTTTTACGAGCTCGTAATAGCCATGTGCTGCAGCCGTGTCGCTATCATCATCGTCCTCAACATCAACATCTCTCCGTCTCTTTTTGCCGCGGTTGCTTGCATCAGTAATTTCGGGATCCACACCATCCAGGTCATCTCCGCCCATCCCCAATGTTCCGGCCTTGCGCTGCCGCTCTTTCTCCATTCTCTGTTCCTTTTCTTTCCTTCGTTCGCGGTAAGGAATGTCATCATCACCGCCCACCGCATTGATACGAGCGTTCTGACGCCGTGCAGTAGCGCTTTCAATCCGTGACACATGGAAACGCAAGCTCTTCTTGCGTGCCTGTTTGTCCGTGGCGTCAGCGTGTTGTAGGAACGTGGATTCACCAAATGCGTCTGTGCTACCGGTGTCAGCGGGAGCCGAACGCTTCTTCTTTGCGGAAGTCGAGGCTGCCTCAAAGTCTGGCTCGACAAGGTCGAAGATTGGCTGTCCATTTTTATCATCGGAAGTCTTGCGTTTTTTCTTGGAAGGGTTAGCTTCGATCGTCTCTTTCTTGGACGCCTTTCCGGGTTTTTTCTCGGCGTCCATCAATAAATCTGTAAGTTCGTTAGATTCGAGACCCTTCGCCATTAGAATGCTCCACAAGTCAGATCCTGGTTCGTCGTATGCGTCTTCGTCTTCTTCTTCGTCTTCTTCTTCCTGCGGATCAGTGCCAACGCCCAAATTTTCTAACATGATGAGTGATTGTTTGAGAGTGAGCAAGCGATTTAGGACAGGGTGCTGTCTCAGGAGTAGAGGACGACCTGCGTATTTATTCGAGGAGCGAAGGTGAAGATAAAATGCGAGGGTAGTGGCATAGGTCAGGAGAGCCTCTGTAATGTAAAAAAAGAACTGGTTGGTCAGAGATTTGGATGCGTCACAAGATAAGCCGGAGGTGAGAACTGACGGTAGTATACGTGCAGAAGCCCGAGTTCAATTCCGTCGGTTTCTTTCTCCGATGTTCTAAACAAATGTTGAGTATGAATGTTGGAAAGAGGTGTTATGAAAACTCACGCGGCGATTTTTGCTTGTATTTCGATGAGATTACGGGCCGTATCATCCCAGTCACGGGCCAAGGCAAGAGCCTCTGGATTTTCTCTTTCCAGGTGCTGCAAGATGGTCGTCTTGTCATTTGAGGATGCGTCGATTAGGGGCCGTGATTGTTCCTCTAATGAATCTCTGAAAATAATGTAAGCCACGGATAACAAACGAATGATACTACGTACTCAACCTCAGCATCGGATGCTGGTTCGAGACCTTCACCCAATCCAAAATCGCCCTCGTCAATAGCGTCCCGAGCCTTCAGCTGAAGTTTACGTGCTTCCTGTTCCTCTAGTTCATTTGCCTCCTCGTCTCCTGAGTCAATCTGGGCGGCATTAGAGGAGTAATACGCTGACTTGCTTCGGCCCCAGGACTCATCCTCAGATCCGGTATCTGGAGATGAGGCCTTCCTCAACTTGGTTTTTCTCCTGGTGACAACTGCATCTTCTTCGTCGTCGTCATCTTCAGCATGCGCAAGTCCGTCCTCGTCCTCGTCTCCTTCAGCTTCCTCTGAATCCTCGTCTGATACCCCTTCAAGAGCAAACACTTCGTCTTCATCCCCGTCTTCATCCTCGACATCTCCATCTTCATCCAAAAGAATTTTATCCCTGGACGCATGGACTAAGATGATGATAGTCTTCAACATGGAATCATTTTCGGGATATGACAACGTACATTGGTCCTCTTCGTCTAACTCAATATCAGAAGCCTTATTCCACCGTTTTATTTTACCATCCTTGCGATCCACTGGCCGTGCCTTCGAGCGAGAATTACTCTTACCAGATGACGGTCGACGGCGAGGCATACTTGGATTTCAATATTGGATGCCGGAAGTTCGACATTCGGCTTTCATGTCACGGTATTTTATTTTGACGTGACGTGACTGTCGAACAAGCCTGATGAAATTCCAATTTGATGTTTGGATCTTCACAAATATGGTGAGCTGTTTAGGCTGGCGCAGTGGGGGAACATTAATGTGTTCTAGCATAGCATCATCACCACCTGCATTAGCTGCATTGCTTCCCCTTGATAAATTTTTATCTAACATTTTTTCCAATAGCTTTTGTCCTGCACTGGCACTGCCCCAACTTTTCTCGTCACCCCTCGCAGCATCCTGAACCTTTTTTCGTCCGTTTTGGCTAATGGCACCCGTTCCGCGCTTTCTTGCACTTTCATATCACCTTCTTTCTTCCTCAGGTCACATTAAAACCCTCCCGTACCTCTTATTTCACTGATTTCCCAGCGAGCTTGGCTGCTTGTCCCCCCGCTTTACGTCCGAACACAGCCCCAGCAGTCAGTCCGCTACCTCCGGGGTAGTTGTCATAAAACAAACCACCAACCATTTCACCCGTGCAGAAAAGGCCTTTTATTGGTGCATCTGTCTCTTTCGACAGTATGCCAGCGGTGTCCGGATCTATAGCGAGCCCGCCGAAGGTAAAAGTGATACCACACGCGACTTTTACCGCTAGGAAGGGTCCCTGATTGATCGGCAGTGCCCAGTTTGATTTTGGAAGTTGCAGTGCTTCCGTGGTAGACTGAGTGGAAAGTCCATCTTTGACCGTGGGGTCCCATCTAAGAGTTGGATGTTCAGCTCGATGACTTTGGACTGCCGCGTTGAAATCGTGCACTGTCTTGAGAAAACACTCTTTATCCTTGAGTCCTTTCTCAAGCAGCTTGTCTGCAAGCTCCTCCATGTTCCTAGCACAGATCTTCTCAACGATCTCATCCCCATATTCCTCCTTCCGGAGAAATGGAACCATGTCTGCACCCCACACTTGAAATGCACACCCTTCCGGTTGAAGGAGGATTTGTCGCCCAAACTTGGCATATGTGAAATTTCTGAAATCCTGCCCTTCGTCGACGAAACGTTGGCCATAGATATTAACCATGATACCGAGGGGATAACCTGACTTTGTGAATTGATTGCTGAGCTTCCTGTCGCCTGCGTCTGCTGGCGCATTTGCATCCCAACACGTGCTGTGACATCCTGCCCAATCTCCAATAAGTTTTGCACCAACAGCTTGGGCCATGGCAAAGCCGTCGCCCGTATTGTAAGGAGTGCCCCTGACCTGTACGTTATTTCAGTTGTTATGTAAGGTTCCTCGAGCAGCTGTTGCAACGTACGTGTGCCTTTTCCCATTCGGTACCAAGATGTTTAGCCCGGAGCTCTGAGCTAGATTCGTAACCACCTGCTGCCAGCACTACTGAAGAGGCTGAGAGATCCAATTCCTTGCCGTCTATCTGAACCACAAGACCCGTTGTTGTTCCTTTTTCAGCCCTGAGCCTGACGGCAGGAGACTCGAACCAAATCTCCACTCCGGCCTTCTCTAGTGCCTTCATATGGGCCTTTATTAACCCCTTTCCGCCATCCTCAGTACTGAGTGCCATACCACCCCAGAACTTTTGCCTCCCATGTACCTCGTATGCTTGGCGGTGGAATGACAGAATGAACGGAATATCTATCATCCGCGCAAGCCATTCAACTGCTTCTCTCGAGGATTCCACCATGGACTTCACCAGCTTAGTGTCTGGCTTATCTTGGCCAAGGCGCTTAATGTCCCCGATAAAGTCCTCGACAGTGTAGGGATCCACGTCGATCTTGGACGCCTGCTCTGGCGTGACATTGCGCACGATTGGGAGGAGATCTTGTAGTCCCCCGTGGACTGTTCTATGCGCACCTGCTGTGAAGTAGCCATTGCCACCGACCCAATCGCGTGGGGCTTTTTCGACGATGAGGACAGAGGTACAACCTGCCTCAACAGCGGCAAGGGCTGCCGAGCAACCTGCATGGCCGCCCCCGACCACGATGCAATCATAATGTGTGGACATTTTAGACAATCAAGAGTGCCTGTGCCACCTTTGTGATTAGGGTGAGTTTTGCAAAAAGCATTAAATATGCATGGTCATGCTGGACACACGGCCGCCCGGTGCTAGACATGTGAGTACTCGCCGTATTGGGGATGCGTTGCTTCACGTATTAATTGTTACCAGTACATAGCTTCCTTGATGAAAATGTATATTACACTCTGCCAGGATTCACAGCCAAGGTTCCGCCATCAATAACAAGTTCCTGCCCATTCATATAAGCTCCAGCAGGTGATGCAAGATAAACGGCAGTGCCTGCCATCTCAGCAGCACTGTTACGTTTTCCTGTCAGTGAACGTTCTGGTTCATGAATTAAGCTCACTCACGTTCCTGGCCTCTTCGCTGGTATAGACAACACCGGCATACCGACCGCATCAGTCGCCGCTTGTCCTGAAATTGTGTCGTATGTCATCTCGCTTTCATACACGCCTGGCGCGATAGCGTTCACTCGAACATTGATCCCTTTAAGAGCAAATTCTGTCGAAAGCATCTTGGTGAGGTGAGATCCAGCAGCTTTTGAGCTGTTGTAACAGAACTTTCGCACCCGAGTTAACGATGATACAAGAAATTGAAATTGAGTTTGCTCACATGTCTCTGTGCAAACTTGACGAGTCCGCTCATACTCGTGATATTAATAACGCTTGAAGAGAATCCCTCTTTATCGTTATTCTTGGATCCCTTATCGAGCAAATCCAAAAACGCAACGGTTACAAAGTAGATTGAAAAGGTATTGATTGCATAAAGAGAGCTCCATTCCTCGAATGATTCGTTGTTGAAGAGGTATTCACTGAGTGGTCCGGCCTCTTTTTGAGCAGTCGGCGATGGTCGATTCAACTCAGAGGAGAGAGGACCTGATTGGCCAGCACTTCGTTCAATCATGGTGAGTCACAAAACAATAGAGAGTGGGTGTCATACTTGTTCACGAGGATATGCAACTTTCCATCCGCTTGAGCTATTCTCGTTACACCAGCCTGAATGCTGTCTTTCTTCGTTACATCCATCTCATGCCTATGGATGGTGCTTGATCAGCCCGCACGAAACGCATAAACAAAGGATCTCACGCTATCATAGATCCCATATCATCTCCCTTAGTCGTATTCCACTCCAAAACTACTTTGTCAAGAACTTCCTTTCGTCGACCAGTGATGTACACCTTGGCACCATTGGCAGCGAGGCCACGAGCAATCATAAGGCCGATTCCTGTGCCGCCACCGGTCACCAGTGCGATCAAGCCATTGAGATCGTATAAATTCTTCAGCGTAAAACTTTCAGGTATAGACATGGTGAGAGACAAACTAGCGATTGGCTCTCGAAAGACTGGCGAAATGAACAGGTTCACAAGACCATAGCTGACTGTGTAAATAGAATCGCACCCCCAATCAGGCAGGAATTCGACGTGTGGCAGGAGTCTGTGTGCTTAGACCCTACGTAGCACAGACTCTGAACATGAAGTCAGACAGGTCTTCATTCACTGAACTTTGACCAGTTGACTCACAGGTGGATCCTTCGTATGTGGGTCACGTTGAAGAATTCAAACTGTCTCAGAAACGATTCAAGTAGTAAGGCATTGTGGGACCCCGGCTACTTTCGTGAAAGGCTGGCCCGCAGAGAAGGTAGTTTGCTCATAATTTTGGCAATGCTTCATCATGCAGTGGTGGCAAATCATGATCACATGCATCACATATGCGAACAAATTCCTTTTCAACATCATCCACTTCCAGGTTTTCGCAAGGACAGGAAAGGAGGAATGATCTGTCCATCGTCAGAACCTTGATGAATGTTGTTGCGACTTGATCATTTTAAATAAGAACGACTCCGAGTCCAAGAGATGGCGCTGACTCTCGCCAACCGTCCGAAGGTCAACCGTAGCTTGTGAAGATTGGAAATAGGTGAAACACGAGCGATGTCAACTCGGTGTGTCGAATATTTGATTTGTCCGAGTCGATGGCAAAAATGAGTAGTTCTAGTTGCAGCTGGTCGATGTTTCAACGTTAACTCCCACCTATACCCCCGTTCAAGTTCATTTTATATAAGCGTGTCCGAGCCTGTCAGTACTTTCACGACAAACAATTGAACATCACAGCCATCTTCTGTCATACACATGGCACGAGCTGGTTCTCGCAAACGGCCCCATGGGCTTCTTTTACAAGTTCTGGAGCATACCAATCGGGGTTCCTTTCGCTTGGTCTTCTAACAATGACTCAACCTGCGGTGGCTCTCCTCAGTAGTAGTATTAGGCTTCAAGTTCGGATCCTTTGCTGCTTAATGGCCCTAGTGCTTCTGAAGCAAAAGACCGACCTGTATCAGTTGTGAATGCCGATGCCACCAGAGGCACTGCACACCACCATCATCCCAAGAAGCGACCATGTAGCCTGAGGATCCATCTACACTTCTACCATTCTTGAACCTCTGATTGTGTTCAACTCCGTTTCTGACCGTATTGCAGATGTACATGACTTTGTACGTCTAGGGTTCGCTCGTCTTTCGCCCAACTTGGCGACAGGTGATTCTCGATCAGACGGACCCCGATGTTGCTGTGTCCTGTTTGTTTTTGAAAGTAATGGAGGTCAATTCTTTGGTCAAGGAAGAGAAGGAATGGGCCAATATCGCGTTCATGTCATCGATATACGGAAAGACAGCGCAACAGATGCTCGAGTGTGTAGACTTTATTTTACTCTGATTCGAAGAAGTTTTGTGAGTTGATTCGACCGCATCGTGGGCTGAGACTAATCAAGACATTCGCACAGGGACACAACTCGGCAAGGACGTTTCCATTGAAATGGATACCGTGATTCAGAGCTGTTTCATGTAACAATTTGAGTGGCTTGCTGTACCGTGACTATTCACCATATGGGTAAGCGGAGAGCTTAGACTTCCTCTGAATTCTCTGATACTCAACGACTCGTATACTAGAGATTCTCGCCTTCAATGACATGAAGTATGCAGCTAATTCTAGAATTGAACACCTCCAAGCGTTGTCTCCCAGGTACTCGGGAAGCCATGCTGTCCGACATCAAGTCCTGGCTCGAAAGTGTTGGGAAAGATGTTCCCCGCGTCCTATGGTTGCTCGGAACAGCATGAAAAGGCAAGTTGGTCATTACCCATGCAACAGCCGAATGATTTACTGAGATTGGGGCTCTAGAATCTTCTGCTTCGAATGCACGCAGGAGGGGCTTGTTGCACCTAGTCACGCAAATCCCCGGCAGCTGATTCTTCATCTGCTTCCCGGCAAGCTGTCCTTGTGGGTAATCAGATTACTGGAAAACCTCTGTATTCTCGTCACTTCTCGACCACTGGAAGACATCTGCGATGCACTGCACACCGCGCCACATGTTCGTCGTGTATCCACAAAACAAGGCATCCAGCTTAACATTTCCACTAGTTTGTCAGGCCTGTGCAATAATACACGTCCACGCCCTTGCTCGCAAATCCGACGGCCTGTTTGAATGTATACCACTCCGATGCCTTTTGATGCCGTGGTTGCTAGAGATCTGCATAAGGAACACGTCTGTTGGACGATATGTACAGACGCATCATGGCAGAAATCATGACAAATCATGATAACGAGGAATTGATCACTATGTTTTTCTTTCTGTGATGGGACAGATTCCTACATCACTGGAACCGCTCTGCATTGACCACCATGCGAATGCATCTTCCACGCGAGGATGACTGCTACTACGTAAGCTCAGTCATCGGACATCTGGCTTGTCACCGGCGTTGATACCTTTCTCACAAAGAAATCGCGGAGCAAGAAGTACCTTTGCCTCGCTGCAGGATATGAAGCACGGGCTTCGCTTTAACTCTGCTCCTTGAAGAGTTCTTACTTGCCTAATTCCGCCGTCCCCGGTTTGGAAAAATGAATGAAGGAGTTCATCCCGGCAGAGCTACCGTACTCGTGTCGATTCTGGATGACACACGCAAACCTTGCCCTTTCAACCATTTCTAGCCAATGAATTTTTCAATGGGCAACGATTCCTTATCTGGCTGGAAGCACTGGCTCTAATGAAAGGGCTCAGCGCTTCTGCGGGGTCTTTCGTGTATCACAGATTGCTCTATGGTGCGTAGTCATATTCCGTTGTTGGGATCATTGGAGTCTTGTGGGTTGTTGCAGGGTCTTTGGACATTGATAGAATATGGATCGTGTCTGGCTCAGCCGACAGAACGATCCGGGCGTAGAACCCAGAGACTGCCGCATTGCATTGGGTGCCCTTCTCCTGTGGCACATCGATACCGTTATGTCTGCTGTAGTCTCGCCAGATGGAAAATGTATCCTGTCAGGTTCATCCGGATGTGTGATGCGGGTACTAGCGAGGCTTGAATCTTTCTCTCCGATGACACACCTTCTGCATTCACTGGTGTAATCTCTCCTGATGGAAGATGCATCGTCTCTAGTTCAGCCGACTGCACAATCGGGCTGTGAGACATATAAATGGGAGATGCGTTGGGTGCCTCTCTCCGAGGCACACTGGTGGTGTTCGGGTGTTCGGTCTAATACAATCAAACCGATTGGAAACTTCGTATCCGCTTCAGACGACAGGACAATCCAGGCATGGGACACAGACTAATTGCGAACTGGGCGCCCCACTCCGAGGGCATACTGTAACGGAATACGTCCGGTCTATCACAATCTCGCCAGATACATGACACAGTGTCTAGTTCCGATCATATGACAAACCGGATATAGGATGCGGAGACTGGCAACGTATTACTGGGTGTCCCTTCCAAAGGGCACACTGATCATGCACATGTTCAGCCCGTGGTAATTGCGTGGAAAGTTCACCGTGTCCGCTTCACATAATGGATCCACCATGGTGTGCGATCTGGAGTTTATCGTTCATTGCCGACTCCTGCTCTGTCCGCCGCATTCTTTTCTTCTTTCTCCAAGGTTCTCGCGCCTCGCAGATGAGGGATAGTTCATAGCTCCGCAAGGACTTCTTTTATGGAATCCAATCCTTTTCCACCTGTCCGTCTACTCCAACGACATGCTGGTGATACTAATGATTCCGTGCAACCTTGATTTGAGCCGTTTCGCGCATGGTACCTCATGAGTGTCCAGAACAGTAAGCTATGCTATCCTCGTGACAATGTTTCTCATGCTCTAGGTATTAGAGGGTACACACTATGCACGGTACAGTCCTTGAAGTGGTAGCATGTGTGTGCAGTCGGTGGCTAGAAATTGGCTCAACGAATCTCGCGAGATCCGGCAGTACTTATCAGGTGCACTTGAATGGTGGTTTTGTCAAACATAGTTTGCTGTATGAGAATTAACGCATTTCTTACAACTCTATTAAAGCTTCGAGGTACTCATACATGCTGAACTGAAATATTCATAGATGCTGACCTTTCATTCATCCCTGTCTTGTAGTTTATCTGGCAGCTGCGACCCCAACCACCTCTGCGCAATAGCCACCATGAATAAGATGACGAATACTGCGTTTCCTCCGAGAAGATTGTATTCCTTTGATGCAGCAAATAGCGAAGTCGCCAAGCCAGGCCCAATGGCACGAGCTACCGACGCGGATGTTTGGCCAAGGCCGTTGATGGCGCCAAGCGTATTCTTCGTAGGGGCAGAAGCTCTCATAAACATCAAGAGAGTCCCTGTACTGAGGTAAATTTGTAACGACAAGTTGATGTCACTGCAACACGCACCGAGTCCCATACTACATATGGCTGACAAAACTAGTTGGCAAAGTAAAGCAAACGTGACTGCATGATCAACTCCACCCCTTGCGCGTACAAGCCAGGACATTATCGGCAACACAACCATGAGCAATGCGTAGGACGATACTGACACACTGAATAGACGCTTTGGACCAAGCCGATCGACAAGTTTGGCGAAGAGCAATGCCTGAAGGACACCATCCATGATCCCGAACAACGCTAGCCACGAACCAATGGATGAAGGATCGAATCCAAGACCACCAAGATAGGTAGGTGTCGAAAAGAATAGCGGCACGAGAGCCCTGCGAGAAATATCAAGGAAAGCAAATACGGTATAGTTGGCAATTGGAATAACAACAGTAGGTGTTAGAAGAGATCGTAAAGAGACATTTGCCATGGCTTGTTGAGGCAGTGATTCACTGCTTGAATCGCCGAGCGTGGCTGATGACAACTTGGGTCGACGCTTTGTTGATAATGTCTGCCACTCGTGAGTATGTGTGCGATGCGACAGATATGTAGAACCTACTTCTTCTAAGAAGAATACCATTGTGAAAAGGGCCACAAAGAGCACACATGCTGCCACTGCGCAAGGCAGAAAGTATGGGTAATTTTTCCAGAATGAATTGGCGAATAATACGGGCCAATGATCTTGCGGTCGCGCAAGCGTTCCACCCATTAAAGGACTGATACGAAATTTTATCATCCAACACCCCCATATTTAACCAATTCACTTGCCCAAGAAAGTTTCCAAGGCTCCACACGATCGGGATCAAGGAAAACGCCTGAGCCATATTTGTGGAGTCCGTCAATTCTCCCAACATGGTCTTCATAACTCCAATGTTGCCATTTAGAACACCGCACACACAGCGGCTGGAAAAACCGTGTCAGCACGACGTATCCTCCTTTCAGTTGAGGACACACCTAATGACAAGACTCCAGAAGGTTGTTGAAAGGCCGAAACACAGCATCGAAATGCAAGCACCTAAGAGTCCAACTACCAACACCGGCTTGCGCCCAATGCGATCAGACAACCTACTCCACCTCAGTACTGTCAGTGCCTGTGTGACAAAAAACAGAGATTCCTGTTGAGCATGTCCAACAGTAGACTATGAGAAAATCATTCTTGCAAGTCACAATCCTAGGACCTACAATGATTCCAGCATAATATCCCACAGCTGCATCATCACCCCTAGTGATCCCAAGTTCTCTGATAAGCTGAGAGAATGGGAAATTATAAAAAAATGCATATCGAAAGCGAAGTGTTGTAAGTCAGAAGCCATACCTGATTGATGTACGGGAATATAGAGGTGGAAGCGATGGCTTCCGCGAATTGTATCGTCAAAACTATGCCCAACTGGAGTTTTGGAAGTGGAGTTTTAGGCTTTGAGGCCTCTGCAGGGATCAGAGGGGTGGTCTCGCTCGCTATGCGAGAACGGGAGGTGTCCATCTTGGGAACTCAGGGCTGAAAATTCAGCGAAAGTTCCAGGGACAAAAACGCTGGCAGCGAAATCAAGCCACCTTGATTCTGAACGAAGACGACACGGACAGTGAATATTAATCCGAGTCCTGAGCGGCTGTACTTATAGCCTGCGCATTATCGATTGGTTTTGCCAGCGACATACTCAGTAACAACTTTATTTTTCTATTTCGTGACAGTTCGTGCAAAAGCTTCTGAGACAAAATGCAAATAAACTTCCACGTGCGCACATATCGGAGTTGGAAATCAGATACGCGACGGCTGAACGGCACGCACGTGACCCAGACGATGTTCATTGCTACGCAGATTCCCTCACGCTATAACGTCTCTCGAAGCACTCGCTATCATCCTGCTGGCTGATGCAGAGACACAGGTTGACCAACTGTTTACAGCAACTGTTGCACTTACAGCGCGAGCGGTGACCCGAGTCAGCGGCCCGGGTTCAAGTTGGCAAGCATACATGCATGGAAGCATAGCGAACGTTGAACATCTGAACAAGCAAGTCGCGTTTGGGCAAGAAAGTTAATCAACTCAAACTTAAAGTCGGTGAACGCTAGCGACGGCAATCAAACTATTTATATGAGCGACATAAGTTTGTTGCCAGTGAACGCACTTTCAAGTCATGTCTCACGACGGAAGGTTTAGTTGTTGTTTTCCGGGTTAAATCGGAGTACACTTTGGGGTGTTGTAGCTAGGCTGCTAGGCTGACCCGTGGGCTAGGCCCAAGGACGATTGGAAGTGATTAACACCTATACCCACCAATGTAAACAGAAGTAAATAACGCGCGCTCCATGAGCTCTTGATCATCTATCTAGTGTACTAGGTACATATTCTCTCGTCACTATACATATGCAGGATCTCACAGCACTTCACAGTCACGAAAAGCATGAGCACCCAAGCGGCCGATTCAACTATCAAAATAGAAGCTAGGTCTGAAGCTGACTTGGACCCACTAGGAATCGGCACCCCATTACCTTTAGATCAGGTCTCCTCCGAGTCAGATGCCCGCCCATCTTCATCAAAAGCTCCAACATACGTCAAAATATACCTCCAAGATGACTGTCTAAAGCACCGATTCATCCGCTCACGAGATACCTCGAGCATCGTGGAGCGACCCGAACGTCTACGCGCCGTCAAGATTGGACTCGCTGCCGCCATAGCGCGTATCGAAGAGGCTGAAGGTGCTCTGAAGCATTCAGACGCAAATGTTTCCGTAGAGGATGAGCTGGTTGCTGCACTCGGAAAGATGGATATCGCTACATCCGATGCTAGACTTATTCGAGCTCGAAGTATTTCTGTCACAAGAAGTACGGCTACTGCCGATCTCTTGGATAACGCTGCGGTGAAATACGTCCATGGAGATATAGACGGGGATGTGTATCTCCAGACTTTGAAGGCATGGGCTAGGGATAGCGAAGATAATATCATCAAGAAGGGGTCTGAAATGCCGGAGGGGATGCCACCACTCGACCTATATCGTACGTGTCTGTCTGGGGAATTAGTTATGAGGCTTATGTTATGCATTCTTGTAGTATGTCCCTCATCCATCGATGCTATCCAAGGCGCTATTGGCGCCGTGTGCCAAGCAGTCGACGCGGTCATTGCGTCTACTAGCATAGATCCTTCTGTCGTAGCTACCGGCCCTCAACGAGCATTTGTAGCAGTGAGACCCCCTGGCCATCATTGTGGTGAAGATACCCCATCTGGATTCTGTTTTGTAAACAATGTCGCGATTGGTGCAGCTCATGGTGAGCTTCGCCAACCTCAATTAGTACCCATTTACTCATACGCTTCGTAGCACACCTCAAACACGGAATTCAACGTGTCGTTATACTGGATATTGATTTACACCATGGCAAGTTCAAGGTCGTTCATCAGGAACTTTCTACCTAAACGTTCTGATAGGAAATGGCACGCAGTCAATAGTATGGCAAATCAATGAAGAGACCTACCGACAGACGCTTGAATCTGAACAGTCACCTTCTGAATCCAATGCACCTCCTCGAACTCGTGGTCCACAGATATTCTACGGCTCAATACACGATATTCTCTCTTTCCCGTGCGAGGTAGGGAACGCTTCTATTATTCGTTCGTTGCTAGTGATTCAGCAGCATATTATAGGACGGTAAGGTGTCCTTTGTTCAAGCCGCGTCAACCTCGATACACGGATCACATGGACAATACATCGAGAATATGCATCTGCAAACTTACAGCTCCGAAACACACTTTTGGGAAGTCCTCTACAAGGAACAATATTCGACGCTGCTGAAGAGAGCATCGCAATTCCTTGACGGTACCGGCGGACCAGGCGATGATGTCATGGTCTTCATCAGGTGCGTTTATTATATCTCGTGTCCAAGCCCCCATGGTAGACGGTTGAAACAGTTGTGGTTTTGATGCTGGTGAACACGAGTATCCAAGTATGTCTCGTCATAACCGAAAGGTCCCTACAAGTTTCTATCATCAATTTGCTCTCGACACGTGCACTTTTGCCGATATTTACGCTCGTGGACACGTTGTCAGCGTGCTCGAAGGCGGGTACAGCGATCGTGCGCTGAGTAGCGGGGCAATGGCACATATATGTGGACTCGTTGGGGATACCGTGCGAGTGGATGAGAGGTGGTGGGACTTGGAAAACCTCATCAAGGTATTTCAGCTTGCAACGTGTCTCCCTGTACTGTACTCAAAATTTGTAGCTCGAGAAAGCCACCAAGTCCCGTAAATTTGGGCACCCTTCGCAAGGAACCGCCGATCTCGAGCCATGGCTTACACGTACCTCAGAGCTGCTCTCTCATCTCGATGTCTACCGAACCCCGCCACAACCTTCACGGAATTGGGCCCCAGCGACATCGAGGGCCCTACGCGAGCGCAAGAAGCTCTCGAGAAACAGCAGCACACCTGAGGTAGCTAGTAAGCCTGGCAAGGATGCGCAGATACCAGCGCCTGTATCCAGTAGTTCGTTGACTTCTACATCTATGTCCGAGAGTGAGCCTGTGGACTCTCTCAGTGCGAAGAAGCTGCCTCGAGTTATTTTACATGTCAGGCCCCCGGAGGGCACGTCGTAAAGGTGGTGTATGTGATATCGATACGTACTGATTATTGGAAGCTTTTTGATATCTAACGTGTACTTGTTAATGCGAATATTGATATTTCTTCATTAGCTCGTTCAAATTTCGCGCGGATCTTGTCGATTATGTCTGGACCTAGACCTCAATAATGACGATCGTTATAGATCATCGGTCATCTACGGATGACATGCCGGTGTCGACGGCAAACCAATTTTTCATTCGTTGGATCACAATGATACTTTAGTGGAGAACTGTTATTCCTTATGGGACAAGTCAATTATGTAAATGGAGGCTTTGATGCGGCGCCAATATCTTCTTAAACAACCGTGACAGTAAAACTCAGTTGTTCGCAATGTCAACGTTCGACTATGTAGAAATTCCACCAGATGTGATTCGTCTACAATCATCTATAGCCTCTAATCCCGTTCGTCCATTCACCAAAATCAGCACCTCATTACCATGTTCGACCACTCCTGCCGCAGCTGCAGCTGCGGCCAGTACCACCTTCAGCCCGACAAAGTCACTATCTACCCTTCTCCTAAACACATCTTTCCCAGCTATCCCTACCTCCGCTAGCCCTCGCAAATCCAGCACAACACTGCTGAGCACCAGAGACCCTCTCAGCATTCCAATTACCACCGTCAATTTCAGGAGGTTCGTAGCTAGAGTAGGACCCGTGTTTTGGTTGCAGGATCGAGTGGAGGAGGTCCTTATGTGGAGATGTGGGTGGAAGTATACTGGCGTCTGGATTGCTATTTACGCGTTCTTGTGTGCGTGTCATTATTTTCTATGATGCTGAGCCTTATATGTGTGTGCAGGCTACTTTCCTCGCATGGTGCTCCTCGTACCGCATGCTATACTAGCAGCTATAATACTCTTCACATATCCCACTCCTTCGCCGTCTGAATCGATAACAACGAAAAACCCACCGGCTCCAGTCGCGCCACCTCCCTCAGAGGGGAGCGTTGACTGGCAAGCTAACCTTCAAGCAATTCAAAACCTTATGGGCGCGTTGTGAGTATCAATTATGCATTTGTACATTCATTTTCTAACCCACAATCTTAGCTGTGATGGCTACGACACCGTCTCACCACTTACTCCCCATCTCATACATCGATCCACTCATACCTCTCTCATCCTAACACTTACCCTGCTCTCTTTCCTCTTTTTGCTGCCGGTACTACCTCTAATCCCCCTCCGCCTACTGTTCTTTGTTCTAGGCGTATTCCCGTTTATATGGACCCACCCAGTGACGCAAACGCGAATAATACCGCTGCTCAAAGCTGCTGTAAATGGAAGCATCGTAAAGGGAGGCAACGCGAGTGCTACATTGGCGGGAGTAACAAGCTACAAATACGCCTTATTGAAGATCAAGTTCCGCCGCTGGATCGACGATGATAGGCTCGACGACAAACATTGGGGCGCCGAGATGCGGGAGGTGGAGTTGTGGGAGAACGAGAGGTGGGCTCCGGGTCCTTCTTTATCCTCCTCGTTCGGCACACAGGATGACCTTGATGCTGTGGGGTCGGAGTTTGATGTTGGAGACGGGTCTGGAAGTGCATTGCTTGGTGCTGGGACGTGGAGCAAGGCAAATTTGAGGCCTGCGGATCGCGCGCCATGGACAAGGGCGAGGGACGGTTGGAGTGGAGTGGGTGGGGAAGTGAGGTGCGTGTTTTCTTAACGGACTGGCGTTTATCACTCAATTCGAAATCGCTACTAACTCCCTGCGACCCCAGCAGCAACCTCACGTTCTCGCTCGCACCAGGCTGGGCATTCGTGGAGACTGAGGGGTGGAGACCGGACGCCCTGGGGAGCTGGGTCTCTGCCTCTCGTTCTAATTCTTGTTCTGCTTCTGGGAGTGGTGATCCTATCTTTGGGGCGGATGACAGTGAGTTTTATGCGTCGCTATCCTATGATGCGCTGATCCTTATTACGATCGATGATCAGACGGCTGGGTGTACACGAATGACGTATGGGCTGATCCGCGTCGTATACCTCTTGAGGTCTGGAAGACGTTGGGGATGACAAGGCGGAGGAGATGGGTGCGGAGAGTGTATTTTGATCCGACGCTGCTGGAGAATGCGTGAGGAGTTTTCAGGGAGGAGATGTAGCATATTGATTATTGTATTACATAGCATGGATGTCGTGATATGTTAAGCTGCTAATCATTCGCAACTAACTCTCGAGGCCCGCCTGAGTACTTGTCACTCGAGTACTGGTGCACGACAACAAATAAAAAACCCCAAAGGCATTGATTATTTGATAGGGTTTTACCAAATAAAGCAACACAACCCCTGCATTATGGGATGTTCGAGGCTTGGCCGCGAGTCTTCTCTTTGTAATGTACCTACCGCCATAGGAACCCGTCGACTGAGGATCAGAGTCATTTGATTTTTGCTATCGTCATTGACTCGGATGACAGCTACCCGGTTGATCATTCTGTTGGAGTACGAGACCGAGAGATCCGAGGCCAGGGGGAGATCCGAGTCGAGAGAGTCCGAAGGATCCGAGTGATAAGGGGAGAATGGTTCGAGCGCGCGCCAAAACGGACGAAGACGAGCGACGTATGACGTCGGCTCGCGTCCTAGTTTATTTTCAGTCTCTCATTCATATGTTCCAGTACCTGACCAACTTACTATAAGATTACCAGCAGTACCGCAGGTGCATCTCAGTTTTCGTTCGAGACAACTGAGATGTACGTGCCAACAAGTCCCTAGAGTTTACAACGCGTCTAATGATAGTTATAGCTTGTCTTTGTCGTTCTAGGTAGACGCACCGTTATAGGAGTTTTCGTTCGAGACAACTGAGATCTTGTCTTTGTCGTTCTAGACTCCTCGTGACCCTCTTGCTCGTCATAAACGCCTTTAGGTTATGAGCCCTGCCTCCATCATGGAACCTACGCTCCCCGGTACAAACTCCAGCCTGTTCAATATCCCGAAGCTCGCAGAAGACGGCTCAAATTGGATTACTTACAAAGAACGAACACTAACGGCTATTGGAGCCCGAGGTTTGATGCGATATACCGATGGACGCGTCTGCGAACCTATTCCCTTCGTCATCGATCCGAACACCAAGGCCGTAAAGAAGCCTGACGGTTCGACGCCGACGCAGACTGAAATAGACGAGTTTGATAAGAAGATCGACGAGTACCACCAGAAAAACTCACTCGTAAAGCAGCAGATATTCAGCACAATCACCGATCGGCTGTTACTGCGCGTCCAGAAGCTTGGGGAGGCATCCGAGATCTGGAATGAGATTTGTCAGATTCACGAGGGTAAGACTGAACTCGTGCAAATAGACTTACGGCGTCGGTTGCAAGAGACACGCTGTGAGGAAGGAGGCGACATCAAGGGCCATTTTGCAGAGCTCATAAGGCTCCGCGAGTCGCTGGCAGGAATGGGTGCGGCTATCGTCGATAACGACTTCCACGCCATTATTCTAGGCTCGCTCCTGGAGTCGTACCGGCCCCTCCTATCGTCCATCAGCGCAGCAGCTAGGATAACTAAGAGTCCCCTCACCTCCTACGAGTTAATCAGCATCATCACAGAAGAGTACGAGCATCGCCTACTCACCGAAAGCCGTCCCAACAAGAAGGGAGCTTCAGGCTCCGCCCTATCTGCTAGAGAAGCTAAGGGGAAGGGCAGAGCATCAGCCGGCACCCCCAAAACGAATCCGGAGGTCACCTGTTTCAACTGCGACAGGAAGGGCCACTATAAAACGGACTGCTGGCGTCCGGGGGGTGGTAAGGAAGGGCAAGGCCCTAACCAGCAGAAAAGGAAGGCCGAGAAAGCACCCAAGCAGGCTGCTAACTCGGCCACACAGCCAGAAGCCCACGACGACCAGTACGCCTTCGTTACGTCAGATTTGGCGAGCGTGGCAGGCGAGCTGAACGTACCTGTCGAGAAACGAGGCGCAATCGTAGATTCGGGCGCGACCTCTCATTTTTGCCCTGATAGGGCGAAGTTCACGAACTTCGTGAGCATCCCTCCCCAAGACGTTCGCACAGCCGACGGTTCGAGCTTGAGTGCGATTGGCCGTGGAGATGTGCACCTGGAGCTACCGCTCGGTGAGAAACGCACAAAGGTCACATTAAAAAACGCACTCTACGCACCGAAAATGGCCTTTACGCTAATTTCCACGAATCGTATTGCAGCGGCTGGCCTAGCCGTGCTGTTCGAGGGCAGGATGTGCAAGCTCCTGTCGAAAGGGCCAGACCGGAAGGTCATTGCAGAGATCCCCCAGGTTGAAGGCCTGTATAGTGTCGCAGGAGGACAACAACGTGTCACGAGTTCCAAATACAAACCATTATTCGTTCCTAAATTCTAAGTCCTTTAAGCGCCCAGTCACAGCGCCTGTTCCTAAGAATGTATTTACTGTTGAAGAAGTTCCTATTATTGCGTCTATTGTAGAATTACCAGAGTCACGTGATCTATCGGACAAAGCCGAAGATGTTGATGTCATGCCTCGCGACACTCTTGGAATGTTCCAGAGTCTTACTGCGGCTGCGGCACATGTTATGACATCATAGTTATATATAGAATCGTACGATACCTTTAATTATTCTGATTGGTTAGTTAGTTCATACTCAGTTTCGATCTCAGTTTCAATATGTGTATATAGGTAGCTCGTCGTAGTCAGTAGTTCTTTAGTTCAAACCTCTTGTATCTCCAAGTGAGCAATACCAAGACGTACCTGCTGCCTACCTCCTCTGCGTGATTATTCTTTGTTTGAGTCCTAGTCTCTGCCCAGCGTTAATTCGTTATTGGGTTGTGACATTAGGTTTGAACTATAGGAGACTCCGACTCTTGCGTTACACTCTCGCATCTCTTTCTCTTTCGCCTGGTCGTGTTGGTAGTCACCACACCATTAGCCGAAACAGAACCGTTATACTTTTGCCCAGCTTAACCGCTGTGATCCTTTGTTTCATCCCTTTGCTCATTTGAGCGCAATTTTCTACCTATCATCTTTCTTAGTTAGTAGTCCTATACCAGGCCCTGTCTTACCGCAGCCGCCAGTATACGGAGGTGTTCACGACATTAGGCGTGTCACTACAACTTTGAGTGCTGGCCCAAAACCCTGCCTGCTCAACGTTACTATAGTTTCATTTTACCTACTCCTTTCTTCATACGCACGTAGGCATTCGTTTCGAGTCAATAGCGGAACTGTCTAGACGACAAACCGTGCTTTCGACCTACGAGGATTTAGCGACATACCCTAGTGAGACTCGCACTTGTAAGCTTCGGCTGGAAGAGTGATAACTTGTCCTAGGCTTGTACCCTCAGAACGGAGATTGCATTGTCCCTAGTTTTTCCCACTCGATCGAGTATAGTTACGTATCCTTTTTAGTTAGTATTAGGGAAGCATCGGTTGGGTTGATTAAAGAACCCTTCGATCCTGAAGTACGTGGTAGATCCGATCAGATATCGGGGACCGCTTCAGTTTTCCATTACATAACTTTCTTCTTTTCATCATCATTCCCTTTCGGAAGAGCCCTTACGAGCAGCTCTTCAACAGACATCAGTGAATCGGGTTCCAGAATACAACTGGCACTATGTCTGAATTACCAAACTCTCCCACACAACCTGCACAGACGGTGATATTACCGTCTAGTCCACAGGAAATTGTTGACTACATTCACATGTCACTTGCGAACCAAGCAGACAGCTTCAGGGTCAGGATAGCAGAACTAGAAGCCAAGAACCTAGCTCTAGAAGAAGCGAACAGACTCCTGGGCGTACGCCTAGAAATGCAAGAAGACGAGACCGTGAAGATACAGTCTCAACAACCATCCTTCGGCTCTGCAGGAGCTAGCCTACTTTCATCGAACTCTTCCCCCTCCATCAAATACTCCAAACCCCAAGACTTCACTGGAGAAAAAGACTCCATAGAACTCATGGTCTGGATATCCCAAGTAGCGCTATACACAGCGCAATGGCCCAACATCCAAGAAGGCCAAAGAATAGGGGTAATGCTTTCCTTCATGAAAGGGACTGCAGCCAAATGGGCGCAACCCTACATTAGTAAACTTGGAAAGACCGGAGACGAGAAGTTGACCGTGGAGAAATTCCTGGAAGACTTAGAAGCCATGTGGGGGCAAGAAGATCGTGAAGGAAAAGCGATCAGGGAACTAGAATCCCTTAGACAAGGAGCTTCCTCAGTTCCAGAGTACGCGGCCGCTTTCAGACAAAAAGCCGCACACACTTCATTTTCCGATTACGACCAAAGGCAGAAGTTCAGATTGGGACTTCAAGACCGCGTCAAAATCCAACTTGCTCATGTCCGTTACGAGGACAAAAACACCATGAAGAAACTGGTGGAACACGCGATCCAAATCGGACGCAACTTCGAAGAGCTAGACGCGGACAAGAAGAAAACGACCTGGTGGACCCCTAAACAAGGCCCCAGGACCCCTGAATATAAACCTGGTCCAAGCAGGGAAAGCGACGCTATGGACGTCGACGCCAACAAACAGCGAGGTGCTCCAAAACCTCAAGGAAGGACTGGATCCTTCAAATGCTACCGCTGTGGAGGCGAAGGCCATATGGCTAGAAACTGCAAAGACGCAGTCGCACCAAAGGTGCAGGTGAAGGCTACTACAGTGCCAAAAGAAGAAGACCCCATTCCGAGTTGGTTCAAAGCTTGGGTCAGCTCCAAGGAAGGCAAGGGTTTTTAGAAGGGTCGAAGTCAAAGTCTGCGAACTTAGACCCGAACAATCGTTTCTCCATCCTATCTACGTTCTCGGATGTATCAGAAGTATATATTAGATCCAAATCTGAGCATTTTTACATTCCGATCACGTTGAAGGGAAAGAACCGACAAGCAGATGTGAAAGCACTGGTAGATTGCGGTGCATCAACATTATTTATTAGCGAGAAGTTTGTGAAGAAGAACGAAGTCCGGTGCCATAAATTATTAAGGCCCATTCCGGTTAAAAATATCGATGGCTCGTTAAATGCCACTGGATCGATGACTCATTACGCAGATCTAGGTCTAAAGATCGGTGACCATGTTGAGGATCAAGCAGCCTTCATGGTTACGGACTTAGGAAGCGATGATGTTATCATTGGCATAGATTGGCTAAGATATCACAACCCGGAAATAGATTGGAACGCTGGACGTTTTACACTTTCTCGTTGCCCGGTTAAATGTATTACTAAAAAAGAACAAAGACAAAAAAAT